TGCGCAAGCTTGTAATCAGGCAAGAAAGCGGTAGCGAGCTGCTTCTGATGCTTCTAGGACTGTCCCTGAAAGCCCTCTAAAGCCGTATGCAGGCTTTGGGCTTTGGAGGCTTAAGGAAAACCTACCGTCAAAGCTTAGAGCAAGGGCAATTGGAGCCGGATAGTTAAGAGGATTTGGTGCATACTTTCGACACTTCATGTTTATTAGAAGGGTTATACTATATTGTATAAACCAAGAATACAACAATATTATATTATATAAACCAAGAATACAACAGAGGAGTTTGTCTCATGATTCAGACATCTACTTCAACCTGAACTAGAGGTCTCCTCCTCTTCGAAGGGAACTTCACGACAAATGATTTCGTAGATCACCATGGCATAGGAGAACACGTCCACCTCAGGATGAGTCTCCCCTGAAATCTTAGGGTTTAGTGATATCGCTGTCTATCCCTCCGTCTCTCCCCCTTTCTCCCTCCTTTCCCTCTCCCTCTCCCTCTCGCTCTCGCTCTCGCTCTCTCTCTCTCTCTCTCTCTCTGGCTCTCGCTCTCTCTGTCTTTCTAGCTATCTCTTTGTCAGAAGTATGTCATGCAATATAATGGCCTTGATGGTTTTATAGGGTTTTGAGGGGAGGCACTAAAGGCGGCATGACTATACTACTCACTACTTGTTCTGACCTGAATAGTAAGAGCGTGGTTGCGAAACCGCCTCTGTCAATGTCTCCAGAATACCAGGATCTAGGCGCCTACTTGCTAAACGCCTTGCTTCTCGAAGCACAGCTCACATAGGCCGAAACCCCGGGGTGTTCCCTTCTCCAAATCCGGAAACCTTCACGCAGCAAACCCTTTTGTCGGGATTTGCCTAAACCCTAAACCCCAAACACTTATGGACATCCTGATGTAACGGCCTTCTCGTCGTAGGTGGAGCCGGCCCACATCTCCTCAGCCAGGGCACTAGTCGAAAGAGGCATGAAGGGTGCAGGCATTACGGTTTGGGTCTCTTGCTTCGAGCCGATTCAAGGGAACAGGGTCTGCCCCGGAATGGCGACCCAAAACTGGTGCTGCTGCTTTGGTTTGGGGTTTAAGGTGCAGGGTTTAAGCGCTTTTGGATGATGATTTGGATGGTGAGCGGTTACACCTATGCTGACAATTCGGCGTTTACCGTTCGATAGTAAGTAGATCTTGACTCTCGAGTGAGATCGGGAATGACATGACAGGAAACGATTGTGAGAACCACGGAGCAAAATCCGGAATGCAGGAAGGGAGTGAGCCTAGTATAGGGGCCTTTCCATAATCATAATGGAGTAGGGGTTAGGGTTTAGGGTTTAGGGAGTAGGGTGTTGGCGGCTTTGCACCATAAATGAGGGGGCTGGATCATCTAGAAGATGGCCAACACGAAGGAGGCACATTATCTCTTTTTTGCTAGGCCCCGACATCCTGAAACTCTAAAACTTAAGGACCATACCCTAATACCCTAAACCCTAAAAACTCAACCCCAAACCCTATGTCAAACCCTGAAACCCTACACCACTAAGGCCGCAAGCTCCCGGCCCTTCATGAAGTGCCATCAGGCAGCTGGGGCCATCCAGTGCTTGGTCCCCGCCTACACCAGACATCAAAAAAGGTGTTTGGAGGCAGTTTAAAAAGAAAAATAGTAATAGTAATAATCATAATACTAATAATATATATATATATACATATGTAGTAATAATAAAATAATCGTAATACTAATAATACATTAATATATAGTAATAATAATAATGAAGGTCCAGGTGTAGGGTGTCGGCTGCCTAACTTTGCCTAGTCGGAGTTGGGGATGAGGGTCTCGGAGTGTAGGGCTTGCAGCAAGTTGGCTTAAGGATGGAGGGCTTGGGGTGCGTTGTTCGAGGTCCTGCTGTTGGGATGTGTTTCGGCCGCATGGGTTCTTATTTCTTGATGTGGGGCCGATCTTTATTCTGGGCAAGAAGCTGGGTGCTTGAGCTCTGCTCTGGCGCAACAGGGATGAGGTCCGAAACACAATCGTTTGGTGGCTAGGGTTAAGCAGCTGCAGGTTCACAGATGGGTTCCGCTAGATCCTGAGCATGCCCGGTGTGACAGAGCAACAACACCTGCATGAACCCTCACAAAACCTTGTAAGTCTGCATAAAACTAGACAGAAACTCTCCCCTAAACCTTATACACAACTCAACATGCTATAACCCCAACAAACCCTCAGACACACACAGAAAGACAAAGCCAAAGAAGGGCCTGGCCTGATTGGTCATCTGCCCCCAGTCTCCATCCTGGACCTCGAAACGAAACGCGGTCGGTCTTTTTTCGGGTCTCTAGGCCTCTATGGGTTCCGGCTGTGAGGCTCTGCGTGTTTTTCAGGTTACCAGTAGCTAAGTAGCAGTTTCAGGGTGTCGCGTTAAGGTTTAAGTGGTTTAGGACGTGCTGTGGTTAGGGTGGTGGCCTGCTCGGTTAGGTCCTGCCACATGTCCCTGACATCATCATCTGGTGCCTCGGTGCCTGAAATATGCACAGTATTATTACTACTAGTCTGTTAGTATTTATTATTAGTACTGTATATTATTACCAGTATTATGATTACTGCTACTATTATTTTTCTCATTCAATTGCTGTTACTATTTTTATTCTGATTGTTACTATTACACACACTAAGCCCAAGGAGCCGCCCTCTCCATGCCAAGCCCGCCCCCCTGCTCCAGCAAGTCCCCAACCCCTGCGTGTGTGTCCCTCAGAATTCAGCCGCCTGAGGCCTAAGGTTCAAGGGTTTAGGGGTCTAAAAGTTTAAGGTTTAGGGTTTAGTTTAGGGTTTAAAAAATCTGCACAGCGCATCTTCTGCCACGCAGAAGCCCTCACTTATAAGTCTGCTCTTACTTTAAGCCTCCAAGCTTGAGAAACGGAGCAAAGGCACCTGAAATTTTGCCACGCCAAAGTCACAGACCTTGTGTGTTGGCACTCTGGGTTTTTGGGCGGAAGGTTCACGGCTTGCGGATTTGATGTTCGTTTCATACTTTAGGGCTTAGGGGTTGACTTTTCCAAGGGTTTCAGTTTGAGGCTTGAGGGCTTAACGGCTTCTTCCAACCCCTTAAGGTATTTACAAAGCTTCCGCAAGTTTCTGAAACGAGCTCGGTCAAAGGGTTATTGTGTGTTAGAGGTTACGAAATTGATCAGATTTATGGCTGGGGCCTGCCATTCCAGGCGCCCGTCAGCAAAACCAGTAGTTGATGAACGACTTTGCATGCACAACACAGCACAAGCATGCAATCCAAAGAACATTCTAGAAAGAACCACCAATGCAACAGCAGTGCAGCACAGGACAGGCATGCAGGAAGCCCCCTCAACTTGTTCAAAACAAGGAACAAAACCGTGAGGTGACCAATGCTTCGAGTATACAACCTCAACTTGGCGATCCTGAACCCGAAAAACCCGACACGCGAATCGCTGAACTCCTATACCAAGCCCAAATTCGAACGCAATCATAAACCTTGAATCGCATTGTCGGGATTTAGAGGGGAGATCGGCCTTCACCAAGGGCTCATCTGTTGGTCCTGCTGCAGACACTTTGAGGGTTTAGAGCTTCACGGTTTTGGTGTTTGGGGAAGTGGGCTGTGCGGTTTAAAATTTTGCCCCTAGAATCCCGACGTCAGATTCCCAAAACGAACCACCGGCAAAACTCCTCCATCAAATCGGGGCAGGAATATGGGTTCAGTTTCGGAGGCTTTGTCAAGGCTTCGTAGTCTCACAAAGCGGCAATCCGGGTGTCGTGGCTAAACCTTACTCCCTAAACCCTAAGCCGTTGGGGTTGGGCTTTCTTTTTGCTCGCGCTCTTTTCTGTCTGCCTGAGCGTCCTGAACCGGGTCCGGGGGGGAAACCAATGTATCGGAGCCTTTCACCAAGAGCATCATACCTAAACCTAAGGCTCCGTTTGAGGGTTTCTGTATGGGTAGTTGTCAAAATTATGGCCCCTTTTTGGGTACCCTAAATATAAGGTGCCGTATTATGATAAGGACCGAAAAAGGGACCATAGTTTTGAAAACCACCCATATGGGATCCATAAGGGTTTAGAACTTATAGGTTTTGGGGTGCTTAGGTATTTAAGGCTCCGGCCAGAGCTGAGGCAAACCAGCACAGTGCGCAGCAAAAGGCATCTGACATCGGTTACCAGAGTTTCCACCCGAAAACACTAACCATTCAAACATACTTTCGCACCCGTGACTTCGCTACAGTACACCACCGCAACTCGCGTGATTCCCTCAGCCCCAATGTCCTAAAGCACTAGTAATTACGGAGAACAATAGATCAAAACAAACTAGCGCACCACATCTGCATCACTGGCTGCTGCTCTCTCTTGGCAAGGAAACAAGCTGGCATGTTGCTTGCCAAACTGCACACGACATGTCCCCACAGAGGAAAAGAAGCAGAGAATGATACCACATTTCAGCCAGCTGCGGCTGGTTAGAGCCTACAGGTCACTCCTTGTCGAGGGGTTTATATGTGTAGGGTTTGGGTTACACCAGCTTTAGTCAGGGAGCAAGGGCAGCACGCCATCGATGGGCGGAGACAATGCAGACTATTCTCGTGAGAAATCCGGACATCATCTGCATCATCACAGAGAAGAGTCAGTCCTTCCAGTCTGAACCCAGAGCATGCCTAAACGCCTGAACCGAAACGAGGAGGAACGTCGACCGAAGACACTGGAAAATCAAACTCTGGCGGTGTGCTATGATTTTCCGCGCCAGATGCCCTTCGACGACGATGGAAAAGCTCCACAAAACAGTCACACTGAACCCGGAGTACAAGGAATGCAACTCTTGTGATCAAGGCCAGTGTGAGAGAAGGTTTTAAACCTGCCCTCCCACTCTTGCCTGCTTCGTCGTCCAAATGACGCGTGCACGCCCCCCAAAACCAACATAACAAAAAGTAGCTGGCAGTATATACAGTGCATCCAAGCGTTGGGATTTCAGGGCTGACGGATTTAGGCAGCCAACCTCAGCCCTCAACCCCCAGCCACCTTCTCGGTCACCAAACTCATGAGCCCCCAGCTCCCGAAATGCTCGATCGTGATGGCCAGGAAAGTGATGAAGCAGCACGACATTGCAAACGCATAGAAGGAGTAGTCGAGGCGAATCATGGTACCTGCAAACTCCCAGAGGTTGATTCCGAAGATGCGGAGCAGCAAAGCCTGCATGCCGAGGAACACGACAGCCTCGATAGCTACAGCGATGGAATTGCCCACTAAGCCATCGTGGAACTCTGCAGTGGTCTCCTGCCGAAATTGCAGGAAATAAGTCCGATTGCCTTCCACCGCCCGAAGAAGAGATGACATCATCATGTAAAACACTGGAACGAAGAGCTCGCAGAGCTCCATGACAGCCAAAGTAGCCAAACAGTGTGTCAAAATCTTCAACAGCCGTGCGTCTGCAGGAGAAATGTCGGCAGTTTGCATATCTTTATCTGTTCCACTCTCTATCCGGGTTAGAGCTCCTCGCAACCTCTGGCCCACCCTTCTTGCAACTCCGAGCTTGTGCTGGACCTTCTGCCAACTGTGCAGTCCCAACACCTGGCATGATACAAACGACATTCGTTCTCACAAGCACTGGCAGTTACTAACAGTACTGTAATACGAATGCACTGCTCCGGTGCGTCGTCGTCGTACCAATAGCAAACCCCCCAGAACTCAACGACAACACAGAATATAGCATCATACTTCGTCATATCATGTATGTACATCGGCATCTATAAATACCTATACACAGAATATATATACATATATACACATATACATACATATATATATATATATAGATTCATACAGTTATTTGTATTCTACAAATACGAGTACTATTCTTAATAAAAATATGACGAGAATCTTGGTCTCACGTGAGTAATATCCCAAGCCGGCCTGTTGGCCTGAAGTGGCCACTGCGGGATCCCGGTCAGATGAACCGTAGATGCCATCCTCTACCTCGAGAGCCTCGCGCACGTCCACACAATATTAAAGTATATATAAGGAAGTTATATATATGTATATGATATAAGTATACCAAAAACACATTCACAGAGTATATGTATATATATATATATATATGTAACGTATAAGAATACCAAAAGAAGATTTATATCATTGTTTACCGTATCACAGCAAGTTAAAGCATCTTGAGGTATTGTAAACTGACGTGTATTATTGCAAATTACGGTATATCGACGTATTGCACAGTAAATCTGACAATAAATGCTTTCGCATGCTAAAGTATACTACAGTATATATTCAGGTATGTGGGAAAGCTTAACAAATACATGAGGTTTATGTAAAGTATCATCCTTAATTATATTCTACTGTATTATCGGGAAAATGGTAAAGGTACGAACTTATTAATGTATAGTACAGTATATGAAAGTTTATTGTATTACATGCAAGCATATTAACATATACTGCAACTTTTATAGTATATATATATATATATATATATATATTGAAACTTGATACAGTACATTCAACTAGAATATAGCGACAAATTACATGGCAGTATATTCAAGTACGACTGTAACGATTAACCTATATCCAAATGCTTTATCATTCATAAATCAAACCGTGTTGTATTGACAACATCTGAAAGAAGGCTATATACCACGTAGTATGGGATACTAGCGTAGTGTAGCATAGCATAGCATGGCAAAGTCTAGTCTAGTGTAGTATAGCATCGTATAGTATACTTTGTTTAAAGTGTAAGTTTGCGAAACAGCTGCATTTTGTTCAATTGCGATATATGATCTGATATGATACGACATGTTGCCTTTTTGCTATATCTTACAGCGGTTGGAGAAGTTAATGAGTGCTTATATATATGCCAATTTTGACACGCAAAAGCACTTTGCCGGGGCGGGGGCGGGGGGTACAAGCCACTTGCCTGAAGAAGATCCCAGAGCAGCTGTGCCAAGAGCGCGAGCGCTTTGCCTGCCAAAGCACGGCCCTCGTGAATCTGAAATCCTGAACAAACTGTCCCCTTCTTATGGCTACTTGTCCAACTTCCTCCGAAACTGCATTTTCGTTCAACCACCCCAAACAAGCTGAAGGTTACTTGCTTGAGCACTACGAATGCGAACGTGACTGAGCAGCTCGGCTAGTCCGGAATTTAGCTGTTCGGGAGATTACGGCTGATTACGGTGCAGGATGTTGGGTCTGCACGGGTCTAAGTGGCGATTGCGTAACCTCCCCGACTGCACACGTCATATTACTGACGTGGTGCAGAAAGAAGCAGGTTCTCTGTGCATTTGTTGGTGGTGCTTGGTTGGATTTCCGTCTGAATGATTCTGATTGAGCATGCAGGTTAGTTTCTCTCTGAGCTCAAACTGCGCCACGTCGCGTCGTCAACCAACCCGGCAAGACATACAACAGTTGTGGGATGCTGCGTCTTCCACAGTTGCTGTGCATGAGGCTACTTCTGAAACCTTTGTCGTGTCGCTTCTGAGCTTGATCGGTCATACACGCACGGCGACAGTCGCAGCATCACTGGAACGAGGCTAGTCTCTCAGCTTGGGTTGTGGCTGCGCGCTTCGTTGCCCAGGCGAGGCACGTACACAACAGTCACAGAGATGCATGGGGCTTTGCCTAACCTCTAGCTCTGGGGGTCGCATTCCTTTTCCTAGAACAGGGGAAACAGAGGACCTGCGGAGCCGCAAAGGAGCAAAAGGCAAGAAATGCACTGGCTGGGCTGGGCATAGGTTGACGTGGCTTGGACTCAGCGGGGGCTTGCCCCCTCCAACCACGTGGATGCTAACCGTTCGAAGAACAGCTGCTGACCGCCCACGCTGGCCTATCCTCGACGAGTGTTGGGAGTGCGATTGCTGGCCAAGTGCACGGGATGGCACTCTTCCACTTCCGGGGCTTCATATCTACAAGTCCTGGCATCATAGTCGGTCACAATATATTACAGTAAATAGTCTGCAAAAGTCTATTGTAGTATACTGTGGTAGATTGTCGTACCGTTATAAGCCCTGGAGCTTCATCTGAGCCGATGAACTGACTGATCGGCAGGAGGACTGACCGACTGACCGGGAGCAGGCAGCGAAAGTCGCTGTTGTTTTAAATTGTGTCGGCTCTTTCTTTGTGTCACCTGTTAGCTCTGGCATGCAGCCTAAAGCCCGATCCCGGGTTTAGGGAACCCAAGCCTGGTACATTTGGCTCTAGCATTGCCGCTTAAGAACAGAACTCAATTCAAACGTGTATTTGCCTGTTTTTTTGGATTGCAAGACTCACCTATCCAAACGCCCAAACCGAACAAACAAGTATATGTATGTGTATGTACGTATGTATGGTATACGTATATATCAGAGGTTCAGGGCTTAGGGCTTCGGGATTGGTACGAAGAATCTGAGGCCTGCATCCAGCATGGTGATCACGAGAACCACTCCAATGTTCTTCGTCTTCGACATCAGACTCGCGGAGCAGAAGAGGCTGACGAAGAATATGCACAGCTTGATGTCCTTTAGTAGGTACCTTCTGGTGGCAGGTCTCTGTAGAGATGAGCGATTAGGGCGTAGGGCCTAGGGTCTAGATTGAGGTATCGCCTTAGAGCGATCCCTCTGGTGCTAAATAGTCTGCTGGGGTGTTGAGGTTTGGGGGCACAACAGAAACTTGAAAAATCTCAGATCTGGCAGGCCCTCACAAGTGAACAGTGAAAAGACAGTTAGAAAGACACTACAACGGGATGCTGTGGCAGTTTAGAGTGCCCTGAGTACCCATACAGTCTCAACTGTAAGCATAAAGCACACCTGTATACTAAACATAATATGAACCTGAACCTCATAAGCCCTAAACTGCCTGAATCCTGAACCCTAAAAAAAATATTCACCCTAAACACTACAAAAATAATACAAACCCTGAGCCTTAAATCCCCAACGTCTAAAAAGGAACCCCCCTAGAACCTGGGCTCTGCTTCTGTTTTCAGCTCGGGGAGCTTGGAGAGTCCCCAGCAATCCGCGCATTTCTGCGTAAGCCATCCGAGGAATGAGACTAGGAGAACGACTCCTGGGCTTCGGATTGTGAGTTTAGGGCTCTTGTGGTTTAGGGTTGAGGGTTTGGTGTTTCCTGGGTTTAGGGCTGAGGGGGGAGGAGGAGTGTTGCGACTATCATGTACTATGATACTATACTAGAATATACCATAAGTTACAACAAAATAATATATTAATTATACGATACTGTAATATGGAGGACCAGTGTCAGGAGAACGATTCCTGGCCTGGATCGGAGTTTTCAGGCCCTGTACGACTAGATAAGGGTTTAGGGCGGTTCGGGGGGGTGGAGAAAAAACACCTGGATTTAGGTACGAATCAGGACATGGGGCTTCGGGCCTTATTGGGCAAAGGGTTCGGGTTTGTCCAATTTTGGGTCGATGTCTGCGCAGTTTGAGGATTGGGTTTAGGGTTCAGGATTTAGGATAGGAGGCTCTGGGTCTACATGCCTGGATTCTGAGAAGTCTCTTACATGCGATCCTCTGGAACCCACTGAGAAAAGATATGGGTAGTTGTCAACATTATGCTCCCTTTTGGGGTACCCTAAATATTAGGTGCCGTATTATAATAAGGACCCAAAAAGGGACCCTAATATTGACAACCGCCCATATAGCAATGGCCCATCGGCCTACCTGGCTCTCGGGCGATTAAGGTTCAACTCCTGGGGGCTTAGGTTTACATAACGCTTAGGAAAGGGCTTTAGGTGGCTCTCGGGATCTTAGCTCAAGCACTAGCTGGGGTTCCCGGGCAGGGTTTGAGTTTTGGAAGCATCCCAAAAGAGAATGTAAAGAAAACAAGTGCAACCAACACAAGTCCCGTATGTCGAAGCACAGTATCCGAAAGCGCTGAGTGCCTGGAAGTGCTCCGAGATGGTTGGAAAGCGCGCCATCCAAACCACTAAAATGGCGAACTGTGAGAGCCAGGAACCCCAGTTGAAGAAGTTGAACTTCATGAACAGGCGGGCCTCCGGTGAAAGTATCTCCTGTGGCAGCAGTCGCCAGTACAGGGCCATAGAGCACCAAAGACCAGGAATGCAGGAGAGGGCCGGAGCGAAAGGAATGGGATACACGCCCGCGAATGACGCGATCAGGTGGGCCAGGAGGCAATAGACAGAGTCGGCCAGCGGCGCCATGCGCACAATCCATCGAATGCGGCTGCGGTCTTCACGGCTGAATGCACGACTCATACACTCGAGTTGCCCTCTTGCGATAACATAGTTGAGAACAGGGTGGGCCAAAAGATTAAACTTCCAATTGGCCCAAAACCCAGATTGGGTTGGTTCCATCGGGATGAGCGCACAAACAAGGAAGCTGAGCACGGGAAGCACAAGAAGGAGGCTGAAGGTGATTGCGGAATTCTCAGCCATTCGGTGCAGTGTGGACTTCCCACCGACGCAGCGATCCTGCAAGTATCCTGAGTGCTTGTTGCGAAACCCTAAACCCTAAACCCTAAACTAAACCCTAAACTAAACCCTGAACCCTAAACCGTTACAATAGGAACTCTCTGGTCTGCTGCATACCCTACTATAGTAGCATATGCTGAGCTCTTAAGAAAAGCCCATAGAGGCCTTAAGTCACTTGTCAAGCACTTCTTGGGCGGAGAAGATTGGAAAGCTCTTACGTTTCTCAACAAGAGCCCAGTATCGCTTCAACTGAAAGTCGATCACATCTGCGACTTTGCTTTGCAGCGGTGTCACATCGGCCTTCGGGCCTATTGAATGAAAGGCTAATTCGCTGAACGACTTGGCAGATCTGCCCAGCACACGAAGAGCCAGTGATCGAAGAGCCGCACAGCAGCACGAAAGCTTCTGAAATCCGGCAGATGGGGTCGCTGGCTTCTGGCTTTGCGGTGACTTTGAGAGGTCGGCAGACTCCGGCAAACGATTCTTCAAGCCTGCTTGATGGCCGGGATTCCGGTCGGTGCACTCACCGGGCAGCTCGATCGCAGAATTTGCTAAGCCCCTCTCCCGGGGACTTGTCGCCATTCTGCATCGAGAAGTTCGGGTCTGCTGTGAAAGATAACTCGCAGTCCACTGTTGGGCTCCGAACAATTTGAACAAGATTTTGGGACATACTGCACTACGCGTTTGGGGCTGTGTGCATTGGGAGTGCTCGGAAGAGGTGTGACCTCAGCGATCAATAGTGCTGGGTCTTGAAACGTCCGAGAACTGAGCGCTGCGAGGCAACACGAGGTGTACACCTGTCTATGTACATGCATACATCCATGAATTCATGCTACAGGAATACGTAGCTATAGAAGTACTTACATACATACATCATTCATTCATTCACGGATAGACAGACGGCCAGGCAGGCATACCGAAACACAACGGATGTGTTGTATGCTCGTGACATATAGCATGGCTGCTTTACCTTATGTATACAGCCTCCTATGAGATGTATGGTGAAGCCCTAGTGCAGGTCTGTTGTTCTCCTAGAACAGGTAAAGGCGTTTCTCTTAAGAACCTTCATCTCGATTGCGCGGGGCCACAGCCTTAGATCAGATTTGTCAGTATCAGCAAGGAAACTCCAAGACAGAACCTCTCTGTACGACCCTCAAGATCATCATCCCAAATCCCAACGCATAGTCACATCCACGAGTCTAGGATTCTGTGAAAGCTGCAGGTGTCAACGGACCCCTGGTACCCAGGCGAGCTTCTTGCATCTTTTTACCGGGTTCTCACAACAAGTATCCAATGCAAAGACATCGAGAGTCTTGTAATACCTGTGAGCCGAAGGTGGGCCCTAAATACGAGGATTCTTGCAAGCATCCATCCAAGATAAGGTACCCATAATGCTATGAAACCTTCAAAAAGCGTAACAACCCTGTGACATCCCCTAATAAACCCCTTATATCGAACCTCAGAAAAATTTAAAGAAAACTTGAACAGCACATAAGTCTCTGACTTAGGCTCCCCAGGCTCAGAACTACGGCTGATGGTCTAAATCCTGCATTACCCATAATAAGGAATATACCATAATTCCCGTAGCTTCGGGTCCTTAAGGTAATGCAGGATTTATATCCCTAAACCCTGAAAACCCTCTAGATCCTTCAAAGGAGCCCCTTAAAGGTAGCCTTATAGATCCCTTTAAAGGAACCCTAGGGATTTATATCATCAGCCCTCGGACCCCGCGTCAAACCTGTCGGTCGTGCCTGTGACTGGCTTGTCCAGTAGGAGGTTCAATGATTTCAGATCTCTGTGGATGATCCTGGGAAAGGGACATTATATACTAGACTATAGAACTATACTATAATGCTATACTATGACATACTTTAGACTCCATGATTGCATACTGTATACTATTTCAGGTGCTTGAAACCTAGGTTTCGCAGGGTTTCCGTCTCGAGGTTCCCGCGAGATCTTGTCATGTGCTCGAAGGCTTGGGACCCTGTGTCTTATAATAGTATAGTAATAACAATAACAACAGTCGTAATAGTATAGTAATAACAATAACAATGGGCATACTCACGATACTACTATTCTCTGATATCGGGCTTCAGATCCCAGGAAGGCAGTGATTTATGAAGAGCGAAAGCCGGAGCAGAATGGCTTTTCTTTATGGTTTATAGGCTTTATGAAGAAGCCGAGCAGCATTGGGTTGAACGTATGCAGGTAGCACATGGCTCGAGCCACATCTCTGCACATCTTGATTTGTTGTGAATAAACCTGGGCACAGAGAGCAAGTGTTTCCTGCTTGCGAAGCAACACCTAAACCCTAAAGCCTACAAGGCCTAAACCCGGAAACCCAAACCCTACTGCAAGCTCAAGCCGAATCGCAACGGTCAGAAGACTGCTATTGTTTGGAATATAAAGACTATCATGTAGCAAAACATACAATAATATTGTACAGCATAATATGGAAATATGAGTACCAGCCTTCTCTCCCGATAATCGTTCTTCTGCTCACGCCCAGCAGCTAAGTCAATTTGAGGCGAATGATGAAGCAGCCTCAGGAGGGAAAGCCGGCTCTGTCAGACTCTACGCGCCGATTCCGGAAAACCCCAGGATCCCTCTCTTGAAAAATCCATACTTCTTCATTCCTACTTCTTAATTTATACTTCTTAATCATAATCCCAAGCCCACCCCAATAAAACCGGCCACGTTGACAGGCATGATCTCCTGATCAAAGTCCTAAACGCCCTGCTTGCCCCTGCTAGGCCCTACAACCCTAGTCTATAGTTGGGCTTCGTCTTTATCCCCGGCTACAGGGGCCTTCGCAATTAGAATAGGGTTTTTTGAGTAGGGTGTACTATAACACAAAGCTGTTTAAGGAACCCCAAACTGGCATTGCTAAGGGCCCTGTATTGCACCCGTGCCTCGAAGAGCTTTGAATCCCGAAGCCCACATGCGTAACATCTAAACTCGTCAAGCCCTACTCCGAAAACCATCATCATCGCTTCCTCCTGCTTCACGGTTTTGGGGTTTAGGGTTTAGGGCCCGAAGGCGAGACTGCAGGACGATTGCAGCTGATTCGAGGATACCATAAAGGGTTCGCTTAAAGGGGCGAGGGTTGGGAACATAAAACATAAAGTTGCGTTTGCTTACACCAAACTCCCTTTGCTTTGCTTTGCTCTGAGGCAGTCCCTACTGCACCCCCATCTCTCCCTCTCACACTCTCTCCGTCGGTCGCTCGCTCTCTCTCTCTCTCTCTCTCTTTCTCTCTCTCTCTCTCTCTCTCTCTCTCTCTCTCTCTCTCTCTCTCGCACTTTGTCTGAGAGGGACTCCGTTTCTTTCGGCCTTGCCGATGTGTGCTTTGCATGCAGCCGTCTGTCTACCTAGGAGTTGAAGCGTTTACGCCGGCATCGAAACTGTTTAATTTCAAGAGCAAGCGTGTAGTAGAAAGTGTGAGTTTAGCTCAATTCCCAATCGTTCCGTTCCTTCATCAGAACTGCAGGAGGCAGGGCCGTAAGAATGCAAGTGCTGCAAGGGAACAGCAGGGCAGCGTTGGACTGCAGGGGGTGCAGGGCATCAAATCTTAGAGCGGACCTTTGACACCAGTAACCAAGAAATATCCTGGACCTCAACTCCCACAATACAAGAACAAACGAACGGCAGCCCCGGTGCTCAAAAGCAGCGCCCCCACCGCAGAACTCCGTGACGATCCGCAAGGGCCGCGTGTCCAGGCAAACGCCATAGAGCTGCACCTGGGGTTTAGGAGTTCTGGGCGAGGGATGCTGGCCTTACGGGTCTTGGGCTCAGCCTCTACGAATTCATGAATATTGCCACAGCAAGAATATACTGGCAGCCTCAACAATCATCTTGTAGCCTTAGGGATTCAGGTCGACGACGTCCTGCGGGGGAGGCCACTGCTAAGTCTGCAGGGAGGCGTGCGAAATAGCCCTTCGGGATGAGTCGAGGCGAAGGAAGACGGGATCGCATTCGGCTCTCGGCCCGCAAACCCTGCGACTGAACTTCCGGATTCATTGAGGTTGAGGGTACAAGGCTGTGTTGTGGGGTTTTGGGGCATGAAGCTTAGGGAAGGACGCCTGCTGCACAGACTCGGGACCTCGAATCAAAAGGCCCAAATCAAACCTGGCCTTATGGGGAGGGTTTAGGGTTTAGGGCTTTAGGGTTTAAGGTTTATAGGGGTTTAGGGTTTGGAGGGTTTAGGGGTTTAGGGTTTAGTTTGCACCATGACTCTTCGAGGGAACCCTGAACAAAAACACTCACCAGGTACGACTCAGACCTCCATAGTCTGTGAACGCGAAGCCCCTGGGATGAACCCTGTAAACACCGGGTAAATTCCCATCTAACCCCAAAAAGCCCCATAGAAACCCACTCTTGTCCAGCCAAAGGGCCAAATTCTCGTGCCGAACCTGTTGGCGTCTCTGGCTCGGCTGTTGGGGGTTGGAGACCCGAGGTTTAGGGTTTAGGGGTTGAGGCTTACCTTAACCTCCCAAAACCTACTTTTTTGAAGTAGGGTTTGGTAGTTTAAGGTAGGTCTTTGTCGGAAGATGTTAAGGCTCAGGGCTCCAGGCTTCGGGCTCAGGGTGAACCGCGAACCTTCCCGAAATCATAGTTTGCAAGAGCTGTCATCTGTGAGGCTATAACACGGAGAGCTATAGGAATGATACGGAAAGCCTTGATTTGTCCTGCTATACTAAGTCTCCAGATAGTGTGGGACACCGCTAGTCAGTCAACCTCATCATATCCTCAATTCCTCAATGTTTCTTCTGTATAGCTCGGTCCGACACTGCCCCCCAACCCAATTCAAATTACCACCGGCCGTATATTCGCCCCGTAAACCCTCAACCCTAAACCCTCAGCCCTAAACCCTAAACCCTCAACCCTAAACCCTCAGCCCTAAGCCCTCAACCCTAAACCCTAACTCCCAGCCTGGGTCAACACGCTCATCTCTCGCACAAAGGCCAACTGCTGCTCCGAACGCATCCTGGCGTCTTCCTGGCGCAGAGCCTCCCTGGGTCTCGGGTTGGGGGAAGGGTTAAGGGTCTAGGGGTTTAGGGGTTTAGGGTTTATTAGGGACTCAGGAGACTCCAATATCCCTTAATTCAGGAATATACCTTAAATCATACTAGGGATCCTACTATAATTTAAGGTATATTCCTTACTTAAGGGACATTGGAGTCTCTAGGGAAGGGAGGGGTTAAGAGGTTTATCAGCAGATCATGGCTTCAAGCTTTGAGGGCGTGAGGCTTGAGGCTTGGGGTGATCTGATGCACCACTGGCGCTGCAAAAACACTGCGGGGGTGCAGAACTCTGAACCCTTAACTCTAAGCAGGTGGATGCTGTGGGACCACCACAACGATCGATACAAAAAATCAAAATGCATATGTATGTGTGCGTGTACATGTGCATACATACATATACATACATATACATACATATATATATATATATATATATATATATATATATATACATGTGATGTGCGACCCATGAACCTGCCAGGCAGCCTGCGGTGTACTCTCCTGATGTATAAGGACTCCGAGCACACATGCGCTTCGAGTTTGGTCGGTTAAGTCATGCTCTTTCTTCATGAAGCTTGCCGAGGCGTTCCTAAATCCTGTATCCTAACCCACGGCCCTCGAACACAAGCTCACGTACCAAGAGCCAAACAGGTAGTTGGAGGGAGGCATCATACATACATGTACCTATCTATATACCCACCTATCTATGTCTCGAGCATCATGGATTCCCACAGCATCCCTTCGGTAACCCTATAATGTTGCACTACCCTGGCAACAAATGCACCCAAGCTGCACTGATCTGTTTGATCGCGACGACCTTCGTGGCAGAAAGGGCATCCAACAGACATATGCGCACCCTGCGCCCCGAAACCTCTGTCCCTACCTGGCACAAGCCACAAGCCGACAGTATCCGCAGGTGCCTCAGAAAAAGGTCTTGCAAGAATCTCAAAGCCTGTGGTGATAGTCCGGGCCTTCAGGCTTCTCTTCAGGGGGAGCTTCTTTGGCCTAGCGAGTCTAGTGGGATGCAAGCTGAACAGCTTCCAGAGCTCTACTTCACGCAATCAGCTCACCCTGAACTCGAAACTCGACAAGCTTCCCGAAACTCAAAATCCCAAACTAGGCCCTGGGAATCAGCGAAGCTCTGAACCAGCCCTAAAACTTAAAACCCTAAAAACCCCTGAAACCCCTCTTTGCGGCCCCTCAGAAGACCGTTAAGTCCTGGGGCTCCCCGCGGTGTGGGTGCGCGTCCAGATGCCCTTGTAGACCTCCAGAGTGTTGCTATAAAGGCTTAGGGTTGAGGGTTTAGGGGCCTTAGTAACTAGAATCGGGCTCGGGTTCCCCTTAAAGGGGTTACTATAATGGCTACTATAAGGGTACTATGATATAGGGGCCGTAAAAATAAGAAGAAGGTTTGGGGGTACATTATACTATAACTAGAACAAGCAACCCCCCAAAATAGCATTGGAAACTACTTGAGCCCCTATATAAGGAGCCTTCCGTATTGGAATAGGCCTTTTTTCTGTCATGTACTTTGGGGATAAACTCTGCTACATGAATATGATAGGGACTACTATAACGGGGCGCTACTGCTCATTAAGAAGAAGTCAGACCTCAAGAATCTTGGCGGCTGAGGGTTGAGGGGGAAAGAGGCTCGGGGCTTTGGGTCCGCTTCAGGATACCTTCAAGGGCTCTAGAAGCATTGCATTCAGGCGAAGTTCGGGTAACATAGTGGCCTTCCTGCTTGGAACAGGGTGTTGGGGGTGCTGTCTATTCAGATCTCGATATTTGAAGCTGTTCGGTTTCGGATCTATGTTTCACGGTTCAGGGCGCTAGGTTCCGGGTTTAAAGTCCATAGGCTTTAGCTATGGGGGTTTGGGGGGTGGACTAGTTTTTTTCTTTGGGGACTCCTGTCCTATCATCTGTCTCAAGGATTTAAGGTATGCCTGGTAGATCAGAGCCTTCCCTAAACACCGGGAACTCGGAACAAACTCTAGATTCCAAGGCCTTGCAGCCAGGCAACCCCAAATCTAAGGTGCTATGTGATCCCAAGTCTATCAAGGCGTACTGCGCATTTAGCAATTAACTACTTCCCTGCACCCATTAAAACAGTCTCCGGACCACCTCTTCTCCTTCACCTCTGGCAGTATGAAACCCTACGCCCTAAGCTGATGAAACCCCAAAGGGCTGGAAACCCTCTATGTAAACCCCAGAACGTACACCTCAAACGGCCCCAGACCGAAGCCCGAAAGGAACCTCTGAAGAGAACTCTGATGGTTCCGGCCTCTGATGTGCATCCCGTACCTACTCTGGACTCCAGAATCAGCTCGCCCGTGGGGATTTCCAGGGTTGCTAAGAGGTCATCCTCCGACTCACCTTGCGGTCGCCATAGGGCTTTTTTGCTTACCCGGTGTCGAGGGTTTAGGGTTTAGGGCATAGGGTTTGTACAGGGTTGCTACAGGGTCTCATGGGGCTCGTCTAGACTGTCTTGATAAAACAAAGAAGATTTGTTGAGAACTCCTATACAATGAAGGCACTTCTACTTACCCATCCAGCTCAAAGATGGCTCTATCAGATAATCCCTAAACCCTAAACCCTGAGATTATCATCCAAAATAGTTGGAAGCCTGCCTTTCCTGGATTGACCCCTCGCGCCTGCCATCAGCGTGCCGGATTAGGGTCGCATGCTTCGATGGCTACGGTGGTGGAACAAGCTAGGGCCTGAATACCCCCCCTTGTGCTCATAAGTCATGATAACCCTAAACCCTAAACCCCTAGTCATGAAGGGGTGCAGAAGGTCTGATGTAGGGGCGTGTTCGGAGACGGCTTCTTGAGTCGGTGTTGGAAGGATGGGGCTTTCGGCTTCAAGGTTTGATGTGCGGGTGTGTGGGGGGTTCGTCGGGCGGGAGCCCTGGAAGACGAAAAAACCGAAACCCGTGGAAGCCTAAGCCCTGCTCCCTACACCCCGCAAGCGACATGTTCTGGAGCAGCTCGAGCCCAAAGAGATAATTGGATCGAGCGGTGAGGCTGAGGCTTTGGGTCATAAGGTGTGAACTGTCTTTGGACGGAGAGCTATTTAGCCTTGAAGGTTCACCATAGGCACTAAACGGGCTCATCTCTCAACCCGGCTCAAGGCTCAGGCTAAGGATGTACTGCCCCCAAAGGCCCTGGCTTTTAGTCTTCGCGCAGTGCTCCATATGTCTTCTATACCAGGGCCACATTGGGCTCTCTGGGAAACCATCATCTCGCGACACTCCGCTCACGCCTCAGCGAATAGATGCATCATGTCTGGCTCACATGGACGTGTCGGAAAGCCATGACGCTTTGAGGGCTTGGTTTAATTGCAAACAGCAGGATAGATATTCTGAGGATCCCCACCTAGACCTATGTAGGACCTAGTAAAGAACAAGAGCCCGTCCCTACGTCGCAATTGCACGCGAAGGGGTCAGCCCCACAAGCCCGAAAACCACAAGTGACACCCTACAAGCACGTGGCTCTATACCTTTACATCTGCTCCCTCGACCAAGAAAAGACCTAAAACCCTGAACTCTTGGCCTTCAATTACCCGAACCTGTCCCCGAAACCCTAAATTATCCCCGAACCCCCTATACCACCCTGTACACACCCTTACAGGACCCAGAGTCCTACAACCGACGACCTAAACCGAAAAACCCTTCTAGAATCCTGTAAACACTTCACCGAAAAAGAGCGTCGCCACAAGAAAGCCGCTTGAGAATAATACATGCAAGAGGAAGTGAGAGATTTTCCTGGATTTTGAGCATTCCCATGTTCAGGCAGAGAAGCTGCACAATACCTAGTCCGCCGAATCATAGAAGTCCCTAAACCCTCAAGGTATCCGTGATTCCCATGTTCAAGCAGAGAAGCTGCAGAATACCCATTCCACAGACCCCTATTATCATTATTACTATTATTATATATACTTTTCTTCCTATTAGTATTGTATTATATATATATATACCCTAAACCCTCACCCCTCAAGGTATCTGAGACCAAGGAAGGCCAAGGCGCGCCCCACTGCTCCCCCAGCCGAGGATGCTTTTCCGGCCTGACCTTTGTTGGGTTTACCTGGCCGAAGAGACAGCCTCTGGCGCTTCAAGGGTTTAGGGTCTCAAGGGTTTAGAATTCAGGAGTTAGGGTTTAGGGTTTAGGGCTTCAAGGGCTTAGCATTCGGGATTTAAGCCTTGGGGTTACGGTCATGATCTGCTGTCTGTTACAGCAGCATGAAGGTAGCACCTGCTTGTGAAGCCTACCGAAGCAACCGGCAGAGTGGCGAAGCTCCTTGTTCCGGCCGCAGATAATAAAATTACACAGTATTGGAAGGGATCTGCCCATGCCCCAATCTTCATTGGCAGCAAAACGAAGCATCATGCAGAAAGACACGGCCTCCTCAGCGATAATAGCCATAAGTCTTTCTTTGTGCCTTGTAATATGCGGCAAATCGACTTGGAGAGACCCAGGGCTGAATGACATTCTCTTCAAAGTCGTAGCTGTTTTCCATGGCCCACTCGTAGAACACGTACGTGCACCTGGGAGTTTCCGAAAATAGGCGACCCTAATACAGCACGAGCACACTCTGCACTCTTCCTCGCCCTCCAGTCATCAAGTACGTTGCTTTGCTACCGCAGGCTGGCTATGCCCAGCCAGTCCGTCGTGCCAGCTAAGGCCAGCACATAGCACCCTCAATAGTAGGATCCTTATTATAGGGACCCCCAAAATAAGGTATACACCCCTTCTTTTCGGAAACTCCCACCTTGCTGGGGACCTCCCGCACCAACGATTCGCAAAATACGGATCCGGGCATGACCTGAGACGATGCCGACGCCAGCGGCGCCAGCAGGACCACGGCTGCAACCAGGGGACCCCTGGACTTTGCACACAGAAGCCCGGGGAGTTGCAGTTCAAGTTGACGAGCGCTGGAACAGCGCCGACATTTTCCAGATGAGGGACCTTTTGAGCAAAACATGCGAAACTCTCCCACACTGAAATCCATCACAATGTCCTGATCAGGCGTGAACACTGACAAGCAACTAAGTCCTCGGCCCATAATCCGCCTTTCCCCAGAGCTGGGTTCAATCGGATGACGAAAAACTGGTTTCCAAGGCCGCGCCTCAATGACTCCAGCCGAATGCTCTGGAGCTGAGCATTTTTCTGGATCCACAAGCCGGTGTTAAGCATCTCAAGCTGTGGAAGTCCAATACGCGTCAGCTTCGGATTGTGGGCAATCAGCACCGGCCGTGCTTCTTGGCCTTGCACTTCCCGACGTGAAGCTCCGGTGTAGAGTCTGATATCTCTGCTACCATCTCTGGATCCAATCCTTGCGGTGCTGTTGCCACACCGACGCAAAGATGGCAAGTGGAAGTGACTAAGTGCCAGATTGTCCGTTATGAGCATTCCGCCTCCTTCGCGAACTGCGACATCTTCCAACATCGGCAGGCTCAAGTCCCTGAGCCGTGCGTTTCCGAAGAGGAGGAGGTCCTCGCCGATTTGGGCAAGCTGTGGGAAATCTACGTGCTCCAGCTGCGCACAGGCATAGATCTCGAAATCCTCGTCGACATGCCTGAGATTCGGGAACGATGCCTGGTCCAAGTTGAAGGTCTGGGTGTTGTCAAAGACTTCGAGATCCTCGCCAACGGCTTCTAACGAGGAAAATCTGATGCTGGTAAGGGCATCGTTTGTGTAAAGCTCCAGGTCTTCACCAACTTGCGTCAAGAGTGGGAAAGTCAGAGCTTCCAGACTGTGCAGGACATACAGCTCCAAATCCTCATCGATGTGTGTCAATTCAGGGACACGGAGAGCTGTAAGATTCCAACAAAACGACACCGTGAAGTCCTCTCCAATAAGCTTCAGCGAAGGCAAGTCAAGTGTGCTGATCTTGTTCAGCTGCACAATGCGAATGTGAGATTTCGTGCTGTTAAGGCTTGGGATGTGGAGTTGTTGCAAGTCCGTGTTGGATGCCAAGAAAAAGCTGCCCACCGTTGCCAACTCCAGGAATTCCAGGGACTTCAGCCCCTGAGCCCCCAGGGAGAGACGGCCCGTCACCCACTGCAAGCCTGGGAAGTCGAGGCTCTCAAGGGCCATGTTACCTTCCAGCACCAAATCGAGGTGGACCCTTGTCAAGGAAGCAGCAGCTACGGCATGGAGGGCACTGTTGCCGGACAGAGTCATGCTCACACCCAGGACCCTGACTTGCTCGAGGTCCACGGCCTGAAGAGATGTACTCCCAACAATTTCCACACATCCGTGGATTGAAGTCAGGTCGGGTCCTGCTTTGATGCATTGCACTCCCAGCAGGGCGGGGTCCTCGGAAGACAGCAAAATACTTCCGTTGATCGCGAGACCACCATGTATCAGGTCAGGAACTGTCACGAAGAGTCTGCTCAACACCAAGCAGCCGCTAGCATCGTAACATCCGGGGCAGTCTCCCGACATGTTCCTAGGCGCATATGGGGGGCACTCAGCTTGCCGGCAGAAGCCATCGAGAAAACCATCTTCCAAACCAGCTTCCTTGCACTGGTCTCCAAATATTGCTTCTTCCGCATCTTCTACTGAGATCGTTCCGCCACTGCAGTTGGATGTGGCCCATTGCGGTCCAGAGGGGCAAAAGCCTGGCGCGTTCCCATCGAAGGTCCAATGCTCCGGTTCAGATAGGTTTGGATTTAGCTCCAGAAGCAGCAAGGCTCCATTCCCGAACACGCCGAACAAACTCGTCAAGCTCGTGTTGGAGAGATTTGATACATCTTGCTGGGACTCGGACACAGGGGAGAAAGCTGTGAGACGAGGAAGCCGCACTGAAGCAAGCGCTGCATTTCCGAAGATCGCGAAGTACCGAGAGCTGATGGAAGCAAGATTTGGCAGCCACACATGTTCAAGTCGGGTGTTGTTGGTAATGTAAAATGCATCTTCCGAGATGATCTCCTCATCCTCACAGTGTCCTAGCCCATAGTAGCACTTGCTCTGCGTCGACGGGCGGGATACCCCCTGCACCCTGATGCCTCCCACCTGGGCGAGATTCGTGAAATCCAAAGTCAGAAGATTTGGCATATTGAACAGCCAGAAGCTGCCCGCAACTTGGGTGAGTTGCGGCATCGATATGCCCACAACAGCTGGCATATTCCCCAGGAAGACATCTTCCCGAACCTGCTCCAAGGAAGGAAGCACTACGGCCGTCAGAGCAACGAGGGTGTACATTTCCAGATCTTCTGCAACTTCGGACAGGCGTGGCAGGGACACAGAACTGCAAAGAGGCAGATGATGGAGTTCCACATCTTCCTGCACAACGTGGAGGGATGGCATTGAAATTGTCTCCAAAGCGTAACAATGCAGGACCTCCAAATCCTCACCAATGGACTTCAACACAGGTAGCGACAGATTCTTAAGGTGCAGGAGGCGAATGAACTCCGCATCCTCCCCGATCGAGGACAGCAAAGGCAGCCCAAGGGATCGGAGATGATCCGAGTTGTAAACGACCAGATCTTCTCCAATCTCCTCCAAAACCTCGAGCTCAATCTGCTGCAACCCATTTGCGCCCATGATGAGATCGAAGCGGATCTCTTTTAAAGACGGAGCTGCAACCATACTGAGGCTGGGGTTACTTTCAATCAGCAAGTGAAGCCCCACGAAGGTGAGGCGATTCAGCCAGAGCGAGGCCAAGTTTTCATTGCTTCTAACTTCCAAGGTTCTGCCAACCTCACGTAGGCGTTGCAGGGGCGCCGTGGACAACGCTTCGCTGTGTCGGATGACCAGATTCTCGTCCACACGCGTCAAGGCATCCAAGCTGAAAGCTTGGCTCGCAAGCTGGGGAAGCTGCATGAATATTAACGAACCCCGAACTGTTTCAAGTGTAGGTAGCAAAACGCTCGTGAGGGAGAGGGCGCCGGTCACGTCGAGGCTTCCGACTATCTCTTTCACTCTGTTGGACCCAATGCATCTGACATCATTTGGGCCGGCGTTGCCCCCAGGCCCAAAGCGCAAAGTAGCGACAAGTACACCGTGCGGGTCAACATGAAAGTAATCCTCCAATAGGAAACAATCCGGCGGAATCTGTCGTCGGTTGTCGCCAATCTGTAGCAAGGAGGTGTCCGAGGTTGGCCTGGTTGTGCCATTGTTGGGGCAGTCAACTGACACACCATCATGCTCAGCAAAAGACACTCTTCCAAGGATGTCCTCACCTTGTAGACACCAAAAAAGTTGGAAGCAAATGAGCCGAGTCAGGCCATGGCTCTTGGATTTCATCATAAGCCAAGCCACAAAAGAAACTATGGTTTTGAAGCAAAGCCCCCACCCTTTCGGCCTCCCTGCCTCGCCACCAGACCCTGCTAAATATATGTTAACAGGGTTTAGGGTTTAGGGTTTAGGGTTTAGGGTTTAGAGGGAACCTTGCCAAAGAAATGCCGCCTGCATGATCCCTGGAAAATGGGTAACTTGAGGTCACACGTTGTAACGCAGCGACGGCTGGAGCAAAAGCCTGCAATGCCAGGTGCGCTTCAACCCAAAGAGAAGCAACGTCTGTCAGGGCTTCATGATATACATCAAAAACTACTAAACACTAAGCAAACAAATGAACACATATAAGTCACATAAACGCACACACACACACACATTGATTCTCACCCTCGGGCAGGCCAAGCGAGAGTCTTTCAACAAAAGGTCCGGCTCCTTGCATGGCCACGGGCCATTTTGGATGCTGGCACAAAAAAAATATATTCACGTGATTTATCTTTGCAATCTGAAACTAGCTCTGTCACAAGACTCCAAAAGCGGGAAAATCACATAACGGAAGAGAAACGAAGCTGTACAGAAGGGTCGCGAGAACCGCTGTTCCTCGATGCTGCCCGTCTCGAGCAAGGCCTGTACAAGTTGACAAGGGACTTGGTCTGCGGAGATTTCGCGTGGGCGTGCCCTGAACAAAACTTGCGAATAGCAGAGGGCCGGTGGTCTGCGCCGAAAGATCCCTAAACCAGGGACCCCGAGCTCCTAAACCCTCAATACATCGGCAATGTGCTGAAGCAGACTACCTATTCCAGAATTTCAGACCACCTCACAGCCCCACCATTTGCTGTTGCCGTCTTGTGATTCTGTGCAAGTTGCTAATTAAAAGATGGTCACACGGCCACGGCCACGTCACCTTCTTTATCTGCAAGCTTCGTCTCCGCATGGTTGCTCGGCGCCCCCCGACTGGGAATCTGAGGCAAGAAGTGGAACTCCTCCACATGCAGTGACCACTGAGTGAAGCTGGCATCTTCCAGGAGAAACTGCTTCACCTCACGGACCATGTTCTCGGGACCACAGACGAATATGCTGGCTGCGCTAACTCCGTCAGCATAGCTCTTGCCAAGCTCGGCGAGCCAGGCTCGCAGCTCTTTCGATCCATGTCGTGCGTGCAAAGGAAGGGGCCTGTCTTCTCCGAAAGCCTTGCCACGCAAATGCACGCAGCTCCGGGAACTCAAGCACAACTCCAGAAAAGGTGCTGCATACTGAAGCAAGGCTTCGCTGCGAAGAGCCCAGAAGAGGTCGACCTGCCGTCCCGACGTATGCTCGCGGGTTGCCAGCGACAGGGCGGGTGTAATTCCGACACCGCCCAGCACGAAGACGGCTCGCTGTGTCTCCTTGGCTGGTTGGCATGGACAGCCGTAGGGGCCTTGAAGGCACATGGCCGGAGGTTTTCCAACTTGGCAGCACTCTGCGAGCTGGGAAGTGAATTTTCCACCCACCTTGATGCAGAGACTCACAGTGGCCCCATCGCGGCCGGGGACGAGGGTGAACGGATGTGCGACGGAGGAGAGGCTGGGTACACGCAGTCGCCCCCACTGCCCAGCTTGAAAGGCGAAGCCCGGAATGCTGAGATCCAGGAAGACGTGGGAGGACCGCGGCTCCACGGAAACCTCACTCTTCTGCACCACGGCATACTTGGTGGCCACATGGGTGTAGATCTTCTGGCCCAGATACGCCAATACAGCAGTTGAATTCAGGATGGCAGTGGTAATGGTGACCGGCGTCTTGCGCTTGAAAGCTTCAACCACGGCGTGGTAGATCGTGAACAGAAGCCCGAGGAAACTCAGGAAGTGGAGCGACTTCCACCGATCGTAGCGCACGAAGAGGGCGGGCACCACGCCCAAGATCATCAGGATCAAACCTACCAGGCCGAAGACTGCAAGGAGTTCGTGGAACACATTGTTGCCAAGACGACGGAAAACTATTCCGGCGTGGAACATCCCCATGAGAATCGTGAAGATGCCGAAGGCGTAGTGAATCTTCCAGGCAGCTTCCCGCGACATCCGGAGGAGATCATGCAGTCCGAACTTGTAGAAGGAAAACAGCAAGGAGACCCACATCGCCATGGCGGTGGCATCTCCAGTGCTGTTCACGCGGGACACGCTGTCTGAGGATGCAGCAACACACACCACAATAATCGCGCCGGCGCTGGCCGCGGCGATGTTGGCCACGGACCAATTCCGAAACCGAGGCACGAACAAAGGCTTCAAATGGCTCTTGGACAGGAAGAATCCAAAAATACCGATCAGGAAAAGCAGCGTGTAGCCAGTGAAGTTGGAGTCGTCCATCATCCTCTTGGTCTCCATTGCGCCCTAAAGCCTCAAAGCCCCGCACACTGAGCAAGTCATGCAAAGAGACAACCACGCCTCGAGCCGTAGCCATTTTCACAGCATCATGTTGAGCCTTGAAGGCTCACGATTCTCCGGTACTGGGACATATGCTTCAGGATTGTGGACTCTAAACCCTTTACCCTACACCCTAAACCCTTTTAACCCTAACCGGATTCATCTCCCAGCCCGTCCTGCAGGCTTAGGCTTAGGATGTACTGCGTGCAGAAAGGCTCTCACTTTTGGTCTTCGCGCAGAGCTCGCGCGCTGTCGGTGAAACGGATTCCTGCCTGTCTCCAGCAAGGATATGAAACTCCTAAAGTCTTGCACAATTAGGTTAAGGGCTTAGGCTGTAGGGGTTCATCTTTCACGCTGCTCCCTCAAAACAACGAGTTAAGCTCTGAACACGAGCCCTAACTAGCCCACCCCAGAGAGCCCGAAAAGATCTTGACTAAGCAATCTATACAGCTATCCATATCGTTACATCATACATGAGGCGGCTGCCATGACTTACGCAATATATTGCTTCTGTACCAGGGCCACATTGGGCTGTCTGAGAAACCGTCATCTCGTGACACTCCGCTCACGCCTCAGCGAACAGATGCATCATTTCGCGCTCACATGTTAGGTTTACCCGTTGAAGAGACTGCAAATGGCAAAAAGCTTGTATAGGTTGTTTGTTTAGAGTACAGAGTTTAGGGGTTTTAGAGTATAGGGACTTTCGGCCCCACCTACACGTAGGACAGAACAAAAGCCCGCCCCTACATTGCAAGTGCACGCGAGGGGGCAGCCCCCAGCTGCAGCGGAGGCTCCAAGGGAAGCTTGGCAATTTCTGCATCACTGAGAGCTTTGTTCATGATCTGGACATTCCGCATCTTGCCACCAAGAGCCTGGCCCAAGAAAGGAATTATTGGCCCTACGAGGGCTTCGTGAGAGGTGAAAGGGTTCAGTGGGGATGTCCTTCTTCGTGCTTTGAGGCGCTCGCTGTTCTGTTCATAAGGATTCTCCAATGCCGGTTCGTTCCTTGCCACAATGGCTCCCCGGCTCCCGATTTTCATATTGCCATCACCTCGGGAACTACAGGGAGGCTTCAGGTTCGTAATGTCTAGGAGTTTCAGCGCATGCTAAACCCGTAGAGTGTTGCATCTTCTCTGCTCAGGGTTCAAAGGTCGGTGAGGGCGCTGCAGAGTCGCGGCTGCAAACACTTACAGAGCCCAGTCCCGCATCATCGGAACCTCAAAGCGTGGCTTTCCGGCATTGAGCATGGTAGAAGCTTGACCCTAACTCTATAAACTGTAAACCTCACGCCCTACAACCTTGCCCTTCCATGGCCTCATGGGTACGGCCGGGCTCGCCGACGCATGCACAGAAGCCGCTCTTGTCTGCTGCATTGAAAGCACCAGAATAGCCTGCAGAAGACGAACAGCTACCACCCATGGAAACCCTATACCTCGTACCCTAAACCTTGAATGTAAAGCCTGCATAAGCAGGACCTGCGGGCACGACTGTCTAACAGCACAACGAAGAACCTTGTTTAGGGCCCATGTACTCTATGGGTTCCTTTAATGGGGCCCTATAAGAGTTGTTAGATCACTTGTACCCGACATCAGCGTCTTGTCTGGATGTGGCATGATGGTCACTCCGCATCTTAACTGGGTCTTTTTGAGGGACTAAAGTTAATATTAAGTAACCGTCATAATATTAACAGAATAATGAAACCATATTATCTACTATAGATCCCTATTCGGTAACTTAAGCAAAGTTTCCTAAAAACAACCCAGCAAGGGCTTAGGGTTTGACGATCGGTTTTCAAGCGTCTTCATGAAGCCTGGCTTTGCAAATTGTGGAATTTATGCACAAAGTCCTATGCGTGAAACCTCTGATTGCTGCACCTCCAAACCCATAAAAGCCTAAGCAAACCTTTCACATCAAGCCACTGCTGGACTTCAAGAGCTGTCCGTTGGCATACAGCTTGATGGTGCTCTTGTCCCAGGATGCTGCGACGGTCTTCCAACCATCGTTCCTTGTGGAGCACATCATTGTCTTCGACTGGAGAACACGAAACCTTCAACTAAAGCCCCCCAGATCCCAGACCCGAATATCTGTAAACCCCAAACCCCTGCTACAAAGATAGCACCCACCATAGACTTTGCTAAAATATCCCCCAAAACCCCGGCGTGCTCAGACATGCAATTATCATGGAGGCCCCTGACTCACACAATACCCGACACCCTGGAGCCATAGCCTTCGACTGAAACGGTGTCAAGTTCTACAGGTTCCATACCGGATACTCTGATCATCGGACGTGGCCAAGCATCAGCAAACCTGCAGACTCCACGGCGAGCTCCTTAAACTGGCCATTCGCTTTCCAGTACCTGAGCTTCGTATTCTGATCTTGGTTCAGGGTTTAGGACCTTGAATTAGTCTTCGTTTCGGGGGCTCAGGGCTGGTTCATACGAAATATAAAGAAGACTAAGCTATAGAAAACCTTCCCATCAAAAAGAGCTGCAGATGGAGACCGCCGTTGTTGTGGCCGGGGAACATTCGCAGGGCCACGAAGTTGTCCTGGGCACAGTAGGCTTTGCGGAGATAGTTCTGTATGGTATGGGGACGATCAGGGGATACTGAGTAGTGAGTACTGGTACTGTTTTGGGCCAGCTCTAAATCGTTCACCTGAAGCCAAAGCAAGCTCTCCCGCCCAATCGCTCACGCTTACATTCCAGGCAAACTCGCATGCCCTCTAACTGTAAGCCCACAATGCAAACTCAAACCACGCACATAACGCGCTGGAAAATCGAGCTGACACCCCAAAAGCAAGTAGCTCTGCATCGTTGCACCTGCTCCCCTCAACCTAAAAATAGCCGAAGGAGCTACCCTCTCCGAACTCCCGAATCCCCACCCGTAACCTCAAGTCAAAACCCTACAGCAGCAAACCGTGAAATTCCTACAGAGCCCGTATAGGACCCTGAGCCCGACGATCTGTTATTATCGGACACTTATAGAACACTGAACCGCAACACCGTATAGAAGCTTTCAGAGCCTATTCTCATGATTTCAAGTATCTGGTGCAGAATACCTCAACAGATAGGCCTCACTTATTTTTTGTGGTATTATTAACATTATTCCTATTAGTATTATATATATATATATATATATATACACCCTAAACCCTCAACCCGTAACATATCTGGGAGCCAGGAAGGCCAAGGCGCCCCACTGCTCCCCCAGCCGAGGATGCCAGGATGCTTTCCGGCTTGGCCCTTTGGGTTGACCTGGCCCAAGAATTAGGTGTTTTTTTTGAAGGCCTTTTTCCAGCTGCAGTACAGTCGGAGAGCTCCAATGGAGCAGACTTACTGACCCTGTTCACTCATTTCTCACCCAAGAATTAGGGTTTGAGGTTTAGGGTTTAGGGTGTAGAGGCATGTAGGACTTAGTGTTGGCCAAAAGAGGTCGGATTTGGGGCTTTTAATGGCTCAGGGTTTAAGATTTAGGGCCATTTAGGGGGTAGGGTTTGGTAGGATTTTGGAGCTCGAGATTTAGGATTGAAGGTTTCGGATTTAGCTTATGGGGCTCGGGGTTCGTACAAGCGAAGCCTTCAGATTCAAGGCCTGGGGCTTTCGGGGTTTGGGATTTTGAGTTTGGAAGACGCAGGGGCTGGTAAGACAAAGAGAAAGGGTTGTTCGAAGGACCTGGCAGAAGCTCCCTGTGCTTTTCCGTTTGGGGTTTGCAGGGGATTTATGGCTTCTTCTGGGCCGGCAGTCATAGTTGAGGTGACTAAATCTCTCGAGTTTTGGACACATGTGGCTTAGGGCAGGACCCGTATAATGACTTGCAACCCCGAGGCCCAAGATAGCATGTATGCCTGTGTGAGAACTCCAAACCTATACTGACCAAGTACAGGAACCGAGAATGACCCCATAGTTAGAACCCACATAACGGCGTAAACCGCACCCAGGTCCCGCATCAGACCCGAAAAAAACCTGACCCAACCCAACAATATACCTCACAAGACTCTAACAAAACCAAATAACACCCCAATGCAAGCCTCGACAACCCCTCATGAAACGCAAGAAACAAAGCAAAACATAGAATGCTTACAAATCCGACGACAACTCTACAAAACCCCAATATAACGCTGCTACCAAAATCCCTGGACAACTCCGCAAAGGAGCGCCTCAGCGAAAAAGGTGAAAGGCCCTCCAGTGGGCAGCGCAGCGCTCGAACCCTCGCTCGACAACCTTGCGGACTAAAGGGTACTGAGATTTTACGGTTTTAGGGTTTAGGGTTTCCCTACACCCTAAACCCTAAACTGCTATGAAGGGGGCTAAAGGGTTCAGGATACTGTAAATCCTAAACCCTAAACCTGAGTCTTGGGTTTAGGGTTGAGGGCTTCGGATTTACAGGGCTGAGGATTCCTTTAGGGCTCCTTGGCGGGCATTGGTTCTGAGGTTGCTCGGGTTAGTGTAGGTGGGGCTGTTGTTCAGGGCTTGCCTTTTAGGTTTAGGGGTTTGTTGGCGGGCAGGGGAGGGAATAGTTTTTTGCTTCTGGGGCTATTGGGGTTAGTGTAGCTGGGGCTATTGGGGTTAGATTAGGGTTCAGGGCTTGTGTTTTACTTTAGGGCTTGTAAGGTGAGGGGAGCAAGAAACAAAACACTGTATGGGCATCAAGGGGGCTGTATACTGTACAGGTATATTGGGGAACTGTCAGGAGTAGTTATCTCAGTATAGTACAGTATATTACAGATAATATATGACATCTCATAGTATATCATAGTCTAGTATAGAGGAACTTTGGCTTGCTTGAAACTTAGGAGTCCAGCGGCTTGGGGAGTTCCGTGTGTCAGGGGTTTGTGGCTTAACCCTGCACCCGCGAGCATCCCTCAATGCTAGACTTGCTAGGTTCAGAAACCACCAACTCCCGAAATTTCGCAAACCCGAATCCACCCCTCCCCCCAATAATAAGCAACAAGAATAAAATGTATGTATTGAATAAATCAACACCCCAGGCCCAGTGGCTGGCACTTCCCGCACTCAAAGGCCGCTTTGTGGCTGAGGACCAAGGGAGGCTTCAGCGAGATCTGGCCACGTGGGTCGATAGGGATGGAGGTTTGCAGTTTCAGGTCAAGGTTTCGGTTTAGGGTTTAGGTTTTAGGGTTTAGTTTTCAGGGTCTAGGGTTTAGGGCTTTAGGGTTTGGAGTTTTAGGGTTTAGCGGTTTAGGAATGGTTTGGGCTCGGGGAATAGGATTTGCAGTGGTCAGGGCTTCGGGTGGTTCAGTTTGTGGGCAGACTCACGGGCTTGCAGAGCTTTGGAATCTTGGCTCTGGGTTTCCGCATCGGCTGTCGTGGGCTGCAAATCTCTGAATTGTAATGAAGGGGCCTTAACAATTAATAGGGTGTTGGGGCCATTATACTATAAGTCTAACAAGGAACCCCCCAAAATAGTAGAGGTAATTATTCAGGCTCCTATGTTAGTCTAACTGTTTCGTGGGCCAATGCCCTCAAACTCTGCACCCTTATCCCCCGAAACCCCAAAACCTAATTACCCTAAACCCAAACCTTAACCCAAACCCTACACCCGAAAGCTGCGCAAGCTGCTGGGGCCGCCGACCTCAAAGATAAGAAGCGCTTCAGTTTTGCCTTTTCTCGGTTTCGGTTTAGGGTGTTAGGGCTCCATCTGCCGAACCTGCTCCCTTCCCTTAAGCAAGTTCCGGGTCCGAAAAAGCCGCGCTTTGAGACTTCTTATTTGGGCTAGCGGCTAGCTGACACCTTTCGAGGCTGCAAAGATGCAGCAGAAGCTATCTTGTAGGGCTCGACGGTTTCTGATGAATGGGCGAAAATCGTTCGTTGGTTACGCGGCGCAGAAAGCTAGGGCCTAAGCATGCCTAAACGGGGTTAGGATTGCAGCACTATTATGAGCCCCCGTGACTCGTCTGCGGCCTCCACATGCTGAAGAGCACGGGCAGGAATCTTCACCTTGGAATTGTCGCTGTCCGGCCCTTTCCAGCGCATCTTGAAGACTTCGCCGCCACCCTTCTCGCACATGTCCACCATGATGTCATGGGTACCTGGCTTCAACTCCATTTCGTCACTGCCTCTCTCCCTGCTTCCGTGGCAGCCATTGTTGTCGACGATCTTCTTTCCGTTCAGGTACATGAGGGAACCTTAGACACAGCGCCTCACTGCTCAATGTCACCACCTTTTATTTACAAGTGCTCGCATGCAAGGCACCATCGTCTGAGACTGTGAAGAACTTATATTTGCCCTCCTTCTTCGTGACAAGCTGACCAGTACACCTACGCAGACATCTGCGACTCGGAGAAGGTTCGGCTGCTGCGAAAGACTCTGTGACTAAGCAAGCCGCGCCTCACGCAGAATTGGTTGCCCTGCTTGACTTCGGGGAAGTTCCCGTTCGTCTGATCGCAAGAGCGCAGGACGGCAGGCAGACCCATATGCACAAGATCTGAATCAGATTATACCATGCATGGACCCTTTGCCCCTTTGCACATTTTCACAATCCCGGTCCATGTGGAGCTCGGGCACGACCACACGATTGCCCGGGGTCCTTGCAACGAAGACTCTCCGACTGATCTTGGAGTCGCCAGGCTCTTGGGCTTGGGGGCCTTTCCCAAAGAGGATCTGCTGCGAATTTTGCTACCGAGGGTCAAGGTTCCCAGGTCCGGCACTTGGCACTGAGACTGGTCATAGAAGTAGTCGCACACCAAGCCACCCTCGCGACGTCAGCAATGCTAGCTATGGTCTTAATCTCGGCACTTAATCTTTTGTTGTCTTAGTCTTGGCAGTCTGCATCGCAAGCAGCTGCACAGATTCAAGATGTACGCGCAGCCGCGAAGTGGCTTCAACACATCCGGGGCATTTGCCCCATGTCTCCTTACTCTGCGCCTTGCACGTGCCTCTCGAACACGTTGTCATGACTCTCCAACCCTGCATCATACTCCACAACCCCTTGTGAGACCAGAGGTCCCCACCTATCTTATCCCGACGCATTCCGCAGGTTTCGCATGCATCGCTGCGTCAGAAGAGTCCCCAACGCGCCCCCACTGCCACTCAGCTCTCGAGCAAAGCGGGCAAAGCGAGCCCGGCCTTGACCATCGCCTGGCCAGGGAAAGCAAAAAGCAGCAGCTACGACGGACAAAGACGCGGATGATGACGATGACGATAACGATCACGATGATGACGATGACGGTGTGATGGGATGGTGATGGTGATGGTATTCTGATGGTGTGATGGTTTTGATGGTGCTGGTGTGATGGTGATGGCGTGATGGCCATGGTGATTGCGATGGCGGTGGCGGCGGTGCTGGCGTGGCTGGCGCGGGTGGCGCGGGTGGCGGTGGGTGGCGGTGGGTGGCGGTGAGTGGCGGTGGGTGGCGGTGGGTGGCGGTAGTGGTTATGGTCAGGACCACCATTCCTTGCACATAATGTCGCTTACCATCATATCATGATCGTCATATGCTTCTTCACCACCCTCATTAATACCTGCTCCTCGTCGTCATCGCCAGCATCACCACCACTTCCATCTGCAACTTGGGACTGTAAGCCCGAACGTTGAGTAACAAGTGGTCCCCGAAGGTTCTCGCTGCAGGTTGGTGCTTGATTCGTTAGGACCTAAGAGGTTCATCATCATTGACGGCTTGAAGGCCACGTGCGTGGCAATTGAAAGACTTGTAACCTACTGTACGCAAGACTCTGCTGCGTGCCTTCTCGTGCTTTAGCGCGGTAGCCGGGATCTTGACCTTGGAGTTGCCACTGTCTGGTCCTTTCCACCGCATCTTGAAGACCTCGCCACCGCCCATCTCGCACATGTCCACCACGATCTCGTGGGCACCCGGTTTCAACTCCACGTCGTCACTGCCTCTCTCCCTTTCTCCGTGGCAGTCATCGTTGTCGACGATCTTCTTTCCGTTCAAGTACATGTTAGAGCCTCGAAAGCAAGCTACACGAGTCACACACCGTCTCACGGCACCGTACATGTCTGGCACGTGACGACATCTTGCATGCAGGGACCATCGTCTGAAGCGAGGAAGAACTTGTACTTGCCCTCCTTCTTCGTGACCAGCCGACCGGTACACCTAGCAACAAGTCCGACATTCCGGCCCATCCAAATGTATCTTTAGTCCTCACCCCGTGAGCCCACCTCGTGCAGAAGTGGTTTCCCTGCCGGACGTCGGGGAACTTGCCGCTGGTCTGGTCACAAGAGCACCGAAGGCTTGAAGTAGCTGCAAACGTCAAACGCCACACTCTGCATATCGATCCGTTTAGCAATCCCGGTCCATGTAGATCTCGGGCACAATCACGCTATGAGCCGGGCTCCTGTCCAAGGGGCCACGAGAGCAGGAGAAGAAGCTCAGGCTGCGTAGCCAAGGATGTCTCTGCGACGCACCAAGCAAAGCCCTAAATCCTAAACCCCTGGGCTATGCGCACTTAGTTGCTTCCGAGTGTCAGGGCACCCAGGTCGGGAACTCGGCACTGCGACTTATCGTAGAAGTAGTCGCATTTCAATCCGTCTTCGAGATCGAGCTTGGGCTGGCAGGGACAAAGCTTGAAAGCGCTCAGTCTCCATCTTCAGGCTACTCACACGATGTCCGAAATGCAATGCGACACTGCAAGTGCATATGATTTGCCAGCTGACTGGTGCTAACACCGGCATGCCTTCTCGTGCTTGAGCGCAGTAGCCGGGATCTTGACCTTGGAGTTGCCACTGTCTGGTCCTTTCCAGCGCATCTTGAAGACCTCGCCACCGCCCCTCTCGCACATGTCCACCACGATCTCGTGGGCACCCGACTTCAAGTCCATGTCGTCACTGCCTCTCTCCCTTTCTCCGTGGCAGCCGTTGTTGTCGACGATCTTCTTTCCGTTCAGGTACATGAGGGAACCTCCCATAGTGGTGTAGGCTATGGCTACGGTGGCACTTACGGGCACTATATGCCCTACGCTTCTGCAGCCCAGCTCACGACGACATCACCTTCCTGCAACCCTTGTCTGCATCTGAGACACCGTCATCTGAGGCGAGGAAGAACTTGTATTTGCCGTCTTTCTTCGTAACGAGACGACCAGTGCACCTGCCAGAGCATTAAGGAACTGCGAAGGGTTCTTACTTCTGGCATGCTTATCGCCCTGAGCCCACCGTGCCTCGTGCAGAAGTGATCCCCCTGACGTACTTCCGGAAACTTCCCATTGGTCTGATCGAGACATGCAGCTTGCACGACAACACTCACGCAAAGCTGCCCTGAACTCATCCCGATCCCGGATTACTTTTTGCAATCCCGGTCCATGTAGATCTCTGGCACAATCACGCGATGGGCTGGGCTCCTGCTGACTGCATGAGTCCGTCAAGCTCATAGCTACATGGCCGATGGGATGCGCTGGACCCTGATTCCCTTCCCCGAAAGCCAGCGCGCACAGGTCATTATGATAAATATTATTGTGATTAGTGTTGCGTTTATCATGATTGTGTGTTGTTGCTATAGTAGTCGTATTCGTCTTTTTCTGTTCATTATTCTCGCTACTGTTAAACACCTTCCTTCTTTATGAAGTTGCTTGCCGAGGGTCAAGGTGCCCAAGTCCGGCACTTGGCACTGCGACTGATCGTAGAAGTAGTCGCACTCCAAGCCGTCCTCGAGGTCAACATCCTTCGGCAGTGGCCCCTCTCTCCATGCGCTCTGTTACGAAAGAGCGGCCTTCATCCATAGGACCAAAACCATGATCCTCAAACCAACACCATCACGACTACCACCAAAATCACCATCACTCTAATAATCATCACTCGAATTATCACGCAAGTAGTCGTGGTTGACATTAAGAGCACGGGGGCCTCGGGCTTGTCGTGCCTCAGCGCAGACTTGGGGATCTTGACCTTGGAGTTGCCACTGTCCGGCCCTTTGTAGCGCATCTTCAGGACCTCGCCACCGCCCATCTCGCACATGTTCACGGCCAATTTGTGCTTTCCCTTCTTCAGGTACTTCTGGTCGCTGCTCCTCTCCCTTTCTCCATGGCAGTCGTCGTTGTCGACCACCTTCTCGTCATTCAGATACATGACTGAACCTCTCAATGCAGGGATCTGAGCTTGACGGAACTGTGACTGAAAAGGACACCACCCCTCAGCCTCAACCACGTACCCTTTCTCCCCTACAGAAGCCCAGGCGCCATCGTCCGAACTGAGGAAGAACTTGTAGTTACCCTCCTTCTTCGTGACGAGGTGACCGGTGCACCTGAACGTGACGTCGTCAGCATCTGCAGTGCTGAAGATCAATATTTTTGGTGAGCACACAGGCTTGTCAAAACACTAGTAATTACTAGCCTTAGGCGCTTCTAAACCCGAAGCCACAAACCCGTCCGAAACATCAACCCCCGGTTCCGCAACAGCTCAGACTCAGATGCACCCGCCCTGCCTGATGCAGAAATGGTTGCCCTGGCGCACTTCGGGGAACTTCCCATTCTCCTCAAGGCAATGGACCCTGTAAGAACACAAAAAGCAACGACCCGGTTACATGGGCCTCGTGCCGGCCACCGCCTAAACCGTCGGCCTGTTGATGTACTCTGCGACCCCCAGTCTCAAACCCGGCCCAAACTCAAAAATCCTACAACTCTGACAGCCAAGCACCCTCAACACTAAACTTCCTCCTGCACCCTCCATCCCCACCCCCCAACGCTAAATCCTTTATTCCCTGGACCTGCTCGCCACACGCAAGAAGGAAAGGTTCCCGACAAAAACATACCACGAGTATAGGTGTTGGACGAATTAGAACAAGCTTTCGGAGTGTATCGTCCTAGTATATCATAACAGTCTACGGAAGTGTAAATTGCTTACCAGATTGAAATATATTCTTCCGAAACCTCAGCTTAATCCTGAGTCCCCTCTGGAATGTGCCGGTATCGCCCCAGGCGTTCGGGCACGGCGTAAAGTCGTAGAGTTGAGGGTTTGGCATAGGCTTGAGGTTTTGGGCCTGCGGTTTGCTGAAGGTTTATTGCGACTTGAAACCATGATCCAACGACAGTATACCCACCTGAGTAACTATGAATCGTTACAGCAAGGCCCATCTGATTCCCAGAACCGCCACGACCCATCGAAGAAGAAAGCAAGCAAGCAAGCAAGATGCTTTGATGGCAGCACCCCTAGTCCGAATAAAAAGTTGAGGTAATAAAGGCATTCGGCAAAATGATCCTCATCCTCATCCTCATCATCATCATCATCGTCAGCATTGTGATCATCTCACCATTACGATCACTGTCATCAGCAACTCCTATGCTAGTGGTGGCAAAAAATTCCCCGAGCTCCCCAAGCCCGGTCCATGAAGATCTCCGGAACCACCACCCGGTTCGCTGGGGTCCTTTTCGCATGTTTAGTCTTTGCTTGGGGGAGCCTTAAGCCTTAAAGGAAACTCCAGAAAGTTGGAATATGGTTTCAGGGTAGGATACCTTATAATTTACCATAAAAGGTTTAGGATAATCATATTCCAACTTTCTGGAGTTCCCTTTAAGCTTTAGGATCGAGACAGCTTGTTGTTTACGGGTCTTCGGGCTTCGGGATGTACGGGCAAATTTGTCAAACTTCGTACCCGAAACCTGGAGCCGGAGGCTACCATAAGAGTTCTCCTCGTCGAGATGCAAACGGCCAAGACCGATATCAGGCAACCATAAGGTCAACGGCTGCCGGATTGTCTGGATGCGATGTAGCTCTAACTAGCCATTCCAGAGACTACACCGCCGCTAAGAGACAGCTGAGTTTAATCATGCATTCTGCATGTACTCCATGGAATAGTCAATCCTGGCCCCCAAAAAAGTCAGCAAAAAAGCAGCCAGGAGTTCTCACCGAGAGGCAAAGCTTCCAAGTCAGGAACCTTGCACTGGGACTGGTCGTAGTAGTAGTTGCACTCGAGACCTTCGTTCATGTCCGCCTGAGTTTAGGGTTTAGGGTTTAGGGAATTACGATTTAGGGTTTAGGGCTTCGGGATTAGGATTTAAGGTAGGTGCTCTATGCACCCTGTTCATGTCCACCTGCAGCTTACATGTTGCATTGTAAATTTTGCAACGTGGGGAAACGGCTCTTTCTTTGGGGATGATTGTATGATGACTCTGTAAGGCGGTATGAGGTTTTGAAAAGGGTTTGCCGGATAGACAAAGCAAGGCAAGGAAAGATTTTCCACAGTCCCTTCATCCTTCATGCAAGGCTGTTGGAGTGGCTTCGCTCTTGTAGCTGTTGAATTGAGGCTTGAAAGACCCAAGTTTTTTGGAGCTTGGTGGCTATGGTAGGGTTTGGTGTGTAGGGCTTCGCGAATTGGAGCTTGTGGGCTGTCGACAGTTTACGGCGTCAAGGCCTCAGTACAGCCACAACCCGGTAGTCGCTTGTTGCTGCCCCGAAGAGAAGCTGCAAGTTCAGAAAATCTCTCCTCGGAACCGGAACCATTGAATCCTGCATGTTTCAGAAACCATGCCAAAAATCCCACTTTGGTTGAGGTGTAGCATGTGTCGCAATGCCGGTTACGGGGGTGGAGCACTAAGTGACGGGCGTTCTCAGGGACTTGAGTTTCGCAATCGGAATGCCCTAAATCCGAAGCCCGACTCCAAAAAGCTCGAAATCCGGGGACCCCGGGCCTGCTCCTCGTCCTCATCTGCTCCTTTCTGCCGGAAGTAGAGCGTGAGGCCGTGGTCCGTGGCAGGTCCTATGCCGTCAAGAGCGGAAAACTGAGCCCTTACAAGTGGAGCCATATGGGAGTTTCCGAAAATAGGGGTACCTTATTTTGGGGTCCTTATAAGGAGGATCCTATTAATTCCGGTACCATATAAGGGTCCCCTGTTTTCGGAAACCCCTATATTCATGCACCTTTGCAGCTTATCTTCATGTAACTTGCTGCTATTGGCTATTGTTAACACGTAATCCACGTGGTCATGATGATTCTGATGATGGCGATGATCATGATGATGACGATGATGATGATCGCCATTTATACGATTACTACCAAGCGCTATTGCTGTTGGGGTTTGAACGTAGGGTTTGATCGGAAGGCCTGTATGCAAGCATGAATTTGGCAGGCAACCTCAACCTGAAATCTCAGGCCACCCTCCAGAGCTGCCTTCGAGGACCCTCCCCGCAGACGCACAAACCCCCTGGCCCCCTGGATCTGGACCGATACCCTTGCAACGAGCACCCGTGTTATGACCAAGAAAGAGGCAAAGCTCGTCAACTGATGGACAATGCTTACCAAAACAGAAGCGTCTGTGGACAGAGAACCGATCCGAAACATGTCGGAACAAAATGGGCCCTCTGAGCATGTCAACTGAAACGACAGCAACCCGTCTTCGGCGCATAGCAGCAAACATACTTCCCATTCAATACTTTTTCTGTGCTTGAGCAGCGTAGTGTCTTTGCAAAACCCGCACAGGACCCGTAATAGGCTACATAAAGTTTTTGGTCCGCAACCACGTAACATCCCCGATAGTACACCTGCAGACCCTTTCAAGCACCCTCATATTGAAAATATCTGGAAACATCCTTTCAGTGCTAGAATCCTGTGCAGCTGGAGCCAGACCCCTCTCCACCCGTTTCGGACCGATCCTGGCGAAACGGCGTTTTTTTTTTGCGGTTTGGTGTTTAGGGTTCAGGGCTGAACAGTTAGCGGTTTTCAAAGCAGGGTCCAGTGTAGCAAAGCTTCAGAGAACAGGGGAGGCCCGGGTGGACATGGAATCGAAGCAGTAGAGTAGTCGGGTAGCAGAGCGGCAGACCAATCTAGCAGAAGACCAATAGGAAAGGAATAATAGTAGCAGTAGCAGTAGCAAGAGTGGCAGCAGCACTTGCAGTAGTAGTAGCAGCAGTAGCAGTAGCAGCAGCAACAGAAAGGCTAGGAGTAGACGTAATCCTGATCGAAATGACATCCGGGAACGAGTATGAGCCCCGGTGGCAGCGAAACAACGGAGCCAGCTGCACATCGATCACGATCGCGAGCACAAACGAATGACTACCTCTTGGCCTTTACGTGACTAGGTGACGTTGTTCTAGGGAGTTCTGCTTACACGACTACATCGAGTCCCTGGAAGGAACTTGAGGCAAGCAGAACATCAATGGCTGCTAAGGAGGTGCAAAGCTTTAGGACCCTACAAAGCCTCACTAAACCCAAATCCCCAAACCCGGAGACCTCCACGCGATCCATCCTGAACCCTGGCGACTCGAATCCTAAGCCCCAAGCCGCAATCCGTCCGAGTTTCGGAAAGCTTGTCCACGCCACCCTTGATCTGGCAGTTTCCTGAGATTTCCGCCGCCAAGCAAAGCCATTTTTCCAAGAGAGTGTGAGAAAGAGCCCTGCATCTAGACACCTACTAGGTCCTAGGTAACGATGCCAAAGCGTTAGTGCCGAGAACTCCGGCAACATCCCAAAAAAATCCAATCCAGCATCTTGAATATCTTCCTCAGCAGCTGGCCCGTCGACGAAGAACTGAACAAAACAGCAGCACCCGCCGTTTACAATCCTGTGCCGTGAAGGAAGGCCGAAAACCAAACAACAACCGAAGCCCCAAAACTCATTTTCGAGAGGGTGGCCCGACAACTTGGATCCTACGGACCCCAAACAGCCAAAGATCCATACTGCTGGTTGCATCCGCTGCCGCACATGGCATGGCCCATGGAGAGCGTGGAGTGGCAATCCTTGGAGTGGTTTAGGATGCATGTTTGAGAGTTGAGTACTTAGGGTCTTGGACCTTTGGCCTCACTGGGGCCGGGGGCTCCGATTCTCTACCTTTGGAGTCCTGGGTTTGAACCGCCTGTTCCGAGACTCTGGAGGAGAAACAGAAGAAGCAAAATGTATGGTGATAGTATGGTGCCCCTTTTTTGCTTCTTGTTCGCTACTTTGCTTGTTGCCTTCTGGGGGTTCCGCTGTCAATGGAGAGCACGGTTTTGGGTTACATTGGCTCAAAGGGCCAGGGTTGAGAGACCGAGACCCCTTTCGTCTGTTGTTCACCGCCTCAAACCTCCTGAGTTTGAGAGATACTGAAAACCCCTAGGCCGTGCTGCAAATTTCGGAGAACCTCAACTCATTAGTCTCCCTCCTGCTCGACAATCACATCGCCGAGGATTGCTAACGTGCGGCAGCTCAGCTTAGTTCTTTTTGGGGATTACCTTTATAGGATTCTGATTGTGACCCCCTCCAAAAAGGAACACGGAGCCTCTAAGTAACCCCTCGTCTTCAGGCTCAAAGCCGAATGGACGCCCACGGTATACGAGACCCTTATACTCAGCCTTGGGCACTGAATTTCCCCCCATCTTTACAAAAGTCCACCAACAAAAAGGGGACCCCAATATAGTACCATAAATAGTAGGATCCTTATTATAAGGACCCCAAAATAAGGTACCCCTATTTTCGGAAACTCCCATACCGGCTGAAGCCTTCGAGTGCCCAGTTTCGCAGGCATCGTCGTCCAACATGAAGGAGCGAATTCCATCCTGGTCCCTGTACCTGACGAGTGCAGCTTAGGAGCTGGGATGCTTGGGTTTAGGGTTTAGGGGTTTAGGGTTTAGGACTTAGGGTTTAGGATTTTGGGTTTAGGGTTTAGGGTTCAGGGGTCCGACTTCGGCGGGAAATGCATCGTTGCGCTGAAGTCTGCACGAAGAGGATGCTCCCAGAACGACAAGGTACTGCAGCTTCAGTTTAGCAAGGCCCTAAGAAGGAGAATGCACGGGGCTACGGGGGCTTGCGCCCAAATGCCCTATATTGTAGGATATTAGATAACAACGTATCATAATATTCTACTATAAAATGCTATACTGTGCTATACCATACGATACTCTACTATACCATACCATACGATACTATGCGAAAACGAGCCTATATCATAATTGTACTACGCGCTTCCCTGAATAGCTGGAAGGGTCTGCTGCTCCAAGCACTGAAACACAGGCATGAGGGCCGCGATCCACCGAAACGAATTCAGGCAGAATCCTCGAAACTCCCACGGAAGATGGCTTCGAGCGTTTAAGGATTGCTAAGGCTTTTGGGATTCGGTCTAGCAAAAGAAGGAACCCTTCATCCGGAAACCTGACTGAAGAGATTTTGGAGTCTCTGAGAATTCGACTTCCTCCTGCTCACAAAACTATGTCTCAGCTCAATTTCTGACCAGCCCGCACTCCAAGCTTTAACCCGGTCGGCGAGCCCTGAAACCTGCGAAAGACCGCCACGGCGCATGAGCGTGTCCTGTGCCCCACTGGTGACAGAGCCCTGTCGACGACAGTCGCTTAAGGTTCTAGAAAAGCTGTTGTGGCATTTCGGGCTCCAGTTCAGCATTCCAGGGGTTTGGCCTGTAGCACCAAGATCCTTGAGCGCTGCAGCTGTTATTGGTGAGTAGAACAACGAGAGCAATGTGGACAAGCAGCAATAACAATAATGAGGACACCATTTGCAAGAATAGGGGCCTAATCTTCACACCACAACATGGCTTTGTGGGCAGACATCCGGCAACATCTTCAAAGAATCAACAACACACGAAGCGTCCGTTCTGTGTCCAGCTTCCGACAGCAACCCCGAATCCAAGGGAAGCGGTGTTTCGATACAAAGAACAACAACTCACTCGCAGCAACTGGAGCAAGTGGCGAGTGTCGCGTCAGAGAAATTTCATGGCTCCAGAGCTTATGCTTCCGTGCACCGTTGTAGCATTGGCTTGGGGGAAACGTAGGACTTGAATATGGAAAAAATCTCTTAACCAAGACCCCCTAACAAACACCCCCAAGGAACCCGCCAGGATCCAAATCCATCAAACTAGTAAACCGAAATCACCAAAAGTACAAGAGTAAGATAGATCCCTGAACCCGAGGCATAACAGTCATAGTAATAATTACGATAGTAGCACGGCAAGGGTAATGATACTAACTATGAGGATTCATATTAGTCATAGACAAGAAGAAGACGGTAAACCCCTGGAAACCCAAAATAAAAAAGCAAAGTCTTTACAGACCTTACAGAAAGAACAGAAGAGACAGCTATCGAGCCTTGAGAACCTCGGGGGCCCAGGCCGGCCCGTGCGTCTTCTGAGTGGTCTTTCCATGCCTGGGCAGGAAGCCACCTCCAAAAATCACTATACTAAGGGCTTAAGGTTTTAGGGTCTAGGGATGACGATACTAAGGGTTTAGGGTTTTGGGAACAGTGTACTCAGGGTATTCGGGCATATGTATAGGCTTAGAAGAGGACGTTATGACCAGCTATTCGGACCTCTAGACTACATGGAGCCACTGTTCGGCCGGATAGATTTCAAGACTTTGGTTTTCAGAACCTAGAGCATGCAATTAGGGGTTTCAGGGTTTCATCCTTGGGGTGCAGGTGACCGGGGTTACGGTTGCCAGCTCAAGCGCAAATTCGCCAGCCGGGTGTTCAGTCCGACGCTTGGGGCCAAAGGGGTTCCTGATAGACAGGGCCTGTAATTCGGTTCAAGATACCACGAGAAAGTAGGGAAGGCATGTCATTTACTACATCTTCCCAGTATGGCAACTCCACATTGGCTTCGAAAAGGAACCTGAAGAACATTCTTGAAGATGCTCTGTTTGCCCATCTTATGGCTTCAGGCCTTCTCCGAAACCCGGACTTTTTGGAGGCCTGGGAAAGGATTCCAGCCGAAAGGAAAAACAACTCACGACCACTGGTGGGCTTCTTGTGCTGCGTTGATGTGCGCAGTCCTGTCAAGACTTCGACCGCTGCTGGCATGTGCTAGCACTCCGCAGAGCAAGAAAACACTGGCGGTCACTGGCGGCTGCACAGTGCATTTTGCGGGGATCTTGAAAGGTTCGGGCTTGGGATGGAGAGATAGAAATTCATGAGAACATGCCATTAAAGTCCCAATATCGCCAACTTTGTTTTTTCCCTCATGACCGAGTCTAAGTGTTGTCGCTCCTTATCAAGCCACGCCACCTGAAGGCCTCAAAAGCCGCATGGGCCACGCTGTTCGAGGCATCAAACTGCCACCGGAACTGATTGCCCACATCATCCTCGGGTCACTGATGGGGATGCCTAAAGTCAGCTCGGGGCCTAGGGTTTGCAGGGTTCAGGTTTTTATTCTTTATGTATGTGGTTTGCCTAGAGGCTTAGGTTCAGACCTTGCAGCTTACAAGCCAGGCAGCTAAAAGAAGCTTGCGGGTCGATTCTCATGTCTTCTTGTTGCTATCTTGGTGTATCCTGCTTGCTATCTGGTAGCACCAAGGCTACTGACCTGCATTCAAACACTACGCTTGAAGCTCATGTAACGGGGTGAACCCAGAGCCTTGATCGTAATACTGCTACTGCCCTTAAAGAACGGGGGTGACTAGTTAGCGGCCTACATTCGGACAGGGCTTTGGGCTCAAAGCAAGGGCACCCAGAAAGCATGAACAAGTAAAGGCTCAATCTTGCAGTTCTGATCATGACCCTGATTCAAGGTGAACAAGGGTTCATTAACCAGGGCATTACAGGATGGTTAGTGGCTCCGTGTTTGGTGCCTGGGGTTGATGTGTTGGTATCTGTGGCATTCTGTGGCCCTCGGTGAGACGGACAGCTTGAATGTTCTGATTCCGCCGTGACCTCTGGTTTCCTCTATGTTGCGGCCTTTGACTTGTACCACACATTGCTCCTGCCAATATCGGTTTCAGTCGCTGTTGTGTAAATACCAGTTCTGAGATGTCTTGAGGCTAGATTCTATGGGTTCCTAACGTCGGAGCATCAGTATGATTACAGCAACTTCCGCTCCCGAAGTAAGGTGCTGATCACCCTACTTACACCCAATAGTAAGGTATGTCAAGAAAAGGGAGATTTATGAATCAGATGCTGAACCACACCCTTTCAGCCGAGCGCCTAAAGCCTTGCGAATGAAAGTGGTTTGTCCGGGATGCAAGTAGCAAAATCGCTTGGAGGGGGTGGTAACAACATAAACCCGCGAAAGTTTAAACTCTTGGCTCTAAATCCAATCCCAGACAAATGTGGTTTTCAATCCACCTAAACGGGTCTCGGCATGCGGAACTCTCAGACCTCAAGAAACAAACTGCCCGAAACCCTCAGCAACAAAAACACACCTGAAACCCTAAACCCAAAACCTTGCAACCCAAAACCCTAAACCGTAAACCTTGCAACCCTAAACCCTAAACCCGGAACCCTGAACTTTCAAGCCGCAATGAGCCGAAGAAGAGGCCGAGGTGCGACTGCGAGGAGCTCTAAGTCCTTTTCCTCGACCTCCCAGAGACAAGAAAACTGAGAGAGCTTGGGGCACATACACTATACTGAACTTGGAACCCTAACAAAAATTGTAATTTTAGCTGTCTCTTAAGGATTATAATACCCTAATAACCAAAAATTATTTCTAAGTACCCCTAAGTTACAGTGCATAACATGTAGTGGACCATGTAAGGCTATAACAGGCCATGTAGTAGAGCATAAAACATATTGTAGCATATCTGCGCGGTTGTCAAAATTAGGGGTCCCTTTTGGGGTACCCTAAATAATAGGTGCCGTATTATCATGGGGACCCAAAAAGGGACCATAATTTTGACAACCACCCATACGGTATTCAACAGATCTTCGCATTAGATAACATGAAAAACGATACATGACATGTATTAGGGCTTTGGGGTTTCGGGGCTTGAGGAGTTTAGGGTTCAAGGGTTTGCGGATTTCAGTGTTTAGGGTGGCTCCACGGAGTCCCGACAAGAAAAGAGACAGAAAAGCCTTCTGCAACCAGAAACCCTGACATCGCAAGCCTAACCGCCCTGAGCCTCCACATCATAACCCTAAAACCCCCTTAAGCCTCCAGTAAAGCCCTAAAGCCCCTAAACAGCCCCTAAACGTCCAAAACCCTAAGCCCTTACCCCTCTTAACGCGACGCCCCCTAAGCCCTAAATCCTAAACTCCAAAACCCTCAGCCCCACCTTCGGCAACCTCTGGAAGCAGACTTTGTCCCCATCGTCGCAGGTCCCGAAGGAATCGCCCAAGACGTCGGCCTTTCCTGGTGTTTACGTCAGAGGCTTTGGAGTTTAGGGTTTTGGGGCTTCAGGGCTTCGGGTTTGGACCCGTGGGATTGAGGTCGGGAGTTCAGGGATACCGGCTTAAGGTCTAGGGGTTAGGAAACCCTAAACCCTGAACCCTAAACTCTGAACCCCAGGCCTAACAGCTAGGGTTGACGAGCTCAGGCTTTCCAGTGTTGTCTGGATTTAGGGCTCAGGGCGCTTGCTTTTCTAAAACCGCCCTCTTGGGAAGACGGATCAAAACCAAGAAGCATGGCAATTCCCGCGACCTGGGGTATTCCTGTAAACCGCAAAATCCCAAACCATAAAGTTCTATAGACCCTATATGAAGCCCTCTGCTCTGACGTCCTTAGGAACCCAAGGGTGCTTTAACGCCAAGTTTCCTGCAGGCCAAGAGGAGCCCTTCCTCAGCTCTGAGCTCGGAAGGACCAGGGGAACAGAGACTTAGGGTACAAAGACTCCAACATGCATCAACGAAGCCATACTCCTATCTGTCTATCCGTCTATCAAGGTGTCCATGTACAGCAGGAGTATTTGCTCATTAAGCGGTTTGGGGGGCTAAGGGTTCCGGCTTTCGGGTTGGGGAGATGCACAAGTCTTTCGACTCCATTGATGGCCCGAGTCGCGTAAACCACCAGAACTTGTTGTAGGTCTTCCCCTGGACGTCAATGGTTCCGTACTGATCGACGGGAACATCCTGATGGATTGCATCGGCATCTTTTCAACAACAGCGACTGTGCGTTGGAAGATTACTACAGACACAAAACACGGTACCCAGATCATGGAAGAAATTCGCAGAAGCCGACTGCGACCGGACGAGCCCTAGCCAAATATGCATGCCTTGTCGTGCTTGAGCACCGCAGCGGGGATCTTGACCTTGGAGTTGCCACTGTCCGGCCCTTTCCAACGCATCTTCAAGACCTCGCCGCCGCCCATCTCGCACATGTCCACCATGATCTCGTGGGCACCCGGCTTCAGGAACTTGTCGCCACTGCCCTTCTCGGTTTCTCCGTGGCAGCCGTTGTTGTCCACGACTTTCTCCCCGTTCAGGTACATGAGGGAACCTCGGAAACATTGCAGGCCAGGGAAAGCACACTTCATGTCACTGCACCACATGCATGCGTGGCCCATCTTTAGACGCACGGAAAGTCCCTGCTGTTTCTCCATTCATCCAGGATGCCGTCGTCTGACGCGAGGAAAAACTTGTAGTTGCCCTCCTGCTTCGTGACCAGCCGACCAGTGCACCTGCCGCATCAGTGAACTCCCGAAGCATTGGGAATCCTAAACCCTACACCCTAAACTCGAATACACTCTAAACCCGATTTACCGGGTTTCCCACGCCCAGGCCCCGGCCCCACCTGGTGCAGAAGCGATCCCCTTGACGTACATCCGGGAACTTCCCGTGGGTCTGATCACCAGAGCAGAGCATGTGATGTGAAATGCAACATGCATAGGTAAGCACGACATAGCAACAGAATCCCTATTCCGGGTTTAGGCTTTGGGTTCGGGGAGTTCGGGCTTGAGGGTTTAGGGAACGATGCGCGCCCATGCCCTGGACAAAATGTTGAAATCCCAGTCCATGTAGATCTCCGGCACGATCACGCTATGGGCTGCTTTCCTGAATGACATGTTAATGACATGAATCTCAGCTGTAGGTTATAAGCAGTGACAACCTGACCCATGGCTCCTGTTTGTGTTTGGATGTGTGTGTGTGTGTGCATGTATGTATGTATGTATGTATGTATGTATGTATGTATGTATGCATGTATATGTATGTATGTATGTATGTATGCATGCATGCATGTATGTGTACATGTATGTGTATATGCATGCACATGCATGTGTATGCATATACATGCATATGTATGTGGCACATATTTGTACATGTACGTGTATGTATATGCATGTTTATGTATGCCATGTATGCACATGTATGCAGGCGTGATGTATGAATATGTCTGAATATGTATTTGCATGTGCATGTGCATGTGCTTCGTGTGTGTGTATGTATGTATGTATGTATGTATGTATGCGTGTGCGTATGCGCATGCGGATGCAGATGAGGGGTGCGGACGCGGATGATGCGGATGGGTATGGGATGGTAAGGGTATATATATATATATATATATATATATATATATATATATATATGTGTGTGTGTGTGTGTGTGTGTGAGTGTGCATGTGTCGGTGTATGTGCATGTGAATGTGTATGTGTGTGTGTGTGTGTGTGCGTGTCTGTGGATGTGTATGTGTGTGTGTGTGTGTGTGTGTCTGTGTGTGCGTTTGTGCGCACGTGTGTATGTGTGCATGCCTGTACGTAGGTATGTATGCACGTACCCACACATGCACGGCCCAATCTTGCAGCTGAGTGTCAGGGCACCCAGATCCGGTATGTGACACTGCGACTGATCGTAGAAGTACTCACACTTCATGCCGTCGGCAAGGTTGAACTTTGGCTGGCCAGCCGGGACAAGGCAAACGAGATGACAAGTAGTTGCTTAGTGCTCGGCACCCAAGACGAAAGCATGACATAACACGCAAGCGAACAAAATTCGCTAGTTATCCACTTGAAACTGTAGAGCCCGGAGCGCCTTCTCGTGCTTCAGCACGGCAGCGGGGATCTTAACCTTGGAGTTGCCGCTGTCCGGCCCTTTCCAGCGCATCTTGAAGACCTCGCCGCCGCCCTTCTCGCACATGTCCACCACGATCTCGTGGGCACCCGGCTTCAGGAACTTGTCGCCACTGCCCTTCTCCTGTTCTCCATGGCAGCCGTTGTTGTCCACGACTTTCTCTCCGTTCAAGTACATGAGGGAACCTCCCATAGTGCAGGGTATGGCTACGGTGGCGCACACGGACATTATGGCCTATGCTTCTGCGGCCCAGCTCACAACGACCGCACCTTCCTGCCACTCTTGTCTGCAGCTAAGACACCGTCATCTGAGGCGAGGAAGAACTTGTAGTTGCCCTCTTTCTTCGTAACGAGACGACCAGTGCACCTGCCAGAGCATTCACGAACTCCGAAATAGTCTGGCTTCTGGGATGCGCCCTCCCGCCTCGTGCAGAACTGATCCCCCTGACGTACGTCCGGGAACTTCCCACTGGTCTGAGCACAAGAGCAAAGCAGACTACAGTCTTCAAGAACCAAGTGAACAAGCAATGCGTCAACAAGGTACAAGGCAACCATCCCACACAGAGGCCCCAGAACTAAACCCGGATCACTTTTGTAATCCCGGTCCATGTAGATCTCGTGCACGATCACACGATGGGCTGGGGTCCTTACCATGACATCTCGCCGCTTGAAACAACTTGAAAGATCACGCTGTGCCTACGTAGCCAAGGGTGCATCTACCACTCGCATGCGCCACGCGCACATTCTGCTGCCAAGTGTCAGGGCGCCTAGGTCCGGTACTTGGCACTGCGACTGATCGTAGAAGTAGTCGCACTCCAAGCCGTCTACGAGGTTCAGCTTCGGCTGGCCAGCAGGGACAAAGCAAAAGACATGGAAAAAAGGGGGCTACTGTGCGGCGTCCGGTTGCTTCAGCGGAGGGATAGCATGACACAACACAACAAGGTTGTCTTGTGAAAAAACGCCAAGGCATGCTCTGCTGCACAACTGCCTTCTTGTGCTTGAGCACGGCAGCAGGGATCTTGGACTTGGAATTGCCACTGTCTGGTCCTTTCCAGCGCATCTTCAAGACCTCGCCACCGCCCCTCTCGCACATGTCCACCACGATGTCGTGGGCACCCGGCTTCAGGAACTTGTCGCCACTGCCTCTCTCCCTTTCTCCGTGGCAGCCGTTGTTGTCCACGATTTTCTCCCCGTTCAAGTACATGAGGGAACCTCCCATAGTGCAGGCTATGGCTACGGTGGTGCACACGGACATTATGCCCTATGATTCTGCAGCCCAAATCACGACGACATCACCTTCCTACCACTCTTGTTTGCAGCTAAGACACCGTCATCTGAGGCGAGGAAGAACTTGTAGTTGCCCTCTTTCTTCGTAACGAGACGACCAGTGCACCTGCCGCAGATTCTGACTTCTGGGATGTGCCGGCGCCCCAAGCCCACCCACAACCCGCCTGGTGCAGAACTGATCTCCCTGACGTACGTCCGGAAACTTCCCATTGGTCTGATCGAGATGCAAAGTGCAACTTGCATGAGCACTGGTCAACAACACCCACGCAGAGCGGCCCTGAACTGAACCCGGATGAGTTTTGGCAATCCCGGTCCATGTAGATCTCTGGCACAGTCACGCGGTGAGCTGGGGTCCTGCCGAGATGTTGGGGCAGCCAGAATGCCAGAACCTGAACCCCTAAAGCCACAACTGCCCGAACCTTAACGAGACCCTAACCTGAAACCTTAACCCCAGAACTCCTCGAAGCCCTAATTGATGCACGAGTCTTGTAAATTAGAATAGGTTTTGCGGCATTATATATTGTGCTCAGTATATTCACGTGGGAACTTGAATGGGGTACGATCATTCTCAATCCTCTACTTGGATCTCATGGGTAGTTATTAGTGGAGCTACAAGCAGGCTAACTGTAATTCTAACAGCCCATTTTACTTAGGGACTCCTAACCCTACTCATAACTACCCATGAACTCCAAGCAGAGCCCTCATGGAGCCCTTGTAGGAGCACTGATAGATCCTTCTAGATCCCTTAAAGGAGCCCATGAAGCTCCAAGTAGACTTCCCCAGCTGCTGCTGAGCGTCAGAGAACTCAGGTCCGGCACTTGGCATTGCGCCTGATCCTGGGCTCTGGGGTTTATTATTATTATTATTATTATTATTACTATTGTTATTATTATTATTATCATTATTATTGTTAGTATTATTACTATCGTTATGATTATCGTTATTATTGTTATTGTTAATACTATCATTATGATTATCGTTGTTATTGTTATTTTCTATTGTTATTACTGCTATTGTTATTACCAATATAACTGTCATTATTATTGTGTTTATTGCTATTTGTCCATTGCTATTCTTACAATTGTTATTATTGTCAGTTATACTTTTTTTATTATCATTAATGTTGTTATTAGTATGACTTTATTATTATTGTTATTGTTATTATTATTGTTATTGTTATTATTGTTGTTATTGCTGTTTTCTATTGTTATTATTATTGTTGCTATTATCAGTTTTATTGTTATTAGCATTACTGCTACAAATATAGCTGGTGCGGGTGTCTGGAATTCTCATTCGCAGAATCATCCATCTCGAGTCAAAACGTCAAGGTGTGGCTTAATCTTTAAAAAGTCTTGAAAGTTGAAGTGCAGGGTTAAAGATTTCACAATTGTTTTCGATGGGCGATTAGGGTTGCAGGGTTGCGTCTGTGCTTTTACAGTTTCATTGGGCGGTTTACGGTTCAATCTGCGCTTTCGAAAACTTGAGGTGTTCAAGAGGGCTTTAAGGCCGGAGATAAGAAACACAAAAACTGCTATCCCTAGATGGTAGAGACTAAGTGGAGGCTTGAAGGATGCTTTAAATCTCTAAACCGTTATCCACACATTCCAGATCCCAGAATCGTAGAAGTAGTCGCACTCCATGCCACCCTCGAGCTCAGCCTGACCAGGGTGCAGCTCAGGGTTTGGATTCGTGGCGGATGTCGGGGAGCCTTCAGTGGGTTTAGGGTGTAAGGCAGTTTAGGGTGCCAGCTAGTGCAAAAAGACAAATGAAAGCCTATTTAAGTAATTACTGTTGATGATCTGCTCTTGTCGTTTCTCCGCATTCCTTGATTTTACTGTGTTGGGTTGGAAGAAGCCCAGCTGAATCGCTTTCCGTTTAGTCATTACGTTACTTCTGTCTTATTTGCACGCAGCACGTTCATTTCTCTCCCCCTAAACCTTAAACCCTAAACCATAAAGCTCTTTCCTTTTTCGGCTCCTTTAGGGCTCTCTTGGTGACGCGGCCGCCTCCAAGTCCGGCTCCTTGCCGTACTTGAGAGCGCTCTTGGGGACTTTCGCCTTGGAGTTGCCGGTGTCCGGGCCCTTGTAGCGCAGCTTCAGGACCTGAGGGGATAGGGCTTTGGGACCGAAGTCGCGAAGGGTTCCACCTCTAAGAGATTTTGGGGTGTCTAGGGGTTTTAGGGCCAGTTTAGGGTTCAACATTCGGGTTCCGGCTATTGGGATCTGAGGGCTGGAGCTTCGAGGGTTCAAGTTGGAGGGTTCATGGCTGCCCTGACAAGCGAGCAACGGTGCGCCATTCCAAACTTCAGGGGCTTTGGATGTACGTACCGGGGTTCCATACAGATTTGCGAAGGTCCCGTTGAAAATGCCCATTAGGAGCAGTTTGGGGACATGAAACCCAAGTTTTGAGAATCCCGACCTCGCCGCCACCCTTTTCGCACATGTCCACCGTCACCCGGTGAGTTCCCTTCGCCATGAAGGTGTCACCACTGCTCTTCTCCTGCTCCCCGTGGCAGCCATTGTTGTCGACGAGCTTCTGCCCGTCCAGATACATAATGGAGCCTGGCAGAAACTTTGGGCTGAACGGCTTCATGAACAGTGAATCAAAGTGGTCAGAGCCAGGGTCTGTAGTACCCAAAACCCTAAACCTTGTGTAGTGCTGCATCTTCTGCCTTTCAAGACACCACGCAGCTTCTTCCCCCAACAAGCCCTGCGAAAATTCAATCCTAAGCCTCAACTTCAGCCCTAAGCCCTTTAGGACCACCGCTTCAAGCTCAGGACAGCACCGTCGTCCGAACTCAGGAAGAACTTGTAGTTGCCCTCCTTCTTGGTAACCAGGAGACCACTGCACCTCGTGGGGGATGCCAAGAGGGTTGAGCTAGTTTCGGGGGTTTCTAGTCCTGGCTTGAGGGAATAAGGAATTAGAACTTCAACGCCCCGTAGGGCTGCAGGCTTCTGACGTTTGGTTGAGGGCTATTCTTCAAGCTCAAAGGTGTCCCCCGCCTGATGCAGAAATTATTGCCTTGCCGGACGTCGGGGAACTTGCGGTTCTCCTGCACTTTCCAAGGAGATCTTGGGATATGAAATACAAGGGTTTAAAGACTACGATGGGTTTTGGGTCCCATTTTCGAAATACTTAATTCGCAAGTATTTCGACTCCGATTCTAGTGCTTCAGGAGCAGCTTTGTTGGGCTTTCCCGGTCCATGAAGATCTCTGGCACAACCACTTTATTCGCAGGTGTCCTTGGAAGTGCATTCTGCGGGATTGGAAACTCTGCTGCAGGCCCTTCTTTGCTTGCGACATGCTTCGACAAATCTGGAATTTCCTGCCAACGAGGACTGATCACGCATGCAATAGACCGGCCGGGGCATGCTGCAAAGAATCAGAGTAGCTAGTGGAATAGTATGAATCATGAAAAATAGGTCCGTGGATTACTGACTGCTGAGGGTACAGGACAGGCCAGCGAAGGCTGCAGATGCGTTGCCAGCAAACGCGCTTACTTCGCCTCAAAGCCCGCCGAGATGGTTTGCTCGAAGGACCGAAGCCCAAGCTGAAAATCCCAAAGCCCAACCCAACTGCGCCGGGCAGCAAGGTACCGAGGTCGGGGATGTGACCTCATCTGCATCAGGGGGGCAGGGAGCCAGGGTTGCGTTTAGGAGATCCTAAGTTAAGCCCTAAGCCCTCAACCCTACACGAATATCCTTCGATTTTGCGCTTGCCGCTACATTGCTCTGGGAAGACCGGTGGATTTGGCAGGATCCTGAGTACCGCTGCGCTTGACATCCTTAGAATGCTAAATGGTGTCCAAAAGGGCTTTCAAGCGGCTGCGCCGCTTCGGGACGAAATAGAGCAGACTCATAGAAGAACGAGACGCGACAGCTGACAGAAGACGGAGTGAGCGAGACTGGCAGATCTTCGGATTTGAAAACTCCGGTGTTCAGAACTTCGTAAGCTGGAACCCTAAGCGCTTGAAGCCAAGACCCCAAACAAACGCTCCACCCCAAAATCAATGAACTTATTCATGAGCTTAATGATGTACCTTTGAACAAATCTGGCACTCTTCCAACTAGTGGTGTCAAGCTAAGAGCTCACAGAACCCATCACAGTGTAGTTTGAGGAATGAGAGTTGAGGGACTACAACCCCATACACGAATCTCTCGCAACACCCGAACCCGGACCCTGAACACCCTGAAGCTCTACAGCCCCAAACCCCAATACCTATAGAACAAACAAAGCCTGGAAGGCCCCATAGACTATCATGGTAGCCTGAATTCTTGCCCTACTTCTGGGATAATCTACCCCCCAACCCTATCTTACATCTTACTGCCCCATAAACGACCCAAGTGGCATTGGGATTGGTCGTAGAAATACTGACACTCAATGCCATCCTCGAGCGTGACCTGCTTGTAATTTGCTTTTAGCTGTCTGGTTACTTTGACTTCGGTTGTTTGTGGCTCAGGGTTTGCTTCTTCCGTTTGCGCTTGTGTTATGTGGTTCCACCTCTTCTTCTTCTACTTGCTGTTTTGTTAGTCGTTCTTGTTTCGAAGGCCTCTGGCGGTGCAACGCGCTGAGGATCTTGAATTTTCCGTCGGGTGGGAGAAGTTTCACTAGCGAGTGGAGATGACGTGATGGAGAACCTGATACTGGGCCATGCATTAGCTTGCCCTCGGTGCTTCGAGGATGAAGACAACCCTCCCCGTATCCCAGAACCCAGTAGCCCAAAAATCCCGAATGCCTCCCTCAGAATTCACGCCCTTTTCGCAACTGGTTGAATCGGCAACGCCTTCGGGGCCTCAGCCACGAAACACCTTGTTAAGCAAGCTTCTGTGCCACTGAACCCCAACATGCAAACCCCCAATTCCCAAACCCTAAAAGCAACTGCACCAAAAAAGCCTACACCAAATTCATGTCCAATTCCGCAACACCTTTTTTCCCAAACAGTAAACCCTCAACCATAGGGAAGAAGACGGCCTCGTCGCCGATATGTTCCTGGACATCAACGCACTTGCACCCAGCGGAAACGAAGCTTCAAAGACACCCTGGAGTTAGGGGTTCAGGGATTCGGGATGTTTAGGGTTGAGGGTTGCTGGACAACTCGCTGACAAAGATCGCAGCTACATCAGCCCCGTGTATAGAGCTAAATCCTTATGCGGTTTAAGGACCCTGGAAGCAAGAGTTGGTTTTGGGCTCAGGGAGAACACCCACAAGCCGAAAGTCCCGCAGGGGTGTGCCGAAAGCTTCGAAAACTGAGAGCATGGATCGAGCACCTCCAAGCGACAGTTGTCTTGCTTTTGTTATGGCTGCTAGTGACAGCTTAGGGTCCAGGATATGCCGCATGCCAAACCGAAAACCCTGTAGTGTCTCGGACGCTTTAACCTGTTCTTCGCCACCTTTAGTTTTACCTATAGTCTCCATTGTACGTCCTGTTTGGGTTTAACTAGTTTCAAGTTAAGGATCCTAGAGAGTAACTCCAAAAAGGAAGTACATTGGAGACTACGGGTAGCTCGATGATCTGGTACTGCGAGTTCTCCCACATTCAAGACGAGCTGCGCAGCCGCTGAGTGCGTAAGGCTCCAAATCGTTCCTGAGGTATTGAAAAAAGGGAAAAGCAAGATGCGTTGGGTTTAGGGTTTAGGGTTGAGGGCAGGGTGTCTGAGTCTGAGTGCCATTGTTTCGGCATAGGGTTCGGGGTGCCAGTATTAGTGTAGCAGTCTATTTTGCGCAGCGTTGGTACATAGCTCTGTTGGGAGAATGGTCCAGTGTTGGCCAGCAGTGGTCTTCTGGACATGCGCGCAAACCGAAAATTGGCAACTTCCAACGAACAAGATCGGAGTAGACGCTTGTGTTGGGAGCCAATGTTTAAATCTCTCGCTACAAATAGATGTCGAACAAGATCGGGGTAAACGCTTGTGTCGGGAGCCAAATGTTGAATCTCTCGCTACACATAGATGTCGAACAAGATCAGCGAAAACGCTTGTGTTGGGAGCCAATGATTGAATCTCTCGCTACATACCGATGTCGAACAAGATCAGGGTACACGCTTGTGTTGGGAGCCAAGGTTTGAATCTCTCGCTACACATAGATGTCGATTAAGAACAGGGTAAACGCTTCTGCTGTGAGCCAATGATTGAATCTCTCGCTACAGCTACACGTAGATGTCGATCAAGATCGGGGTAAACGTTTGTGTTGGGAGCCAATGTTTGAATCTCTCGCAACACATAGATGACGAACAAGATCAGGGTAAATGCTTGTGTTGGGAGCCAATGATTGAATCTCTCGCTACACATAGATGTCGATTAAGAAAAGGGTAAACGCTTCTGCTGTGAGCCAATGATTGAATCTCTCGCTACGGCTGCACATAGATGTCGAACAAGATCGGGGTAAACGCTTATGTTGGGAGCCAATGATTGAATCTCTCGCTACATACCGATGTCGAACAAGATCAGGGTAAACGCTTGTGTTGGGAGCCAATGTTTGAATCTCTCGCTACACATAAATGTCGAACAAGATCGGGGTAAACGTTTGTGTTGGGAGCCAATCTTTGAATCTCTCGCTACACATCGATGTCGAACAAAACGGGGTAAGCGCTTGTATTGGGAGCCAATGTTTCAATCTCCCACCACACATAGATGTCGAACAAGATCGGGGCAAACGTTTGTGTTGGGAGCCAAAGATTGAATCTCCCACCACACATGGCTGTCGAACAAGATCGGGGTCAACGCTTCTGTTGGGAGCCAATCTTTGAATCTCTCGCTGCACATAGATGTCGAACAAGATCGGGGTAAACGCTTGTGTTGGGAGCCAATGATTGAATCTCTCGCTGCACATAGATGTCGATCAAGATCGGGGTAAACGCTTGTGTTGGGAGCCAGTGTTTCAATCTCCCACCACACATAGATTTTGAACAAGATCGGGGCAAACGTTTGTGTTGGGAGCCAATGATTGAGTCTCCCACCACACATAGCTGTCGATCAAGATCGGGGTAAACGCTTGTGTTGGGAGCCAATGTTTGAATCTCTCGCCATACATAGATATCCAACAGGATCGGGGCAAACGCTTGTGTTGGGAGCCAATGTTTGAATCCCTGGCCACACATAGATGTCGAACAAGATCGGGGTAAACGCTTATGTTTGGAGCCAATGATTGGATCTCTCGCTACATACCGATGTCGAACAAGATCAGGGCAAACGCTTGTGTTGGGAGCCAATGTTTGAATCTCTCGCTACACATAGATATACGACAAGGTCGGGGTAAACGCTTGTGTTGGGAGCCAGCGTGTTGAATATGTCGCTACACATCGATGTCGAACAAGATCGGGGTAAACGATTGTGTTGGGAGCCAATGTTAGAATCACTTGCCACACATAGATGTCGAACAAGATCGGGGTAAACGCTTGTGTTGGGAGCCAAATATTGAATCTCTCGCTACACATGGATGTCGAACAAGATCGGTGTAAATCTTTGAATCTCTCGCTACACATAGATGTCGAACAAGATCGGGGTAAACGCTTGTGTTGGGAGCCAATGACTGAATCTCTCGCTACACATAGATGTCGAACAAGATCGGAGCAAACGCTTGTGTTGGGAGCCAATGATTGAATCTCTCGCTACATACCGATGTCGAACAAGATCAGGGTAAACGCTTGTGTTGGGAGCCAATGTTTGAATCTCTCGCTACACATAGATGTCGATTAAGAACAGGGTAAAAGCTTCTGCTATGAGCCAATGATTGAATCTCTCGCTACAGCTACACGTAGAGGTCGAACAAGATCGGGGTAAACGCTTGTGTTAAGAGCAAATGTTGGAATCTCTCGCTACACATAGATGTCAAACAAGATCGGGGCAACTACTTGTGTTGGGAGCCAATCTTTGAATCTCTCGCTACACATAGATGTCGATCAAGATCGGGGTAAACGTTTGTGTTGGGAGCCAATGATTGAATCTCTCGCTACACATAGATGTCGAACAAGATCAGGGTAAATGCTTGTGTTGGGAGCCAATGATTGAATCTCTCGCTACACATAGATGTCGATTAAGAAAAGGGTAAACGCTTCTGCTGTGAGCCAATGATTGGATCTCTCGCTACATACCGATGTCGAACAAGATCAGGGTAAACGCTTGTGTTGGGAGCCAATGTTTGAATCCCTGGCCACACATAGATGTCGAACAAGATCGGGGTAAACGCTTATGTTGGGAGCCAATGATTGGATCTCTCGCTACATACCGATGTCGAACAAGATCAGGGTAAACGCTTGTGTTGGGAGCCAATGTTTGAATCTCTCGCTGCACATAGATATACAACAAGTCGGGGTAAACGCTCGTGTTGGGAGCTAATTTTTGAAGCTTTCGCTACACATAGATGTCGAACAAGATCGGGGTAAACGCTTGTGTTGGGAGCCAGATCTTGAATCTCTCGCTACACATCGATGTCGAACAGGATCGGGGGTAAACGTTTGTGTTGGGAGCCAATGATTGAATCTCTCGCTACATATAGATGTCGATCAAGATCGGGGTAAACGCTTGTGTTGGAAGCGAATGTTTGAAGTCGAACAAGATCGGGGTAAACGCTTGTGTTGCAAGCCAAATATTGAATCTCTCGCTACACATAGATGTCGAACAATATCGGGGTAAACGCTTGTGTTGGGAGCCAATGTTAGAGCGAATCCCTCAGGTACGCAGCTTACTACTTGCTTGTTGACGGCGGGTGCATGTTTCACAATATGTTCAAGGCGCAGGCGTGTATATGCTCAGGCATGGCCCCTGCAACAGAAGACACGCACAAATCAAGAGTGAGAGAATGTACAGACTAAGCATTTTTACAGTATGACGATGATGATGCTTCGTTCGTCCGTGAAAACATATAGGGTCCGGTCGCTGTGCACTCCCCCGTATCTTCGGGGGTTATGAGCCCAAGCAGCTCGTAACCGGATCCTGTTTGAGCCATGGCACACCAAGATGATGGCACTAACACTGCTGATCACGACGATGCGCTAGCACAAGCTATGGATGAAGAGTTCGAGGAAGCAAGAGATGGCAACACGTCTGTTTCACCTGAAGATGAGAGAAGTCAACGCCTGTTTCCGGACAGCGAGCCGCTAGATCCACCGTATGGTTTGCGAGCGACTGGGGCATCTTTAGAGTTTGGTCTGGATGCTGCAGCACTTGGGTTGCTGGATGGGGGCTCGGGTAGCTCAACAGAACAGACGGCAACAAGACACTTCAGTCCTCAGAGTGATCATGAGTTGATTCCAGCCACAGAAGAGCCACGATCAGTGGCCGCAGGCAGGATGCCTCAAGTTACGGCGCCGCCACCAGCGGTGACGAATGATCTCATGGGACAGTTGAGTGCTATGCTACAGCAGACGCTGCAGAGCCATGTGGCTCCTGCTCTAGATCGTATGATGATGAGTCAGGCTGCGGTCATGTCCCGACTAGACAGGTTGGAGAGTGAGAGAGACTCCCAAGTGCCGTTGACGGCGCAAGGTGAGCATGTATTGGCCATGCTTCAGTCGTTGGAGGTGGGCTCCAAGCCAAGTGCTAGTGGGGCTAATGCAGATGCAGCGTTGAAGCAACCCACTACCGTTCCAGCGGGTGTTTTGCCTGAGTCAGCGGTTGGGGTTCAGGATACTCGTTTGCATCATGCGCGGGATTTGGCATCCAAGGGCAATGGTTCCGCTCACGTTGAGGCCCCAACGCATCAAAACAAGGGTGTGACGGTGGTGGAGGGTATCTCTTACGACTGGCAGATGACGCCGGATGGTCTTAAACTCACGCGTGTGCAAGAGAGAGAGAGGGGCAGAGAGAGTGGCAGTTGCACAGTCAGCCAGGTGCTTGATCAAAGGTCGATGTCTCCATTTCAGGCTACGTCCGTACATCATGAGGTCGTTACTCCTAACATTCGGAGGGTACACACCACTAGCCCGCCCAGGAGTAGAAGCACCCCAAAGCAAAGGAACACCCCAGCTGTACGAGCCGAAATCAGTGCTGAAAAGGATCGGGGTTGTAAGGGAGTTTCTACTCCAGGTAACGATCAGGCTGTAGGCAGACTGCCGTATCCGATATCGCCAGGTGGTACAGTGATTAGGCCACCACCCCCGCCACAGCATCAGACACAGGATCATTGGACAGGCAGTTGGGAGACACTTGGACCTAAGGCATGGGGGGCTTACCCACCTCCCCCACCCATCCCTGCTGCGTTGAGGACCACGGGTAGTACAGGACAGCAAGCAAGCATGGGTTGGGGTGGTTTCGGGTTGGGGAGCTCAGGCGGTGAGGCTTCAGGGATCAGGGGTTTCGGATTGGATCCCTCGCCGGGAATCGGCGAGAAGCCGGAGGAGCCTACCAAAACCTCGCTGGAGCTTCCTAAATTGGACAAGTACAACCCATCCACATCAGCCATCGTAGCAGGGGATTGGCTTATCTCGTTGACGCCAGCGCTGTCCGCTTCTGCTTGGGTGTTTTGGGAGGATTGTGTAAGCACGGCCAAGCTGTTCTATGGCCGATGGTTATCCTCTTCCCCACTGGAGAGACTACATATCCAGGCGGAGGTCTTGGTAAACAGGTACCGCGATGGAAAGTTCTCGAGGGTTGATCAACGGGCGGTCAGTTTGTTGTTGGCTGCAGTGGGTAATGAGCTGAAGGATGATCTGATCTCTCTTCGCTTGCTGGGTACATGCGCTATTGTGTTCAAGGTTATGGCGAAATATCAACCGGGAGGAGCTGCAGAGAAACAGCAACTTCTGTCGTTTCTAGTCACCCCTGAAAACGTCACCACAAGCGCTGCATCAGTTAAAGCACTGCGGAAATGGCGTCGTTGGTTAGCCCGTGCTCGTGAACTCCAGGTAATCGTTCCTGACCCTAGCCTTCAGCTCAAGGGTCTTGAAAGGCTCGCCCCGACATTGTCCGATACAGCAGCCTTCCGAGTACAAACCTTCCGAACGCAGGCTCTGCTCGACCAGGCTCCAACTCAACAGACGGTTTTGCAGTTTTCAGAGCTCCTGCTTGCAGAGGCCGAGGAGGCGGTGTTGTCAGAAGCTGCAGACAAGGGTGGAGCGAGGCAGACGGTAGCTAAGGCGGATGAGGTGCCAGGAAAGGGAGGAAAGGTTGGGAAGGAAGGAAAGGGTGCATCAAAGGGGGCTGCCAAGGTGGATGGTGGAAAACAACTTTGTCGGCTCTGGAGAACCGATGACGGGTGTAGGTATGGGAAGTCTTGTACGTTTGCGCATGATGCCCTCACCCCTGCCGATAAGAGGTGTTTCAACTGCAGTAGCACAAAGCACCGAAAGCCAGATTGTCCGTTCAAGCGTGCGCAAGCCGAGCCCGGTGGGAAGCCAGGGAAAGGTAGCCAAAAGGGGAAATCAGGGGATGAGGTTATGAAGGCTCAGGATAAGGGGGCTAGTGAAACCGACAAGTCGGCTCGTGACGAGCTGATTGCACGGGCCAACGCGGTGTTGGAATCTATTCAAACCTCAATCAAGGCCTTGCAGCTAGGTTCGAAATACCCGCCGAAGCCAGGTCCCCGCGATGAAACAGGTCTGATAGACTCCGGTGCCACAACATGCATGCGCATGCGTAGGGAAGATGAGCAGCCAGTTGGAGAGAAGACGGTTTCGCTCGCGCAGGGAGAAGTTCAGATGGGATTCAGTGCCGGGGGAGTTTTACTTGCTAACGAAGAAGTTGAACCCATCGTTTCACTCCGACAGCTCATCACCATCGGCTTTCGTCTGGTTTGGTCCAAGAGGGCATGTCAACTGTTCGATGAAGAGGGTTACTCGGTTCCTTTGTCCACGGCTTCCGGCTGTCCGAGGGTGTGTAAGGCTGTAGCGCAAAACCTGATTGACCGCATCGAAACTTTCAACCTTCACGGGTATGGTGAAGATCAGCTTGCTATGATGCGTGATGCTGATGCGGTGTCCTGGGAGGCAGTCATGTGTAAAGTAGCCGAGAGTGTGAGAGAAGGTAGGTCAAGGGATGCTAAAATGTGGCATGAGATTTTATGTGAGAAGCTCTTTCCGGAATTCCCACGAGAGGCTGCCCAAGCAGTGTCTTTGATCTCACAGGGGTCTGGGCCCCCAGGTGCCTTCAATCGTAGGAGGCGCAGGGCAGCAGAGCGTTCCAAGGGTATAGTTCTGCATCTTTTCTGTGGAAGATCGAGGCATGAGTTTGACGCTGTAGCCGCGAAGCATGGGGCTAAGGTTGTAGCCATAGACTCCACTGAAGACCTTAACGATCCGGCTACGTACACATACTTGCTGAAGCAGGCGCTCGCTGGTAAGGTTGTTGCGGTGCTTTCAGGTCTTCCGGATAGGACTCGCTCAGCCCTTGGAGGTAAGGATGAAGGACCACCAGTGGTTCGGGCGCGGTATGGGGTTGAAAGGTTTGGATTGGAGAACCTCTCCCATCAAGAGCGTGAGAAGGTTGACTATGACGACCAGCTCATGCTCAGAAGCTTTATTCTGGGTGTTGCCTCAAAGTGGGGTCGGGATCAGATCCAAGTCGGACGAATGGCGGGTTTCCCGTATCTCCTGGAGAACCCAAGGGACCCTTGGGAAGTTTTTGGGGGTAGCCACGAGCAGGCTCCTTCGTTGTGGGTAACGCCAGAGTTTGATACATTGCGGAAGACACTGGGGCTACAGCTTCTGAGGCTTGATCAAGGCCCCCTGGGGCACATGTGTAGAAGGCCTACCACAGTAGCATGTCTCGAACGGTTATGGCCGAACTGGGCTATGAACATCCGAGGTCCGGGACACAACCGGGATACATCGGGGTGTAGTGCAGATCAGGCACGCTGGTCTCCAGGGTTAGTTCAAGCAGTAGAAGAGTACCTGGATGCTGCTCTTCAACAGGGGCCCACCGTAGAAGGTATGCGGAGGCTTCAGGTACAGCAATCCATGAAGGACCACGTGTTAGCTGGACATGTCCCCTACCGTAAGGACTGCTACGCGTGTGTAGCGGGAAGAGCGAAGAAACAGAATCATTACAGACAGACGGTGAGCGATTCGTTTGTGCTGTCGGTTGATCTCGCAGGACCTTTTAAGCGCGGTACTCATGAGGGTGCGAAGGCAAGCTACTTCCTTGCGGCAGTTTTCTCCGTACCTAGGGCGCCAGAGCTAAACGGGTCTAGAGTGGATAAGCCTGAGGCAGATGTAGCAGCTGTTCCGGGGGAGCCAGGGGAGTGGGAGAATGCGGATGACGACGATCGTGATGACGATGATGGTGGAGGCGTGGGCCCTATTGAGCTTGATGACGCCCCGGTGGAGCCAGAGCCACAACCGCTAGAACAGCTAGAGCTAGTTCACTTGCCGTTCGTCGTACCGCTACCCTCAAAAGGGGCAAGGGACGTGATGAATGGAATCAAGGGCATTGAGGCCAGGCTGTGTGCGATGGGGTGCCATGTAGCACGGTTACATAGTGATGCAGGTAAAGAGTTCTGCAATAACATGTTGCGAACATGGGCCAAAGAGAGAGGAATGCACAAAACAAACACAGGAGGTGACCGGTTCAAGGCCAATCCTTTTGCCGAGAACCTCATCGGAATCCTGAAGGGGTGTGCTAGGACCTTGATGAAAGAGTCTGATGTTAGTGATCAAGATTGGCCCTATGCTATCCGTCATGCATGCGCTCAGCGATTCCGCGATCAGGCTGTCAAGCTTGGGTGGGACATTCCGCGGTTGATTCCTTTTGGGGCTAAGGTTCACGTGCTTCAAAGAAGTTGGAATTTGGCAAGGGGGGGCGATTGGAAGTCGAGAGTGGTTGAGGCTAAGGTGTTGGCACCTGCGCGTGAGCTTTCGGCAGGGTATCTTGTAGAGGACACATTACTGAACGTACCATGCGTGTATGAAGACCTTGTGCATACAAACCCTGAAGAGTTTCACATCCCCGCCGAGAAAGCAAAGCCAGCTAGTCCAGCAGTGATCCCAGATGTTCGTGTTCGCAGAAAGACGTCGTTGAGCGCTCGGAGGGCAAAGAAACCGGCTGCTGATGAATCTGTTGCTATGCTTGATGGGCTGTTGTCTGAAGATGAGCACGCGTCATGTCTAGCCTCGATCGAGCCGTTCGATGTCGAGAGGTCTCGAAGGTTCGTGTTAGGGTCGCGCTGGATTCGGGATTCTTCAGGACGGCTTGGGGCGAGGTTTCGTGAAAATGCTGGGTCCGCTAGGGTCCTAGGATTTTATTGTCATGGTGGCATTGTTGGGTTGACCAAAGATTGCTTATCCTTCCCAGGGTTTACCAAACTACTCAACCGTCTTGTGCAGCATGTGATACCTGGACATGTGTGTACCACACTTGCGATCCTCAGTCAGACCACGGCAAAGCCGCACAAAGACAAGTTCAACCAACCGACCTCCAACGCTGTCATACCCCTTGAGGTTCCCAATAAGGGGGGAGGGATTTGGGTGCAGGATGAAAGCGGGGCTGATCGGAGGTGGGTCACGCCCAAGCAACAAGCACCAGGCACTGTTCATGACCTCACTCCCCTATGTCCCTTCCTTTTGAACCCTCACAAGTGGCATGCTACAGAAGACTGGAGTGAAGGGTCACGCATTTTGCTGGTAGCTTACAGCTTGAAGGGTCTTGAGAGAGTCACTGAGCAGCAGCTTCAGCGGTTGCGTGATGTCGGATTCCAGCTGACTGCTGGCGATTGCCAGCAGGGGGGAGACCTAGAGCAACGCATTGAAGAAAACGTTTTCAAAGCCCCAGAGCAGGTTCTCCAAGGATCCGATGAAGCAGCTTCAGAGTGTCATGATGTTTGCGCTCCGAGGGTGAGGGATCTTCAGAAAGAAGAGATGCGATCAGGGCTAACGCTTGTCCAACGGCGAAGGCTCACAAATCAGCTGAAAGCCGGTGATATTGTTGATGTCCCAGCTATGTATGCTAGATACGGTGATGAGGAAGGGTCTTTCTCGAGTTTGGTGCGGAATCAGAATGCTCCGGATCCCTACCCATGGTTAGACCCAGCGAATGCAGGGAAGTTCGCAGCTGCGGGTGAAAGTCGTCGGCGAGATGAGGGTCGTAGTGATGCTCAGTGTCGAGATGAGGGTCGTAGTGATGCTCAGTGTTGTGATGAGGGTCGTGGTGAGACTCCATGTCGTGATGAGGGTCGTAGTGATGCTCAGTGTTGTAATGAGGGTCGTGGTGACACTCCATGTCGTGATGAGGGTCGTGGTGAGACTCAGTGTCGTGAGGAGGGTCGTGGTGATTCTCCGTGTTTTGATGGCCGTCGTGGTGACTCTTCGTGTGATCGTGATGACACCAGAGAGACAGAGGTTGAAAGCCAGGGCATCTTGAAGGGTGTAGGAAAGTTGAAACAGAAGTGTGTGCATTGGGCGCCAGGTCTAGTTGAGGGTCCAGTGGTTTCGAGTGGTACAAGTGGGTTTTCCGGTAGGTCCTTCAGGTGCAAGGCGTGTGAAAGTGATGTAGCTGGACTTTGCTCAATCTGTGAAAGACATGTTGTTGAGTATGCAGAGAGCGATTTAAAGGCTCCGCCTTCCCTTGGCCGGCCAGGCAGCGCTGGGTGGGAGGATGTGAGCTGTGACCCACTTGGGGTGGGTGCGCGTGTGGGGCATAAGGGTGGTCTAAACCCTCTGAATGCCGATTTTTCCGAGGATTGCGAGTTGGTGGACGTGTCCGTGACGAGTAATCTTCTGTTTTGTGAGCCTACTTGTGTCGAGTGGGAGAGCATTGTAGGTCGAGCTTCGGATCGTGAGGTTGGACCTGATGATCATGATAGCTCGGGTGAAACTTGGGTTGGGGTCGGTGAGGCCTCTGAGTCTTTTGACCCTGATGGGCAGCAGATCGCCCTCAAGGCGTTGCTGAGTCGGGAGTGTAAGCTCCAAGATCGGAGTGGGGTAGCCGGGGATAGTGACCGTGAGGGTTATATTCACGGGCTGTCTTCCACGATCAAGCGTTTAGAAGAGAGGTGTTGCAAGGCCGATGACGGTGTCGAGTATTCCACGCTCCCCGATGCGGAAGTGCTAACTACTCACACTGTTCCGTTGGAAGAAGTTGAGAGGCATTACAGTTTGTGGTCCGCGGCAGTCCAGGCAGAACTTGATTCGTTGGTTCATGAAAAGCAGGCGGTAAGGGTGATCACCAGCGCTGAAATGCAAGCAATGCAAGAAAAGGGAACATGCGTGACCATTATTCCTAGCAAGATGGTGATTACCCGAAAGGCTGGTGGGCGCCATAAGGCACGGTTGGTAGCCTGTGGAAATCATCTAGATGGGCAGGGCCAGGCTAAGGGTAAGCAGTCACCATCCAAGGCGAACCTGTATGCTGGAGGAATCGACCCTTCAGTGATGCGCCAAGCGGCATCGATTGCGGTTAAGAGAGCCTGGAAGGGGGGAGCTACAGATATCACTACAGCGTTTTTGAACGCCGAGCTGCTTGATCGAGTGAATCCTCGTTCCTCCCCACCTCCTTTGTCCTTGGATGTCCCAACTGAGGTGATTGTATTGAAGATTCCGAGCATTGTGCATAGACATGGACATGTTGATCGATCATGCTTCATGCTGGTGTGTAAGGCACTGTATGGGTTGGATCAATCCCCAAGAGACTGGTCTATCAAGAGGGACAGTGAGATTGAGGGCATGTCATGCCAAGTCGATGGGGTCACATGCATGTTTGAGCAGAGTTTGGTCGACTCTAATTTGTGGTACCTTCGGAGAGTGCCTAAAGATGGAGAGAGCCACAGTTGGAGAGAGCCTGTTGCATGCATGTTGGTGTATGTCGATGATCTCTTAGCCTTTGGTCCCAGTCCAGTCTTGACGATGATATTCGAGCTGATCACTTCGCGCTGGAAGTGCGGACCGGTAGAGTGGATCCCCGAGGACCCCACTAAACCCCCACTCAAGTTCTTTGGTTTTGAGCTGCGCTGGGATGGTAAGGATCTGTTGCTTGGCCAACAAGACTTCATTCGGGATGTGGCGACTAGGTACCCCGAGGCAACTGCCTCGTGCGTTCCTGCTACCCCGGGACCCTTGGATGTAGAGGATGCTTCCGAGCGTAGGCCCGAAGATGTTTCTGCTTGCCAAACGGCGCTGGGCGAAATCTTATGGGTTGCAGGGCGCACTCGGCCAGACATTATTTTCGCTGTTTCCCGCCTTGCACAGACCATGTCAAGGGACCCCGCTACGGTGAGAAAGAGAGTCATGCAGCTCATTGGTTACCTTGTCTACACGCAGGACCTTTGCCTCCGATATCGGGCTACGTATTCTTGTCAGGGTGAACCAGGCGCTACTGCCACCCCGAACGCTGAAGGTGTGATCGAGGCCATGACAGACAGTGCATTCGCGCCTGTATGTGAGCGATCGCAAGAGTCAACTTTGGTTTACACTCAAGGGTCTCTGACGGGGTGGAACACTGGTAGACAACCGTTCACTGCTGCGTCGACCGCGGAGTCAGAACTCTTGAGTTTGATGACCGGATTCAGCTTCGGTAGGGCCCAAACTTACGTCCTTCAGGAGTTTATGGGTAAGGTGCCACGGTTGGTCGTGTTGAACGACAACATGGCTTCAATCTCTATTGTAAATGGCGACTCCAACGGGTGGAGAAGTAGGCACCTGAGAATTCGAGCACATGTGCTGAGAGAACAGGCCAAGCAAGGACATGTCGTCGTAGGGCACATAGAGGGGGGGAAAAACATCGCCGATGCAGGAACCAAGGCCTTGCCGTATCCTCGTTTGAAGCTTTTGCGGGACGGTATGGGTTTAGATGCAGTTAGGAATGTTCATGATGCGCGCCCAAAAGGAGCTACGAAGGTCATTGATCCAGCTTCCGCAGCCAGGATTCAGGCCGTTGTGCTTACATTGGCAGCCGTTACGGCAGAGGCTCAGCAATCGCCAGATGAACCAGAAGGTCACAGCCATGAGCTATGGTTTTTGATGTTTCTGGTATGCTGTACGTCTATTGCTCTTTGGGAAGGTCTGAAGTGGGCATGTCGTTGGTGTTGTAGGCGACGCAGAGTACAGAGGAGAGAGGTTGAGCGACATGAACCAGAAGAGGAGCGTAGCTCAGATGGGGAAAATCAGCCTGATGATGAGGACGAACTTCAGGAGTTCTCGCCTCAGGCAGCGGACAGGGTAGAGGATCATGATGTAGCTCGTGAGCTTACTGTGCCTCCTGAGGGGACGGTAGTTCGTTACGTTGACGATGTGATGTATGTTGGCCCCCCTCCAGAAGAAGAAGAAGAGAGGTTGAGAAGAAGAAGACAGGGACAGAGAGTCTACCATGATGAGCCGGACTTTGAGCCAGCTGCTGTTGAAGCCTCCGGCCTACCGCCTTGGAATGTTCAAAACCGGGTTCGTCAGGCTCTTGAGGCTCAACGAGACGCGAGGGGTTCGAATGAAGGCCCAAACTGGATGCCAAATCAGTTTGTGAATTACCCGGTCATTCGGCTGCGTGCCGATTGGCCTGCATCAGAAAACCAACCTCCACTGGCATACTTGGCTGCTTACCAGTCCGCTTGGGGTGGGTTAGCTTCAGCGCTGCATCAGCTGCGGCCCAATGATGCTTACACGCGGGACGAGTACACAAGGCATGACGCGAGACAGAATGTGTTGATTCGTTGGCACTTCGGATGGCGTGTTATGCTGTTTGATCCCAATCGCACTACAAGTCCGGTTGCTATGAGCAGACTCACAGGAAGGAGACGTACGGTGATCACATACAGTGATGGTACAGAGGAGCTGCTGGACGACAATTTCCGGATTGACAGTGCGAGAAGGATGATGGATCAACAGTGGGTAGGAAGAACCGAGCTCGAGATCCGCGAGGGGACATGAGCAGCGCAGTGGAGGAATGGCATATGAACCGTTTTTGAAGCTAGAGAGCTTGCTCCAAGCTTTGCGGTCAGAAGGAATGCACCATGTACAGACACCGTCGAAGGGATGAAATTTTCATCCGGGGGAGAGCGAATCCCTCAGGTACGCAGCTTACTACTTGCTTGTTGACGGCGGGTGCATGTTTCACAATATGTTCAAGGCGCAGGCGTGTATATGCTCAGGCATGGCCCCTGCAACAGAAGACACGCACAAATCAAGAGTGAGAGAATGTACAGACTAAGCATTTTTACAGTATGACGATGATGATGCTTCGTTCGTCCGTGAAAACATATAGGGTCCGGTCGCTGTGCACTCCCCCGTATCTTCGGGGTTAGAATCTCTCGCCACACATAGATGTCGAACAAGATCGGGGTAAACGCTCGTGTTGGGAGCTAATTTTTGAAGCTTTCGCTACACATAGATGTCGAACAACATCGGGGTAAACGCTTGTGTTGGGAGCCAGATCTTGAATCTCTCGCTACACATCGATGTCGAACAGGATCGGGGGTAAACGTTTGTGTTGGGAGATGTTGGGAGCCAATGATTGAATCTCTCGCTACACATAGATGTCGATCAAGATCGGGGTAAACACTTGTGTTGGAAGCGAATGTTTGAAGTCGAACAAGATCGGGGTAAACGCATGTGTTGGGGAGCCAATGCTTGAATCTCTCACTACACATCGATGTCGAACAAGATCGGTGTAAACGTTTGTGTTTGGGAGCCAAAGATTGGATCTTTCGCTACACATAGATGTCGAACAAGATCGGGGTAAAAGCTTGTGTTGGGAGCCAATCTTTGAATCTCTCGTTACACATCGATGTCGAACTAGATCGGCGTAAAAGCTTGTGTCGGGAGCCAATGCTTGAATCTCTCGCCACACATAGATGTCGAACAAGATCGGGGTACACGCTTAGGTTGGGAGCCAATGCTTGAATCTGTCGCTACACATAGATGTCGAACCAGATCGGGGTAAATGCTTCTGTTGGGAGCCAATTCTTGAATCTCTGTCCACACATAGATGTCGAACAAGATCGGGGTAAACGCTTGTGTTGGGAGCCAATGTTAGAATCTCTCGCCACACATAGATGTCGAAAAAGATCGGGGTGAACGCTTCGGTTGGGAGCGAATGTTTGAAGCTTTCGCTACACATAGATGTCGAACAAGATCGGGGTAAACGCTTGTGTTGGGAGCCAATGCTTGAATCTCTCGCTACACATAGATGTCGAACAAGATCGGGGTAAACGCTGTTGTTGGAAGCCAATATGTTTGAATCTCTCGCCATACATAGATATCCAACAGGATCGGGGAAAACCCTTGTGTCGGGAGCCAATTGTTGAATCTCTCGCTATGCATAGATGTCGAACAAGATCGGGGTAACCGCTTGTGTTGGGAGACAATGATTGAATCTCTCCAAAGATTGAATCTCTCGCTACACATAGATGTCGAACAAGATCGGGGTAAACGTTTGTGTTGGGAGCCAATGCTTGAATCCCTGGCCACACATAGATGTCGAACAAGATCGGGGTAAACGCTTGTGTTGGGAGCCAATGTTTGAATCTCTGTCCACACATAGATGTCGAACAAGATCGGGGTAAACGCTTGTGTTGGGAGCCAATGTTAGAATCTCTCGCCACACATAGATGTCGAACAAGATCGGGGTAAACGCTGTTGTTGGAAGCCAATTTTTGAATCTCTGTCCGCACATAGATGTCGAACAAGATCGGGGTAAACGCTTGTGTTGGAAGCCAATGTTAGAATCTCTCGCCACACATAGATGTCGAAAAAGATCGGGGTAAACGTTTGTGTTGGGAGCCAATGTTTGAATCCCTGGCCACACATAGATGTCGAACAAGATCGGGGTAAACGCTGTTGTTGGGAGCCAATGTTTGAATCTCTGTCCACACATAGATGTCGAACAAGATCGGGGTAAACGCTTGTGTTGGGAGCCAATGTTAGAATCTCTCGCCACACATAGATGTCGAAAAAGATCGGGGTAAACGCTTCGGTTGGGAGCGAATGTTTGAAGCTTTCGCTACACATAGATGTCGAACAAGATCGGGGTAAACGCTTGTGTTGGGAGCCAATGTTAGAATCTCTCGCTACACATAGATGTCGAACAAGATCGGGGTAAACGCTGTTGTTGGGAGCCAATGTTTGAATCTCTCGCCATACATAGATATCCAACAGGATCGGGGAAAACCCTTGCGTCGGGAGCCAATTGTTGAATCTCTCGCTATACATAGATGTCGAACAAGATCGGGGTAAACGCTTGTGTTGGGAGCCAATGATTGAATCTCTCCAAAGATTGAATCTCTCGCTACACATAGATGTCGAACAAGATCGGGGTAAACGTTTGTGTTGGGAGCCAATGCTTGAATCCCTGGCCACACATAGATGTCGAACAAGATCGGGGTAAACGCTTGTGTTGGGAGCCAATGTTTGAATCTCTGTCCACACATAGATGTCGAACAAGATCGGGGTAAACGCTTGTGTTGGGAGCCAATGTTAGAATCTCTCGCCACACATAGATGTCGAACAAGATCGGGGTAAACGCTGTTGTTGGGAGCCAATGTTTGAATCTCTGTCCGCACATAGATGTCGAACAAGATCGGGGTAACCGCTTGTGTTGGGAGCCAATGTTAGAATCTCTCGCCACACATAGATGTCGAACAAGATCGGGGTAAACGCTGTTGTTGGGAGCCAATGGTTGAATCTCTGTCCACACATAGATGTCGAACAAGATCGGGGTAAACGCTTGTGTTGGGAGCCAATGTTAGAATCTCTCGCCACACATAGATGTCGAACAAGATCGGGGTAAACGCTGTTGTTGGGAGCCAATGTTTGAATCTCTGTCCACACATAGATGTCGAACAAGATCGGGGTAAACGCTTGTGTTGGGAGCCAATGTTAGAATCTCTCGCCACACATAGATGTCGAACAAGATCGGGGTAAACGCTGTTGTTGGGAGCCAATGTTTGAATCTCTGTCCACACATAGATGTCGAACAAGATCGGGGTAAACGCATGTGTTGGGGAGCCAATGCTTGAATCTCTCACTACACATCGATGTCGAACAAGATCGGTGTAAACGTTTGTGTTGGGAGCCAATGATTGAATCTTTCGCTACACATAGATGTCGAACAAGATCGGGGTAAAAGCTTGTGTTGGGAGCCAATCTTTGAATCTCTCGCTACACATCGATGTCGAACTAGATCGGCGTAAACGCTTGTGTGGGGAGCCAATGCTTGAATCTCTCGCCACACATAGATGTCGAACAAGATCGGGGTACACGCTTAGGTTGGGAGCCAATGATTGAATCTGTCGCTACACATAGATGTCGAACCAGATCGGGGTAAATGCTTCTGTTGAGAGCCAATTCTTGAATCTCTGTCCACACATAGATGTCGAACAAGATCGGGGTAAACGCTTGTGTTGGGAGCCAATGTTAGAATCTCTCGCCACACATAGATGTCGAAAAAGATCGGGGTAAACGCTTAGGTTGGGAGCGAATGTTTGAAGCTTTCGCTACACGTAGATGTCGAACAAGATCGGGGTAAACGCTTGTGTTGGGAGCCAATGCTTGAATCTCTCGCTACACATAGATGTCGAACAAGATCGGGGTAAACGCTGTTGTTGGGAGCCAATGATTGAATCTCTCGCCATACATAGATATCCAACAGGATCGGGGAAAACCCTTGTGTCGGGAGCCAATTGTTGAATCTCTCGCTATACATAGATGTCGAACAAGATCGGGGTCAACGATTCTGTTGGGAGCCAATGTTAGAATCTCTCCAAAGATTGAATCTCTCGCTACACATAGATGTCGAACAAGATCGGGGTAAACGTTTGTGTTGGGAGCCAATGTTTGAATCCCTGGCCACACATAGATGTCGAACAAGATCGGGGTAAACGCTTGTGTTGGGAGCCAATGTTTGAATCTCTGTCCACACATAGATGTCGAACAAGATCGGGGTAAACGCTTGTGTTGGGAGCCAATGTTAGAATCTCTCGCCACACATAGATGTCGAACAAGATCGGGGTAAACGCTTGTGTTGGGAGCCAATGTTAGAATCTCTCGCCACACATAGATGTCGAACAAGATCGGGGTAAACGCTGTTGTTGGGAGCCAATGTTTGAATCTCTGTCCACACATAGATGTCGAACAAGATCGGTGTGTTGGGAGACAATGTTAGAATCTCTCGCCACACATAGATGTCGAACAAGATCGAGGTAAACGCTGGTGTTGGGAGCCAATGTTTGAATCTCTGTCCACACATAGATGTCGAACAAGATCGGGGTAAACGATTCTGTTGGGAGCCAATGTTAGAATCTCTCGCCACACATAGATGTCGAACAAGATCGGGGTAAACGCTTGTGTTGGGAGCCAATGTTAGAATCTCTCGCCACACATAGATGTCGAACAAGATCGGGGTAAACGCTGTTGTTGGGAGCCAATGTTTGAATCTCTGTCCGCACATAGATGTCGAACAAGATCGGGGTAAACGCTTGTGTTGGGAGCCAATGTTAGAATCTCTCGCCACAAATAGATGTCGAACAAGATCGGGGTAAACGCTTAGGTTGGGAGCCAATGTTTGAATCTCTCGCCAAATCCTGAACCCCAAACCAAGATCCCCCGCAAACTTTCAAAAGCCTAAATCCCGACCTGCCAACCTGCCAAACCTTACCCCATATGCCCCCAAACCTCTCCCTCCAAACCCCCCTCACCTTGTAGCCGCTCCCCCGACCCCCGGGAGGATCTAGAAAGTAGATAACCTAATTTGGGGCCCTGTACTCCCATTCAGGGATCTACTTGTTGGATTTTCTCCTAAGTTTTAAACCCTAAACCCTAAAACGCTAAAGATCCCTTAAAGGGACCCTTAAAGGAACCCCTAAAGGGACCCCCATCAAGGGATCTACTTTCTGGATCCTCCTGGGGGTCTGGGTCTTCAAGAAAGCCAGGCTTCGAGCACGGCGTGACTTCCGGGATGCCAATGTAGCCAGCAGCACAGGCCGCTTGAACCTTGAAGACCTGACAGGGTTTAGGGTTTAGGGTGGGAGTTTAGGCTTTAGGCTTATATAGGGGTTATAAGGGTTCTAAATTTAGGGGTTCCTGTTTTGCGGTTCGGGATAAGGATACTAGACGTTTGTAGAGGGGTTCAGAGAGCTTCAATCTAGCCAGCACTACCGGTGCCTTGGTAATGAGGTCTCTACGATTACTATCTATATATATATATATCTATATGTGTATATGTATATGTGTGTATATATATATATACAGGTAGCAACTTACAAGGGCATATCTTAATATGAGTAGGTATTCAGATCCCCAGATTAAAGAAGGGATTGCGGCCCAGGGCACCGACTGGCGTAGGTTGGTTTCGGTGACCAGGTACCCCTCGGTAGACTCGGGCGCGACACAAACGTCGGTGCTGTAGGTGCAGCCGCCAAGAGTGTAGACCTCCCCAGTCGCCGAGCAGGCTGTGACGGAGGCCGTGCCCTCGTAGCCAAGGTCACACTCCACCTTAACGTCAAAGGTCTGCTGCAGCTTAGAGACTTCGGTGACTTTGTAGCCCTTTGTCTCGGAAGGCGTGACGCAAACGATCTTCTCCTCGCAGCCGGCGATGGTGTAGGGCGTCAGTGGCCTGGTGCAGGCCGTCACCTGGGGAGTTCCCACATGAGTGCTTTTGCACGTAGCCGTGACATCGAAGTTCTCCATGGCCACGGAGTTCTCCACCAGGTCGTAGCCCTTCGAAGCGTCCGAAGCAGGGGAGAAGCACTTCTTCTCCGCCTCGCAGCCGGTGAGGGCGTAGGAGCCCAAGTCGTCAGAGCAAGGCGTCACCGCAGCGGTGCCGATGTAGTTCGGGGCACATTCCGCCGTTACATCCAAGTCCGCCTTGCGGAGCTCCACCTCTGTGACTAAGTAGCCCTCCGTGCTTTCTGGGGCCGTGCAGGCACCTCCGTAGGAGCAGCCGCTCAAGGAGTAGGTTCCACCAGGCTTCGAGCACTTCGTCACCTTCGCCTTGCCCTCGAAGCCGTCGATGCACTTGGCGGTCACATCGAAGGACTCCATGAACAGGTTGTTCTCCTCGACCAGGTAGCCTCAGTCATCGGAGGAAGGCGATCAAAGCAGGAACAGCCATCCCCCCCTCCCACCACGCGTTTGGAGAGCAGCCCTGCACCGAAAATCTAATCTACAAGACACTAGCCTGAACCCTGTAAACCCCACATCCAAAAGCGTCTCTTCATGAGGCCAGGAGCTCTCCACTTTCTTCGGTGCCAAGCAGAGAGCGTTGCAGCCAGAGAGAACGTAGGGCTTGAGATGATGGTCGCAAGGCTTCACCGATCCGGTTCCTGCCAGAAAACTCTGCGAAACGTCTCGGGACGGCGCCGATCTCAGACACACGGGAGGCAAACTGCTCCAGCCCTTGACAAAGTAAAGCCCCGAATCGCTTGAAGGATCCCAGGAGCAGAAGTCTGGGCTGCATGTATGGAGGGTTGAGAAAACTTGGGGAGCACGCACATGTCTGCTCCAGATGCACCCAACAGTCCAGGTCAGGGCCAGACTCGCAGAATTGTCACATGCACTCCATGCAAGACTTCGTAGACTGCACTGCGGAATCATAGGCAGGCCGCCACAGAAACGCGAGACCAAGCACCCGAGCTACAGTCTGCCCTTACATGTATGCTCCGATAAATCTGAAACCCAGATCCGTTTCAAACTCTAAAATTTAAAACCCAACAAACGCCAAACCCCACCCGAAACCGCTGCTGTAGCCCTAGAGGCTCGAACAAATCCTAAGATCCTAAATCCACACCCCAAGCCCTACCAAAGAAGTCCTCATGGCCGCTCTAGTAACCGTTCCACAGGTTCTCCCGCCCCCGGCCCCCCCCTCACCCTAAACCCTAGATCCTAAACCCAAAACCTAAAACCCCAAACCCTGTCCCGTGCCTATGTATCCAGAGGCACAGGAGGCCGTGACGTCAAAGTCGTGACGGATGAGCGTCTTTTCGTCCACGATGTAGCCCTCCTTTTGCGGCTAAGGGTTCAGGGTTCAAGGTTCAGGATTGAGGCTGTTGGGTTTATAAGTTATATAAGGTCTATGGGCTTCTATAATTAAGGTTTGTAGGATATATGGTATAGGGTTTGTCGTCAGGGTTTATGCCATGGGTATACTACAGATAAAACGGGATCGCAAGCGAGTAATCTGATAGCCTCGGTGATCTCCGTGGTGCTGTGTTTTAAGCACGCTGTGCACCCGCTACAACAGTTTGCCCTGGTTTGGGTTCAGGGTTTAGGGTTTAGGGGTTTAATGTTTTAGGGTAGGGTTTAATGGCTTAGGGTTTAGGGTTTAGGGGTTTAATGGTTTAGGGTTTAGGGTTTAGGTTTGGGCTCAGGGTTTAGGGTTGCAATGTTGGAAAAATCGGGCTTCGGGTTTGGGGTCAAGGCTCCAGATGTTCCCTTCAGCGGGTTAGAAAAACGCCCAGGGGAGTACTCGAGGAGTCCCAAGTGACAACTCTGATGCGGCTTCCTGGATGTGGGTTCCTAAGCCCCTATAAGGCGGGAGCGACATCACAGAGCCCCGCATATCTTACCTTTGGTTAGTAGGGAATGGAAGAATGGTAGTAATACTAGTTATAGCTGTACCCGATTCCTCCATTCCCTACTAACCCAAGGTAAGATACTCTTCTTTGAATCCTACAACATCCTAAGAAACCCTCAATCCTCCCAAACCGAGTTTCGGAGGTCTTCAAGCTCTCGCGGCTGACAAACGTGAGACTCGTGAGACCACAAACACCCCTCACCCGGACATCTCTGAAACCTCTGTAATCCAAACCCTCCGACCCCCCTAACAACCGAACCCCGCTATGAAATCTCAATAACACTAAACTCAAAGAACAAAAACTGAACCCGAGAACCCAAAACTCTGAAAAGCCCCAGGCGCGGTGTTCTCCGGGCTCACACAGATGGCGCTGGTACGGCATCCGGAGAGCTGGTACTTCGCGAAGGTTTCGTTCTGGGCGACCGGAGCTGCGACTTTCAAGTTTTGGGCTCAGTTTAGGGTTTAGGGATTTAAGGATTATCGTTTAGGGATTCAAGGGTCATTTAATATTAGGGCTAGGGCTACCAGTAGGAATTAGGGATGACAGCTTGAGACAGCGAACCTGGTTGGGGTTTCCAGAGATTGGTCTTTCGGCTTTCGGGATCTGCAGCCGGAGGTGGAGGATTTTGGGGGGGGTGCCCCTTATAGCAGCCCTTATGGTAAGCCTTGTTGATCTATGGTAAGCCCTATACAGAAACCCGTTTGGTATACAGCCCTTTCGGTCGAGGAGCACACTTCGTCACCTTTGCCGTCATGCTCGGATCCAGGGAACACTCTGCTTGCACGTCGAAGCTGTCGACGTCCAAAGAGCCTCACTACTCCCGAAAACACAGCCATTCTGCTCGGAGAGGGTTGAACTCTTGGGTTTAGGGTTAAGGGTCAAGGTTAATGTCTCAGAGACCGGTGGTTTTAAGTAGTGGGGGCTGGCTTTTGAACCGTCAGGTCGCAACATCCGAAAAAGGAAAGGACCAATAGAACTGTCGATGTTTCGCTTAGGAATCTTGTCCCTACTTTTGAAACGCGTCTGGCTACCATTGTCTGTGCTTGTTCCGCCTTTTCTTGCTCCTAAGCACGACATCTGCCTGTACCCTAAACAGCCCCTAAGCGCAACCGTAGACTCTAGCACAAATTACTTTTCAAAAGCAACACTTGCAGCCGCATGGGAGATTCAGAAAATCTTTGGGCCCAGTGTAGACCCCCAATTAGTAGCATCCTTACTCTGAGGCCCCCCAAAGAAGGCGTCCCAAATATTGAGCAATCCTTCCAAGCCTTCAAATAAAACAGCATGTAACACCACATACCCAAAATGCTGGAAATGCTTATACAAGACTATAAGTGAATCGCATTTCCAACAGTTCCGACCCATAGATCTACAACCCCAACCTTACAAACCCCTTGTAAAACAGGGCGCGCTCACTTATCTTATAGCCCTTGGTCTCGTTGGGAGCGATGCAGTGCCGACCTGCATCATGGGGTTGCTATTTGATTTTGAACGACTCTTGTTCAGAGGATTGTTGATAAGGTTCTTACAACGGTGTTTATACAAATATAGATATGTGTATATTTTCTAAACGGATGTATGTATGTCTATACATGTCCATACATATCTATGCAGATACAAGTATAGATATAGGTTGAGGTGCAGGCAGGGATCGGGATAGAGATAGACATAGATATAGGCAGGGGCATAGACGTAGATATAGATACAGCTATAGATATAGACAGCTTCAATAGCCTTGTAGCCTTATATCTCACGACTTCAGGATCTCGGCCCCCAGGACTTCTAAATCCCAGGCCATCAAGTCCGGGATTTGGGAGGTTGTCAAAATTATGGTCCCTTTTTGGGTACCCTAGATATTAGGTGCCGTATTGTAATAAGGACCCGAAAAGGGACCCTAATTTTTGACAACCACCCATTTGGGGTCTTTGGTTACAGGGAAGCCGAGGGGCCCGATCTTCTAGAAATCGCAGGGCGAAAAGTTTCCCTTTTTAAAGGGGCTACAGGATTTAGGGTTTAGGGTTTAGGGTTTAGGGTTTCCGGAGGAGCTCTGGGCAGATGCTGAAGTGCCGGGGTGGAAAAGAGCTGTGTTCATAGATACATAGTGCCTTGAGGAGTAGGCTTCAGGCCTTCGGGCTTCGCGGCATTTGTGTATAGCGGGCACAAAACCTGTGTAAGAAAGCACAACTGCTCATTGCCACTGCAACGGTACGATCACTTCTAAATCAGTGAGCATAAGATAGGTTGCAGCAGCAACAACCATGAGCTTCCAAATGCCGGTGTAAGATGAACAATAGATCACGATCAGAATTGATAACCACAATAATAACGAGGTCTCGTAGTAGCAACCAAGATAATCTGAGAAGCAGTTCTGACATAGACAGCTAATGTAAAGTAGCCATAGTACGTCTAGTCGCGAGAAAGTTTGCAAAGTCATGACCAAGATGCTCCATTTGCAGCCAGTCAGTGTATAGCTCTGGCCGGGATGCTCGCAAGACATCGCGACCGCCTCGCACCAAAAGAAGCTTAAAGAAACCTATCTTCGTATTTTGGCTTTCAAATTCGGGACCGGAAGATTCCTCCACGTCCGCCATGTGTACAACAAAGCCCAACAACTTACGGCAAAGGCATGCGGCAGTGCTTCTGCCGCATTGCAAAAGCCGCACGGTTCGATGCTGCCAATTACAATTTGATATTCATGCAGTACAGCATACAGACTATACTACAGCATACTATTGCAACAGCAACAGCAATGCTGTCTGATATATACTGTAACATCGTATATCGTAATATTGTACACTGAAACCATACACTGTAATGAAACGAAATGCAAAATACGATAAGTCAAGATAAGATAAGGCAAGACAAGATCGGATGAGATAATAAAGGATAAGGCGAGATGAACCTAGCACAATGCTGCATGATGTGACATAACACAACATACCATGATGTAGTCATAGTCTGTTGCAATAGAACAAAATGTAGTCGAAGACAATACAATACTACCATAAGTATTACATATTACACTAATGCACTATACTACACTTAGTTATACAATACTTTACGATACTATACTATCTACCATACTATATTATACAGTACACTATACTATATACTATATACTATACTATACAATTACCATATAATGTACTAAATATACTAAACTATACACAATACACTATATTATATGCTATACTATATACTAAACTACACTGTACTCTACTATACGGTGTGTATATTATAAGTACAATGCATGATACAAAATCGTATGATATAATACAATATCGTAGAATGGAGAAACATAGAGAATTGAACATGAAATCCTGTTTTCTAAAGCAACCTCGCATAATAGAATCCGACAATAGCATCGTATAACATGACATGCCATAACTTCACATACCATAACGAAGCAACAAAACATATGCAGCACGTAATATAACAGGTTAAGCTAGTGTAACACAACAAAGTATACTGTGCATTATCAAATGATCATACAATGCCTCCCGATACGATATGATATACTAGCCCATGCTGCCTGTACTACACGACACGACACTGTACTATACTACAACCTGACTTCTCTGCCTGGCCGTCGTAACCCTCCCAGCAGCTGGCAGACACCTGGGGATCGATATTTCTACTGGGGTTGGTAATGGTTCTGTAAGGCCAATGGAATAGGTTTGAGGAGGGTAGCCTGCTTGAGATGTCTTAAAACCTCCCACAAGTGCATCCCATGAAAATCAAACCGTAGATCCCCGAATCCCAAAACCCAGCTTCTCCAAACCCTATACACCTTTGAAGCCCTCCATGTCTCTCTGGAGCAAGCTGCGTCGAAGTCGTCAATGTGAATCGACTTGACATGCAGGTCATAACCTGCAGGAGTTCTCTGCTCTCAAGCTTTATTCGGGTTTAGGATTTAGGGCTCATGGGGCCTAGGGTTTAGGGTTTCGAGTCATGGTTTCTGGGTTTCAACGGCCGTCCCACCTTGCACGTCTTTTGGAGGCACGCAGTCGGCAGATGTGACCTTGCTCGGAAGTCTTAGATACGGCTTTGGAACCGAAATGCATGCCACAGATTCTGTGTAATGGACGCATCTTCACCCTGCTTCGGTCATTGGAACAAAAGCGGAAATTCAGGCCAGGTGATCTGCTGCTGATACTACCCCAATTCTATCTAGTCAATCCACTGCTTGTGTGGATGTTAAGAAACCCCGGTCAAACCCTGAACGCAAGCACGCGAATGTGCATAGCTTTGCCGTCCAGACACCGTGGTGGTGGTCGTGAAGGTACTGGTCGTAGTCGTAGTACTTGTGGAAGTCGTCGACGTGGTCGTCTTGGTGCTTGTCGTCGTGATCGTGGATGTCGTTGTCGACGTAGTCGTTGTCGTGGATGTAGTTGTGGAAGTTGTCGTGGTCGTCGACGTCGTTGTGGAGGTGGTGGTGGTCGTGGAGGTCGTCGTGGAGGTCGTGGTTGTTGTGCTGGTCGATGTCGAAGTAGTGGTTGTTGTGGTAGTTGTAGTGCTGGTCGTAGTGGTCGTGCTGGTTGATGTAGAAGTGGTAGTGGTGGTTGTCGTCGTTGTGGTCGTTGATGTAGTAGTGGTTGTGCTGGTGGTGGTTGTCGTGGATGTGGTGGTAGAGGTAGATGTGGTGGTGCTGGTCGTCGTCGTTGTGGTTGTGCTGGTGGTGGTAGTTGTTGTGGTGGTTGTGGTTGTGGTAGTCGTTGTGGTGGATGTAGTTGTCGTGCTGGTCGTCGTGGACGTTGTGGTTGTTGTTGTAGAGGTCACGGTGCTGGTCGTGGTTGTGGTTGTGGAGGTTGTAGTGGTAGTGGTGATGGTCGTTGTCGAAGTCGTTGTCAAAGTTGTCGTGCTTGTAGTGGTTGTGGTGCTTGTTGAGGTGGTAGTGGTCGTGGTTGATGTGGAGGTGGTGGTGGTTGTAGTTGTTGTAAGAGTGGTCGTTGTTGTGCTCGTGGTGGTGGTAGTCGAAGTGGACGTGGTAGTTGTAGACGTGATGGTGGTTGTGCTGGTAGTTGTGGTTGTGGTACTTGTGATGGTGGTCGTTGAAGTAGTGGTGATAGTGGTCGTGGTCGAGGTTGTTGTGGTGGTGCTTGTAGTTGTAGTTGTGGTCACTGTGGTAGTGCTCGTCGACGTTGTGGTTGTGGTGGTACTTGTCGTAGTTGTCGTTGTCGTCGTGGAAGTTGTTGTGATCGTTGTGGTGCTGGTGGAAGTCGTCGTTGTGGTGCTTGTTGATGTGCTCGTCGTCGTGATCGTTGTAGTGCTTGTGGAAGTTGAGGTCGTTGTGGTGGTTGTCGTCGTGGTCGTACTTGTTGTAGTTGAGGTTGTGGTAGTTGTGGATGTCGACGTTGTGGTCGTGGTTGTCGTCGTAGTGGTGGAGGTAATCGTTGTGGTCGTAGTAGATGTGGTTGTTAGGGTGGTGGTGGTTGTCTCGGTCGTAGTACTGGTAGTGGTTGTCGTGCTCGTAGTTGTGCGGGTCGAAGTTGTGGTGGAGGTTGTCGTGGAAGTTGTCGTTGTGGTAATAGTTGTGGTGCTGGTGGTCGTGGTGGTGGTAGTTGTTGTGAAGGTGGTAGTTGTGGTGCTAGTGGTCGTCACGGTGGTCGTCGTAGTTGATGTCACGGTTGAGGTTGTCGTGATGGTGGTGGTAGTCGTCGTGACTGTTGTCGTTGTCGTAGTGGTGATCGTAGTTGTAGTTGTGCTCGTGGTGGTGGTTGTGGTCGTTGAGGTTGTTGTGGTTGTACCTCAGATCAGCTTCTCAGGCTTGTTTAGAGCTCATGGGTCTGACTTGGGGGCCTCAATATTCAGAACAGGGGTTCTGGCTGTATGATACATTGGTTGTAGCTTTTACCTATCATAAGGAATTCCGAGGAACAATATAGGCAATTATTCAGGGTTCCCCGTAAGGAATGAAGAGACAGAGAGACTGAGGGCAGACTCCTGTGAATCTGAAAGCTGTGAACAATCCGGTATCCTCAATCCGGAACCTCGATCCTGCAAGAAGAGAGCGGGCGGGTTCAGCTTTCAAGGTGGAGGGCGGCTCGACCAGCCAAGCCCAAAGCTTGAACCCTCAGCCCTAAACCTTCCCCCCTGTCTTAACCCCAAACACAGCCAATGGACAGCAATCCTTGGAAAATGGAGCTGAATACAGAACACTGCAGTGCTGTCGGAAGACGCACACAGCCTTCGAGAGTGAAGCCCTCGCCATCTTCTTCGCAGATCTTCACCTTCGCCTGACCGACAACCCCGGAAAATCCATGGCCGTGGCACGGCCATGAGGGTTTAGGGTTGAACAGGTTTCGGGTTTGAGGAGGACTGGAGAAGACTGTGGAGGTCGAGCCCAAGCGAGAGTGCTACCGCGACAGTGATACTGTGCTGCTGCGACTGCCGCCGTCGGTGCTGTCGGCTGCCGCTGTTGCCGCGCTTGATGCTGGTTTCGGACCGGATCCATCCTAACTACCTTGCAACAGGTTGGGACACTTCGACGGACTAGCTCCGGGATACAAGCTCCAAAGTGCTGAGAGAGGCTGCCTCACCGGTATAGCCGTCGGCACAGCTGACGCCAACGTCAAAGGAATGCCTGGCATACCAGACATTGAGTCTAGGGCTTCGGGTGGCGCGAATGTTTTGGCCCTCGTTGCATTGGGTTTCGCTACCGCACACGACATGGTCCTTGTTCAGATACCCCCCAGCAGAACAGCCACAAGGCAGGTTCGCTTGCTGATTAAGATCTCCAGGAAAAGCAAGAAGTGTGGTTTGGATGATCCCGGACCTTCAGAACAACCCCTCCCCTGCTCCATATGTATGCAAACCAGCATGCTGTCAATGCTTGCATCCGTGCCCAAACACCGGTCAGCATCGCCCCAAGCATCGGCAAACCAAACCTCAGATCCCGCCTTTCCAGGCTCTTCACCTCGACAGAGTAAGCGACGTCGTTGATGGCCTTGCAGACCTCGGAGAGAGGGACTTTTACATCCCGACATAGGCGGATGCCCATTGCCAAGCCTCCAAGAACCTCTCTTTGGGCCTGCTGCGGCCTACGTACCATCATGCAAGACTCCGAACAAAGATGTGTAGCAGCAGCGCTGACGCTGACAATGGGAAGATGAAGAGCAGGAGCAGGACAACCATCATGGTGATGGTGATGGTGATCGTGCTCGTGCTGCTGCAGTAGTGATTGTGGCAGTATTAGTGACCCGGACGATGCAAGCAATGCTCATGTTGATAGTTATTACAGTGGCGCTGATGGGGTTGATGCTTGGCAGCACATGTCTTCGTACAAGGAGCTGATGGAAGTTATTGTTTCAATCTAGTTTCGGCCATCTTTGCGACAACTTACGGCGGTGTCACGCAAACCGGCTCGACGCGCAGCACTAGAAAAAAATCGAAACCGTCGTTTCCTAAACCCCAAACAAGGACGAATTCAAGGCTCAGCCTAGCAATGCCCTGCATTTCCCATTTCAAGATTGGTAAGAGGTTCCCTCTAAAGACCCTCTGACGCACGCGTGTGCTGGAGTTTGCCGGCGGAGGTGAAATTGAAGACTAAGGTCGCAAACCTCAGGCACCCAAGTTCCTGATGTGCACATGTTGTTTAAAGTTGCCCCAAAACCTCGACTTGAGAACCCTCGAAATGGCCACGGGAAGCCAAGAAGCAGTTGGCCGACAACCAGAGAGCGAGTACCTGCCAGGAGTGACGCGAGCTCTCTGCTGCTGATCTGCCCCAATGCTGAAGCTGAGGCTCATGTTGCGAGTGATGGCGCTGTGGTGATGGCTGGGTCAATCACGGTCGCGTTGTCGATGGCATGTGGCGGCCGTGGTCAGTGTTCGCAGAAGTAATCCCGAAATGTCTCCAATGCGCCTAAACCGCAGCGCTCAAGTAAGACCGCTCCATCCTTTCGCCGCACCCCTGCCACACCTCCGACTTATGCCGGACCAGAACGGGTACCCTCGCATCCAAAATACCCCCATCGCAAATGTCCCAGAAGCTTCAGCCAGAGATAGCCAGAGTCTTACCATGCCAGATCCTGGCTTAAGTCCAGACGAAGGCGACAGCTTCAGCCAAGTCACTCAGTGGCGTCTTCCGCGCAAACCTTCACCCTGACGGGTTTGTGGAATGTGCTACGAGAGCCGGCATAGTTAGACCAGGATCTTGGGGAGTTATTCGATGCTGCAAATTCTTGTTGGTGAACACTGCTTGAAGTGATTCCCGACAATCCGTGCAACGTCAAGTGCGAACGTGTAACACGGCGCGAAATGCCTACCTGGAGACTGTAGTAGAGGTCAGGTAGGATGCGAGACCGGGGTTCAGGGCTCAGAGGGTTTGTATATGGCTATAGTTCCTCCGAAAGCTTCCGGCTAAACGCGACCCGTGCCGGTACCACGGAGCCCGAGATCGGATAAGCAAGCCCAGAATCCCTGAAGCCTGCACGGAAAGATTCCAACAAGGCCCCCTCTCCCGCAGAATCCTAAAACCCCCCTATTATTCCTTAAACACCGGAAACAAGCCCCGAAACCCCAACTCTCAAAACCCCGAGCGCTTTGGGCCGAAGGGGCGAGGCGGTCCCCACGAAGTCGGCTGCGCACGCGGCTTTCACGTCAAAGTCGGCCAACTTCAGCGAATGCTCTGAGACCTCGAGGCAACATTGAGGTTTCCGGGTTAAGGATCTTGAGGGTGCCGGGTTCGGTGTTGAGGATGTAGGATTTAGGGTTGAGGGTTCTGCATTTCGGGTTGAGGATAAGGTTTATAAGGTTCAGAAATATGGTTCAGATTTTTTGTCTCAGGCTACAGATTTCCATGATTCTCTGTGGCTTCCAGGTTTTGGGCTTCGGGTTGTTGGGAGGATTCACTGTTTCCGAAGCTACCATGGGGGTTTGGGTGTCTTGTGCTGTTGAAGGGTTCGGTGTTTAGGGTTTACATCAACCTACTATGTATGTAGCTTCCATCGACCCGAAGATGCAAGACTTACAATAGCTTGACATTGAATACTTGTGGCGCCGAGTAGCCGTGTAGTTGGCCAGATCTTTCGCACTTGGCTTCACGCACCTCTCCTGATCATGCACGCCAGTTGCGGAGGCCCCCTATCTGGGGTTCACTGCTGGAGCTCTCTGCATGAGAGTGCCAAAAAACAACATGATCCGGGTTATTTCCAGTGTATTCTGTGAACGGCAAGGGCCTGCGCTTGTAGCCCTTCTAACGATTCTAACCCCTAAACCAGCTGACACACGTCCTTGTACAGGTCATCTGCATCCTTCGGCATCATGATGCCCATGTCTTTGGTGACCACGGTGGTAAAGTCCTGGATGCGAACAGGTGGTTGAGGCCGCGGCTTGGCGCTCCGAGATCCGGGTTCACCCTACCCCGGCGTTTCAAAGTTGACGGGCAGTGGCGTGAGCTCTTGGTTACAGGGAACAAAGCCCTGCTCCGAAGGCCTTGGACGGACCCTGAATCAGCTCCGCTAAGATTCTCGCAGCATTCTGCCAAAAAGGCTGGCTCAGGGTTTCAGGCTTCGGCTTCGGGATTTGGGGATTTGGGCCTGAAAGTTTGAGGGTGCGCAAACAACTCTCGACCTTTGCAAGGGGTGCACGGTCCAGTGATTCTAAACTGAACCCCTACACCCCACATCCTAGTCAACCGCAGAAAGTTGGGATGATCACGTTCCGACTTTCGGGCTATGTGCTTTCAACCGTCCGAAGGCTGAGTCCCTGGCACCACTCACTGCTGCTGGTACTTTCACCCAGGCGGTCCCCTGGCGATGCTTGGTCTAGGGGCCCGAATCAGCCATGCTGGGTTCCGGGACCGAAGGTTGCTGGAGCGCAGAGCTTCGTAGAAACTTTGGGGTTCTGGCATTTAGGAATCACAACGATCCCTGCTCATGAGCTTAGAGTGACAAGTTCGGTTTGCATGGCAGGCTTTTAGGGCTCCGGCTTAGCTTCACAAAAGAGTACAGCCTCTGAGGCTTTCGAAGGCGAAGAACGTTGGTGCAAACAGGCCTGCTTCAGAGTTTGGGGCTTCCTTAGTATTGCTCATGCTATTAATGCATCTTGCTGTTATTGTTGTTATTTGAAGCTGATCATGATATTATGATTAAGATTATGATGATTGTTAGTGGCATTGCCTTGGTGGCAGTCTATGACACTAGTCGTCGCAGCGGCAGCAACGGCATTAGCATTACGACTAGGAGAAAGAGCTCCGGTGGTTCAACTCTCATGATCACGTGCTCACAAATCCCCGAAAGAATTTTCTACTCCGAGGTCTACAGTGCAGGGCGAAGGGTTCAGGATTTAGGGTGTAGGGTTATTTCCCCTGAAAGCTCTGTGATTCTGCTTGCCGGAGCCTCGCTGGAAGCTATCACGCAAGTGACACTCCAGGCGGTGACTTGCCTGATGCAGCACCCGGCAGTTCAACTGTGCAGGATGAGCCTCAAGGGTTTATGTAATAGAGACCTGAGATATTAGAAGACGGTCTCGGGGCCCATTGTCCGATAAAAGAATATATTACAAAATATTTCGACCCCGATATATTGGGGCCATGGGGCTCGTGGGGTTTTGTGATGTTGAAGTTTCGCTTGTGCCGCTTTAATCATTTGAAGCTTGTAGTTTTGGCCAGGAGTGGAGAATCTCAATCTTAATCTTGGGTCGGCCGCTCGAGAAGTGGCCTTAAGTTTCAAGTACGACGCAGAAACCACAGGCAGTATGCCGTAAGCCTTCCAGCTCACAACATATCGCACGTCCAAGACCACTGCTATCAACCCTCAGAGCCCAAAAACCCCGAGAACACTGAAACTCCCCAAAAGTTTAATCCCGTCAAAATAACCCTTTCAAAGAGCAGGATCTTAAAGCTCTCCAACCCGTGGCCTTCCCTTGTGCTCGTCGTCGTTGCTACCGGAGGCCTGCACCGCGCTGGTGAGAGTGGCCTCGAAGCTCTGAAAAGCTGTCAGCTGAGGGGTACTACCAGGAGATTGTCAGGGTGGCTTTCATTATTGAACGCCTTTTTCCACCTAGCAGTTAAGGTCGGCGAAACCCACGGTTGTGGGAGGCTTTAGGATTTGAGAGCACAAGCTTCAGCATGCGGAGCACGGACAAACAACATGGGAGGTGAAGGAAGGCGCCGGGTTGACGCACCGGGCTCTCTTCACTTTGTGGCAACAAAATTGGCTCTGGGGAAGTTGTGGACTTACCATGTCTGGGCTTCGGGTTTGGAGTTCTACTTCGGGGCTGAGGGAATCATGCGCATCGGCTGTCGGGCTTCAAATCTGCTTAACTTGTGAAGTCTTCAGTCTTCTGCACGCTGAACCAGCAACGTCGGCTTCAACCCCCAAACCTTTTGCAAGCGCTATGCCTTGAAGCTGTGGTCGTGCTGCAAGTTCTTCAGCGGAATCTCGACCTGTGCTCGGCATGGAGGGCCGACCTCCTGTTCGGGCTTGGGCCTTGGGGCTCAAGGGCGGACTCAGGTTTGAGGTTTGGGCTTGCATGTTGGGCGGCTCAAAGTTGGAAGTTCAAGGTTGAAGGTGTCCTGGCAGGAAGGCATGTTTGGCTTCAGGTGCTCAGAGTGCTTGAGACTCAAGGGACTTAGAGATGGGTTTAATCGGGCATGCACTAATACTATATACACACGTGAACACACATATATACACACGCATATATATATATACAAAGACTGACATATCTTGCTCGGCTGTTCGCTTACTTATTTGCTAGTCGCCCTTTATTTGCTTACCTATCCACCTGCACATGACTCTCCATACATATGTATGGATTTCAGGCGCCGTTCACAAACTTGATGTTCGGCAACGCTTTAGATCCCTATCGTGGTTAGGGTTGGAAGATACATTGCCGTGCAAGTGCTCAATCGGTCCAGCACTTGGGATGCCGAATCTTTCTGCAGAGGCTGGTCAGCCATCCTGACGCCTCAAATATCTCGAGGCCAAGCTTGGCAGGGAAGTCCCGAGAAGTTCCCCTTTATGAGTGAAACACACCTTGACGGGAGCCGAGGGGCCACTATGTCGCTTTGACTGTCTGTACGCTGCCAGCCTCGGGACAAGGGTCGGAGAGCTGAAGTTTCGGGTGCTCGAGAGTTTGGCTGTGAGGGTTGGATCTTTGCAAGAAGTGAGGATTTGTAAATTCGAGCAAGACACTGAACTTCTTCCCATCCGTTCGGCTGGTGGTGCAGATGTTCTGGACTGCGGTGTCCTGGCGAAACAAGTTCTGGAGGGATCGCGGCCCGTAGAGTCTGGGAAGGTTCAGTCATGCTCAGCTTGGGGGATGCAGAGCTTTGGCAGAAGAGGCCTGGGCTTCCTAGGCCTTTTGGAGCTGGCAGGGTCGAGCTTTCCAGGTTTGAGGATGAAAATGTCCGATTCAGGGCTCAGAGCTCAGGGCTTTTGGCTTCAGTATGGTTGTGGGTCGTATCTTATCGTCACTATTGCAGTGATGAACACATTCAACCTCGAGAACACACGCTGCCACGGCGTGCCAGTCTCCATTCTTTGGGGTTCAAGGTTTCAGGGTGCGTGGCGGTTTCCGGTTCCGGGTTGTTGTGCATCTGACAGTGATATTCTTCTGCGAGCAGTCAGGAACAAAGACGCGCTGCCCGGCGTCGGGATTGGGTCACATCAGCCCTGCGCAAACCCTGCACATCTACACACTACATTTGCACGATCTGACCCCAAACTGTAAAGCTGGAAATGTGCAAAGGGGCCTGTGGCCTTTGAACTTCTTCAGTGCTTCAGCCAAGGCGGAAGCTGGGTTTTGTAGGCTGTCTGAATCTAACCGTTGAGCAAGCTTTATTTGTGCGATCCGGGACAGGGGGGCTTCAGTCGCAGTCCTTCCGCAAAGCTCCAATTGGGAGTTCACGGATTCGCGGAAGGGATTGTCGCTTGGCGCTGGTCCACCCGAGACCCGATCCCAAACACCCAGGGACTCCGAGGCAAGGCCTCACCAACTTTGAGAAAAGCACAAAATCTCCAAAACTCCCACGAAAACCCAACATAAACCGTTTAAGACAGCCGTGCACGACCCGCGTGAAGGCCCTTTACACCCGCGAAGCCCCCACTTGGTGGACGCCTTGCTCTCAGGGGTCTCAGAGCTAGAACACACGGAGGAATCCTGAGCTTCAGACGGCGTCTTTTGAAGTCTGATGGCTTCGAGGAAGCGATTCATGGGAGATTGTCACCAACAGCTCGGTCAAACTTTTCGCTGTCATCAACATACTCTATTCCAGTGACTATCAGTCTTGATGCTGCTTGCTCGAGCTGCGTCCTGTGGTTGCTGTGCGGCCGTGGGCTTCAGATTGGGTGTCCAGTTGGTACAATCCGGCGCTTTGGGGACGCTTTAGGCTTTAGGATCTTGGGTCCAGGAATCAGACTCTCGAGCACTGGGCTGCCTAAAGGCTGGTGACCGGTGCGTTAAATTCTCTGGGTCCCTGCGGCATCTGCCGAAGGCCGGTGATCACTTGATGCCTCCAACCCAACCGATGTACACTGCAAACCCATCACCAAGCGCGCCTGGTTCGGATTGGAGGGACCGCGGGAGAACTCATGGATCGCAAAAAACATCGTAACAGGTCGTAACACCCATCACCCCCAAACTGGCAGGACAAAAGTCCAGAGGCCCCTTTCAAGAGCTAAGCCGATGAATACGCAGAAAAAGGTTTAAGCGTAGACCACCTTGACAATATACCCAACGACACCAACAATACCGACAACACCGACCACCAACACCACCGCAACCACCTCAGCACCTTTTTCCATCGGCATCATTACATATCCTCGATCCCACATTCACATCCGAGAAGCCTTGCAGGTCAAGCAAGTTCCGTTTGACGAGAATATTTGTAATCGCCCGATCTCTCCGATCCTGATCGTCGATGGAGGTTTTCTGGCTCGTGACTTGGGGCACCAGGTTTACGCAGGCTTGCTCAAGAATGCTTGTTAGGGCGGAAAAGCTTGGGGATGTAGGCGACAGGAGCATCTTTTGAAGTTCTAGTGAATGGCGGCCGGCGTACTCTTGGTCTACGGCTTCGGGAATTAGGTCGTGGCATCGGGTTAAGACTATAGGTTGTGCTTGACATACTCAAGATCAATCCCCTTGACCGCGCTCCCTGGACCTACACAATCCACGCTACTTGCCTAACAGGGACGGCAGGCACTAGGTTTAAGTTCAGAGTGTCGGGTTTCGGATTAAACTCCAAACCCGGACCCGTAGCAAATCTGGACGCTAGACGCACCCTCTTCAACCCTCTGCCGTTGCCTTGGCCTTGGCAGCTCGCGTTGGCTTGAACCCCGCACATCACCAAGCCACAGTTCGGAAAAGGACGTCCCCAGCAAGTATTCTTCAAACGACAACCCACACAAAACTGATGCCAAGTCGCTTCGTCCGGGCATTCACAAAGCTAAGGGCCTTCCCATCTTTCGGTTCGGAAAACAAGCTCTGAGACAAGGCAAAACTGCTTCTTCTCTCATTGACAGGGGCGGTCGACCCGAAAAATGCCTTACAGTCCAAAGAAACGATGAGTTACCTGGACACATCGCCGAATCCCGCGTTGCAAAAGCTTGCATCCGCAAAACCTTTAATGGAAACCCCAGTTCCCTGAATCCTTTCCTTGCCGCCCACCCACAGCTTCGTCAAAGAAAGCCCATAAGCTAAACCGGAAACCCGAAACCCTGAAACCTACACCCCCGAGGCAGGTCTCTTCAGCCCACCACCCTGAACCGACAAACTCAAACCCCAACGCCTTGAGCTTGAAAGTCAGGTGCGCAGGGCGACCTGACCGGTTTCTGCGGTTCGGGCGCCGTCTCAGTCCCAATCAATGCGCACCAGAAACTCCAATGTCCCTTAACAGAATAGCTCAAGTCCTGAAGGAACCCAAAAGTGACTGTCATCAACACGTCTGCTACTGTCAAGGGATCTCTGGAGCACTTAACTTCGAGTCATCCCGGCTGGAACATCAACGCTAAACCCCAAACCCCCCAAAGCTGCAACAAACACCTGAGATCCTGCTTGAAGCGGGAGCGGGCCTGTCTCAGCTTCTGTGGCCAGTTGCTGCGATAAGTCTGTGCCTGGCCCAAACTAACACTGAGGCCTCTGAGCCGTCATCGGATCTTAGGGCGCTTCTTCTCTGTGTGCTGAGAGCTCGACTAGGCTGGTCAGGACAGCACTCAACGACGCCCTGTCGAAGGTCGTTTCCCCAAAGGCCTTCTTTTCTTACCCCTTCGGCCCCATCTCACCCACTATGCTCCGTTTAGATTTCCGACGGTGAAACCAGTGAACCCCTGAACCTGCACCAACCGCAACTAAACATCCCTGTGTCTTGAAGCTGGAATCCTGCGGAAGCCCTCCAACCCTCAAATCCGTCTGTTTGTAAACGTGGAAGCAAAGCCCAGCTTTCGGCATTCTGCGGGCAGAAGCCAAGCCAGGAGCAACAGTGCTACCTCAACATGGGGAATCACGGAGGTCGGGCATAGGCTTGAAGGGGGCCAACTCGTTGGGATTCGAGTTTTGTCACGATGTTTGATGATGGTTGGTGCGGTGCGGTGCTGGCGCGGTGCCGGCGTTGAGAATCGCGATTGGGAATTATATATCACGTCACGATGAAGACTAGAATCATAAAGATATCGTAGAGGAATTGGTAAGATCGATGCAACTCGCAACATCCAGAGCTTTGTGCGACTTTGCCACTCCTTCTGCAGAGATGCTTCCAACAAAAGAGACATGAACATCGAACTCTGGATATGTTGCAGGATTGGCATGACCCCCAGGACCATGGATTCCACGTGCCCCTTGACGTGTGAGCCCTCACACACAAGGTTCAATGGCAGAATCTGCCTACTGCCTCAGTGCTACCTCCAACCCCGAAGAAGTTCGAGTTTCATGTGCAATCGAAGTGGCATTTCGGCGCAGGCGCATGGCGGCGCCTCTAGATTGTGGGCCCTGCAGCCTAAGCAGATGAGCCCCTGCACCGAACCAGAAAGCAACGGCGAAAACTTGCGCCGTGGAGGCTGGCAGTACATCGTGCGGAGTTTCCCATACCGGCGTGCATGCAATGACCTGTGGACCTGTAGTTCTACGCGTGCTACTTGTCTGACTGACGGATGGCGCGGGCTGAAGCCAACTCGGCCATGCCGCGCTGGCCGCTGGGCAAGAGGCGACGATGCGGCCGTGAAACTCGACTATCCCTGCAACGTCTCCTTGGGAGGCCCTGCGGCTGCCTACCCTGGCCCCACCACAGTAAGAGGAGTTCTGCGGACAGCTCCTCCTGTTGCTCAAAAGGCCCACTCTGGAAGGAGGGTTGCACCCACAGCGGGCAGAGAGCAAAGGCAATATCTCTTGCCCTCGGCAGCAATGAAACAGACTATATCAGAGTCTTCCTTTACTTTACGAACTACACTTGATCAGAGCAACTTCGCATGGACGATTTTCGCAGTGGGGCAACGGCACAAACGAGGAAACGCCTCAAATTTTCATCTCATGCTTCACATGCTCGAGGCCAACAACGCTCTGGGCATCACTGACTGAGGGTATTCCTACGTAACCCTGCTGCTTCCGCGCTTGTACTCGGCTGTGCTCGTCCCGAAGCTGGCCCCAACACCAGGATGCAATCAATCCCCAAGCCACTTTTGGCCTTCCGGACTTCAGACGTTCCGGCGGACGCGTCCCTTGCTCCTGCCACCTGCCAGAATCCGAAGCACCGGAGCCACAAACAAGCGAAAAGGCAGAGCGTCCTTGCCTCCTGCTTTGTGGACGAAGATCCTTCTTCCGTAGTAGAAGGTTGCATTGCACTTCAACGCCTGCCGAACAGCCTGGCCGCGCTGTGTCGCGCTTACAGCCTTGTTGCAACCTTTCTGGCCTCTAGAGCCCTGGAAATGCCCTGAGTGTACGTGCGTGACAGCATGGTTCGCTTGCAGATCACACCTCTTCCTGACGTCTCTGAAGATCACACCGTTCGAATCCAAGCACAGGGATTCCGACTTCACCGCACAGGGCCCCATCCACAACCTTGAGCCTTGAACTGGGAGCCCACTGAGCTCGCGGCATCTTCATGATTGAATTGGATGAAAGCCATTCCTTTGATGTAGCCGTCCTCCACTGCCGTGGCCAACATGTCCATGCGAGAGAAATCGCGACCTAGTAACAAACGAGCACGGCTGATTCCATCGGGCCTTGTCCTTGGGGACACGACAGGTGACCACTGGCCCACATCCTTCAAAGTCCTGCAACTCCGATTTTCAGGACAAATCCGGTAAGAGGGAAGACACGTGCTCAGGATCCAGGAAACTCCGACGAGGGTAGATGGTATTTTGAGGTCGTCAAGACGTGGGTCCTTAAGGATGCGGAAGTAGGACAACCGCCACGAAAGGCCTTTGCAAGTGCATTTGATATTGGCAGAATGGAATCTGAAGTGAGGAACAGGCCTGTCACCTTCACGGTGTGGCCATCGTCACCTGAAGCACCCAAAGAAGACCTACCAAGCCGCTCTTCTCTCCAGGGGAAGCTTACTTGCAGGTTGGCTCTAGGGACTCTAGGGAGTCAGCCAGCCAGGCATCCCAAAACAAAGCTTCGTGTTTTGTTTGAAAAGCGTGCTTGATGGACCAACGAGCGAGAAACCAGCATCCACATGAGACTCGATAGCAGGGCGTGTGTGTGTGTATATATATATATATACATACATACACACTCGGCTAAGCTGGAGTCGATCATACCATAGAAAAATCTAAAAGCCTCGGCTGGTCATACCATACCATTCCCATTCCGTTCAAAACTCTCCAAGAGCGAAAGGCATTCAATGTACAGTATATAGTACATACCGAAAAACACACGGTATATGGTATACAGCATACATTGCGAAGCACAGTTGGCGGAAACCCTCAAAGCTGAAGGCTTGGCTACGCATCAGGAAGCTGAGGTTTGTGCGAGGCGCAGGTCGCTGTCCAGGACACGCCTTGGGTTCACTCGTGCCCCGGAGTTAATGAGCAGCAACATTAAAAGGGAACCAATTAATTTCCGCTGTCGTTCTCTAATATGCGGTTTGTGGTCCTGGTTTTCATGCGAATACTCGCAAATCTGGGGGGCTTTGGGGAGAAGGCTTATTTATTGATTTAGGGAGTGCAGTAGTCGGTTTATTCACTGCAGTATAAGGCGCGCAGACCTGACTTCCCAACCGGAAACAAGCTCACCGAATATGCCTTCAGGATGACCACACGCATATCCGGACTGCGGCATTACACGGAACTTCACGAAGGTGCTGCTACAGGCTCCCAAGTCCTAAGACCCGACCCCAAACCTTCAACTTCAGTGAGTCAGTGAGTGAGTGAGTGAGTGCGTGCGTGCGTGCGTGCGTGCGTGGGTGGGTGGGTGGGTGAGTGAGTGAGTGAGTGAGTGAGTCAGTCAGTCAGTGAGTGAGTCAGTCAGTCAGTGAGTGAGTGAGTGAGTGAGTCAGTGAGTGACCGCATTCGGACATGACTGCGAACAGGGGGAGTGGGCAAAGCGTGCATGCGTTTCATCTCTCCTCCTCCTGTCAAGCTTTTTTCACCTGAGACTTGTTGTTCCTGAATACGACTATCTGGAGTCTTGTTGGCTACCCGGCTCCATGACCATAAAACGGCAGGTGCCCCTCAAACCGTAAGTCACAGAATCAGATGTGCACGGAGATGGCCTGACGGCCTACACCAAACATGCTCGAGAGCACTTGGGGGCCATCTTGGGCGCGCTCGTATACGTAACCAACGGCCCCAAACTTCGGCTTCCTACAATTTCCGGTCGCCATTGAGGGTCTATGGGCTTTAAGGTCCGCGAGGTCTGCCGGGTTGAGGCTCCTGACGACTGGGTTTGCAGAAGCAGCTGTTGAGAAGCCGTCGAGGGCCCTGTTTCTGTTCAGCAAGCTAAGAGACCAAAGAACACAGCGAGAATTCTAAACCCTGAGAGCCCCTAACCAAGGATTGCTAGGCACTGACACCTCGTCAGCGTGACGAGTCGCAGTCCCCACCTGCCAGCACTACAATGACGCCCGCTCCTCTCTTCACATCAGCTCTAGCACTGGTCAATAAGTACCAGCATGCAGAACGGAGACTCACTAGTGGTTGTCAACGAAATCAGTGGTGAGCGCACGCTGCGAATTATGGCGTAAACGTGGAGGCTGATGAACTTGCTTCGCAAGCACCAACCCACTCGTTCGACGCCTCCAGGATCTATCTGACGACCTGGACGGTGCTGTGACAAGTTTCTCAGAGTAACAGCTGCGCGGCAACCCTTCACTGTTCCACAAGCAAGACAGAAAGCTCGCGCTCCTTTTGTCGTGCTGGCAGTCGGCAGACAGAGGTTATCCATGGAAACATGTCCGCAAGCATTCATGCTTTGCACCCTAAACCGCTATCCTTCTCACTGACCCGACGACGTACCCTTTGCAATGCATGTGCCATCCTGAGAATGCTTGCGGGATCGCCTCTTTCCGGCAATGAAATCTACTGATGCCTGAATATGTCGCGGAATCCCCAGGTCGGTCAATGCTGTGGTTATGGCCTCATCTTCCATCAGTTCATCCACCAACAACAGCCGTGCCTCATCCTTCGAGCTGGCAGCCCGCCCAATGTACTGGCGACAGGTGCCATGCTTCTGCAGAGTCAGGGTTGCGGACACCCTTCCACCTTCAGCCTTGGAATACTTCACCTTGGGAACATATCCCGCTTGCCTCAGCGGCAGATGCAGTCATGCGCGACACTGGTGGCAAATTCATTGCAAGGGCATTCAGCGAGCTTCTAAACATGGGTCCCATTCTCCCTCACTCCCGCACTCCCTGCCTGCCGCACTCCCTCACTCTCTCACTCTCTCGCTCTCTCGCTCTCACTCCGCTGTCCGCAGGTCTGAAGCTTCTTCTGCAGCGGCCACGCCAAAAACTACGGCTGCGCTAGGGGCCTGGCTGAAGGCGGTTTCTGAGGATCTGGAAGCGATCCTCCTCAGAACGCTTTGGCAGTGTCTCCAAGTGACCAGACCGGAGCTCAGCTGCAGTGTCCATCGATCCGTCTGGTCCGCCCAGGGCCTCTATCCTGCTTCCACTGCTCAAAGGGTCATCCTTCCGACAGTTTCCAGTATGTGACGTCGGATGCGACGTCGGCTTGCTCCACTCGCCCAGCGATTGCTGGCACTGAACATCGCAAGGGGATGAGTTGCACACTTCAGCGAAGAGACCACGACTTGACATTCCACAGGCTGTTGGATTCGCAGGCAGAAACGCAAGACCGTCGAAGTTAGCAAGAAGTGGCTGTTTAGATGATGTGGGGAAATCGGTGACTGCCAAAGCTGCGTGCTGCTGAAGTATGATAAGTCTGATAAGTGCAGACTTTACCTACATCAGCCATTGCTCACCTTGAGCATCTTCACACTCGCAGAACGGAGAAGAGCTCATCATGGGCCAGCTCATGCAGATGCTGCAAATGATCTCGCAGTATGGCTGGCACCACAAGCAATCTTCCTGCACCGCGTGTACCCCGAACCCATCTGCCCAAACTCCAAAATCAGCTTATGCGACGTTGGTTTAGGCAAGGCAAAGGATATGCAACAGGGCCGCTCTCCGGGAATTAGACCAGTTGAGGGCATCCTGACCGGTTCAAGCTTTAGCTGTGAAAGTCTGGACCTGCAATTCGTACAAGCAAAGCTTTCTTGCCACTTAGCATCCAAGTTCAAAAGCTGTACAACGCCGTCCACAGGGCATGCAGATGCAGCCAGCCTGTGGAAGAAGCGTAGGGAGCCTGCCAACCTGTAATTGCATGGGCTGTTGGAGAACTCCATCTCTGAGCCTTTGAACCTGCAACTTTCTGCTTAAGGCTCAGAGATTGAGGTATCTCAACTGCGTGACCTCTCGCGACCAACGCCCCTCCCCATTTCTCAAGCTGCCCCTAAACCCCTAAACCCTG